GTGGATATATAATAACCTTTATAGAAACAGAAATTAAAAACAAACAAACTCGGAAAACAAAAACTTGGAACCTGGAAAATTTAGCCAGCCTAAAAAACTCAGGTCAATAGGCCTTAAATAAAAAAAAAACTTACAAACATTACAATAAAAAGTTACATTTTTATTTATGTTTTTTATGAATGAACATGTACAAAATAGTTTTAACAAAGTAGTACAACATATTGATTGTTAACTGTTTAAGTGTTTACTCATACTAGAGTATTTACATTCACAAGCTACTTGCCTAGTAGAGAATGTTAAAATAAACTTATTTACAAAATAAATATTAGAACATACTTAACTATATAGATCATATTTGGTTAATAGTTTAAAACAACCATAGATATAATTTTTGCAAATCAATTTATTTTTCGGACATATTTCACTAATTATTTTATTAGTTTCACAAATTATTTCTTAATGAGAAAAACTCAGTTCGAAAAAATGTTAAAAAAGTACATCACACACTCACACATATACATACACACCTACATTTATTAATTAAGGTTAATCGCGCTTAAAAAAAATTTAAATCTAAAAAAAAGTTCTTCAAAAGTTTTAAGTGTAGATTTATAAAAATACTTTGGTTCCATAAAATATTTTTAGGTCCGTCGTAAATCGAACTCTTATTGTCATATCTACCTAACATCGTCTTTCACGATGTTTTAGTTTTTAATGATAAAATAATTAGTGTTTTTATGTATATAAATGAAATAAATACTTACAGTTCAACTGAAATAATGGTTTTTGTTAAAAATTGTTTTACTTTAATTGTTAATTTAAAAATTCGGTAATACAACCTTTAAGTAACTTTTAGCGTACCTTTTCTAAAAATGAAATTACAAAAAAAACAATATAGCAAAAAGCGAAACTAAAATATTGCAGTTTCGTTTTCTTGATAATAAAAAAAAGAACTCTTGGTATGTTTATATATATATATATATATATATATATATATATATATATATATATATATATATATATATATATATATATATATATATATATATATATATATATATACATATATATATACATATATATATATATATATATATTATATATATATATATATATATATATATATATATACATATATATATATATATATATATATATATATATATATATGTATATATATGTATATATATATATATATATATATGTATATATATATATATATATATATATATATATATATATATATATATATATATATATATATATATATATATATATATATATATATATATATATATATATATATATATATATATATATATATATATATATATATATACAGAAACGTCGCTATGGGGTAGACAGTTTAGACTTAGTCCAGAGGGCCGTTTAGTTTATTATAGGGTTGCAGAAAAACTGAAAAATTGTGAGAAGGATGAATTTTGTCTAAGGGCCACCGAGTGTGTCGTGACGCAATTGTATAATATATATGCAAAAATATACACAAAAAATATTTTCGTCATGTAAAATGAAAATTGCTATTAAAAGTATTTTTGTTTTAAAAAGTTTCTGATTTAACGACGGTAATGTTTGTTGATGACATCAATCTTTTTCAGCAAAACAGCAATATAAAAACATTTTATCATAGTATAAAAAATGTTTATTAAACAATGTTTATTGAACATTGACCTATTCAAAGTTTCATAACAAAATTAATAAACTATCAATTAAGATTAAAAATCTAAATCGACTCTATTCACAAATTTAAATCAAAATAGAACTTAATGATTTTTCCCAAACATTTATTGACAACGTAAAAAAAAAATAACAAAAGTAGTTTAAGTTCTACGTTTATTCATTAATGAACTCCTTATGCCACGCTGGTAAATTTGCGTCAAAGTTTTGAACTGCGTCATCCAAAATAACGTGCCTTCACACAAAAGTTTGCCTGTTTTTATCAAAATCTTATAAAAATATTTACAAAACACTGTTGTTTTGAACATTTATGTCGAAATGTAACGTAATTTAATGTTGTTTTTTTTGTTTTTTTTTTTTTAAATAATTTATTAATTATGGAGTTGATAATCGTACTTGCTTTTGTCACTTTTTCATGGAATTGATTCAACAATTCAGTTTAATAGTTGTAAAACTATGTTGTTTGAGTTTTTTGATATTTAATATTAAAATATGTAATTGATAAAGAATAAATACCATGTTGTAAACTTAAAGATTAAGTAAGATAGCGAATGGAGCTAGTTAGCTTTTTCTATAACAACTGGGTGAAAACAAAACTGCATATAAAGTTTATATTTTAAAATATTTCTTGGCATTTTTTTAAACATTTTTAACATGATTTTATACTCATCAACTATTTTTTTTTTTTTTTTTTTTTACGCTTAAGAAAACTTTTACGGATTATTCCTTATGAGTGGTATTCCACAGGCGGAGTTTACGTGAAAAATTTATGAATTTTATATTTTACGTTTTATTACAAGTTTTTCTACTTGAAAGCTGTAAACTCATACAACAATTCATTATGAAAAAAAAAATATACTAGCAATATATTATTGTTCCATGACAGAAAGTTTCGTAAAAACTAAAGATTTTTTCGTCATCCCTTCTATCTTCTCGTCGGCCCTTCTTTTCCTTAAAAAGTTATTCACTACGTATTTTTAAACTGGTTGAAAACCAACGAGTTTTTGAATAATTGAAAACCTTACTCCTACAAACCTGCTACCTTTAAATTCTCTTTTTTTGTGTATCATGTAATGATTACTATATTTAGGTATGTGACATTTAAATTTTAAATTTACTTAATATAAGGATATTGCATATCATAAGACTGGGCTCTTATACAGCATAAATTTATATACATATTAAATGTTAACAAATTTTGAAAACTGAATAATTCTAAAAAAGTTACGAGGTTATTAGTAACAAATTTTGAATGAGTTAATTAAAAAAATTTAAAAAAATAAAAAATAAAAACTTAAGGAACTCAACGTTTATTATTGGTGCATATATTGACTTAGAGGAAGCTGCACACATCCTTCAATTTATTAGTGAAATAAAAATGTTATTACCTTATGATAATAATAAAAATGGTGCATATAATTTATAACCTGGTTAAATCAAACTTTAAAAAATTTTGAATCTTTTAGTTGAAGCTTAATAAAAATTTATGGTTAACTTCATAAAACAGTTTTGCTCTTTCAAAACAACACTGTTTCAATTGAAATAATAAAAATCTCATAAGTATAAAAAAATTTTTTTTATTACTTTAAGAATGTTTTAAACATTTTTTATTACTTTAAGAATGCATTAAACATAGGAGAATAATTTATAAATAAAACAACAGTATTGTTCAACAGAATATTTTTTCATCTTTCTCTTTTTTTTCTGTTTCTTGAGCGAGCTCTGTTTCTTGGCGTTGTTAAATAAAATTAACTGTTTAACGTCGAGAAATCTTTTCATACAAGCTGGCTACGACTTCTAAATAACGAGTGAACATTAAAAACAATATATTGCTAAAATGTAATGCAAAAAAGCAAATGAAACTTGATTAGCTGAGTGAAACACATTAGACTTACCGTTAATTCAAAAAGGGCCAATCCTTTTAACCCCCTCATGTTTCCAGCGCGATCCTTTCTTTTTGAACCCACTAGGTTAGATTGGGACAGGAGTAAACAGTCTAATAATATATAAAAATGAGTGTGCTAAAGAAATTTACGACCATCAAAATGACTGTACAACGATGTATTTTATTATGTAGTACTTAAACCAAGTTAAACATTTGCACCTCTCAGATTTGCTATGAAAGCCAAGTTATTGAAAACAGATATTGATATTTATAGACATTTTTTAGGGGTTTTAGTATGTGACAAAATCTTTAAATTTCATTATGAAGCTAAATAATAATCATTCTAAACCATAGACATCCAATAGCGTAGACATGATTTTTTTTATGTTTCTGATATACTATTTTCAGGCAATGTGTAAATTGTAAACTTAAGTATGTTCATATTTATGTCAAATGAGAAGGTTTTGCAGGAAATTGCACCGAATGGAGCCAGGGAGCAAAAATACCCCAAAAAGTTTGCTTCCCTACCCCTAAAGTAAGGGTAATGAGTAAATAAAAAATTAATTTTAGCCTTAAATTTATAGACAGGTTTGAATTTCATTAAAAAATATTTCAGTATTCAAAAGTTAAGACCAATTTACAACCATTTTGGGGATGGCGGAACTTTTGATTGGTCATAACTTTTAAACGTTAAAAAATTATTACATAAAACTTAAAAATCTTTCATAAAATTAAATTTAGTATAGTATTCTATAACTTATACTTTATTAATTCATTGCCCTCAGGGTAGAAAGAGAGCGAACAATTTGAAGCATTTTTGTTTCTAATGCTCCTATCGCGGTAATTTTTTACAAAGCATTCTCATTTAACATACCTAGTGGGAAAAAAGATATTTTTAGACGAATAAAAGACGTCTTTTTTATGACTTGTTATGTCTTTTTATAATCAGCCTAAATAAAGACGTGGAAAAGACGTCTTTTAAAAAGACGTCTTCAAAAAAGAGGTCGAAAAGACGTCAATCGATTGTACATCTTTAATAAGACGTAGAAAAGACTTCTTTTACATCGATGACCTTTAAAAAAAAGAAATGAGAAAATTTTCATTTAAATGTTAATTTAAATAACACCCAGTAGAAATTTTTTTTTAGGGAGGGGGAGGGGAAAATTCACTAACGTTTCCCACCGGGAAACTACTTAAGTTGTTAATAAGGAAATCATTATTTGCTTAAGAAAATTGAAAATAGTTATTACCAATAGAACCTAACAAAGATGGGTTTTAACCCACAGTATCGTAATTACGATATCTTTGTTACGTTCTGATTGGCCCGTTTTTTGTTTACAAAATACTTTTATAAAACTTTTTTTATGTGAGGCGTTTTTGCGTAGGAAATTTAATTAAAAATCAACTATTTTTGGTTAGCGGGTTTATTTTATAATTTATGTAATAAAGTATTATATTATTTCTGTCTGTATTTACTAGTTCAAGTGCTAGTGAAACGAACAATAGAAAAAAGATTAACTTTTATGTTAAAGTTGTTTTTTTCCTTGTTAACTGTAGTCTGTCGTTAAAAAAGCAAGTAAAAAAATGCAGATAATGACAACAGAACTATCTTTAGAACTGTTTGCAAAACTTTTAGTTTGAATACAAAATACCAAGTGAAAAGGATACTGGAAAGGTAACTTTTTTTTTTCTTTTGTACCTTTTTTTTATCAAGTGAAAATGATACTGGAAAGGTACTTTCTTATATCTAAACAACATTGCAGTTTTCTAGTCTTCATTTTTGTTTATTTGTATTTAATCTGTGTTGCTAATGATATCTCCAGTTTTTATAATTTTATGTTGTTAAGTAAAGCATCATTATGTTTCAGGCTAAAATCGAGCTTTGATTAATACTTTTACCAAGTTTAAATGAATAACAACTCTGAAAATGTATTAGCTGAATTATCTTTTCATTTTGACAGTCTTAAGTCAATAACAGATTTTTAAATCGTTATGAGTTTACAGCACTTAATGTTAGCGAAATTCAATTAAAAAGTCACATCATAGAAGACAGAAAAATATTAGAGATGTACCGGATATTTTTGCCGGATATGCCGGATATTAAACTTTTTTAAAGTTTTATAAGTGTTAATGAAGAAAAACAAGTCTTGCCAGTCTACAATAAATAGCATTCAAGATCTTACTGTAAAAAATCAAGAGAAAAACTGTATGACATGGGATATGTGCAGAAGAAGTATAAAAAATAGTAATTAAAAAAAAAAAAATTTGGCTGTAAAAACAATTTTACCTTATACATTATTAACGCATATACCTGTGTTATACCAGTTTTTTATTGATTTTATTTTCTTAAATCTTGAACACTATTTAGTGTAGAATAACAAGTCTTGTTTTTTCTTCATAAACACATATAGAACTTTAGAAAAGTTCAATATCCGGCATATCCGGCAAAAATATCCGGTACACCTTTAGAAAAAATCAAAGTCTGTTTTCTATAACTTGGCTTTCATAGCAAATCTGAGAGGTGCAAATGTTTAGCTTAGTTTTAGTACTACATAATAAAATACATCGTTGTACAGCCATTTTGATGGTCGTAAATTTCTTTAGCACACTCATTTTTATATATTATTAGACTGTTTACTCCTGTCCCAATCTAACCTAGTGGGTTCAAAAAGAAAGGATCGCGCTGGAAACATGAGGGGGTTAAAAGGATTGGCCCTTTTTGAATTAACGGTAAGTCTAATTGTTTCACTCAGCTAATCAAGTTTCATTTGCTTTTTTGCATTACATTCAAGCAATATATTGTTTTTAATGTTCACTTGTTATTTAGAAGTCGTAACCAGCTTGTATGAAAAGATTTCTCGACGTTAAACAGTTAATTTTATTCAACAACGCCAAGAAACAGAGCTCGCTCAAGAAACAGAAAAGAAATAGAAAGATGAAAAAATATTCTGTTGAATAATACTGTTGTTTTATTTATAAATTATTCTCCTATGTTTAAACATATAAAAGATGTAGAAAATGCTTCCTCTTTTATATTGACATCTAAAAGAGGTTTTTTTCTCGGCACCGGATAGAGCTTTTTGTCATACTTTATATGAAGAGCTATTATTATTTTCATTTAATAAAAACAGCTTTTCATATATGAAAAGTAGGAATACTATAGTGTATACTAAAAAGTATGACAAAAAAGTTGTTCCGACCCCGAGAAAAAATAATTTTTTAGAAGTGCATAATTGATTTTTATGTCTTTTCATGACAAGATAAAGATAAAAAAAGACGTCTTTTCGATGTCGAAAAAAGATGTCTTTTAGATTTGCAAAACCATTTAAAAAAAGACGTCTTAAAGACATCTTAAAAAGACTTTTAAAGACGTCTTTTCGACGTCTTTTTTCCCACAGGGTAAATATGAATGTACTTAAATTTGGAGTTTACACAATGCCTGAAAGTGTCGTATCTATAACATCAAAAAATCCTGCAAACGCTACTGTAAGCGTTCGCAGGGTTTTTATGTCTTTGATCTTATGCTGTCAATGAAAAAAATAAGTTCAAGTAGTTTTACTTTTAGTACCAATTTTTAAGTTGCACCATTTTAGGCGCCTTTTTTTGCTATTCAATACCTTTTGCAGTACCTACTTTGCAAATCACACCGTTTGCAGTAATTACAAAGCACTGGCGATTATGCGGTAAATTTTGATAACAATTTGTAGGTAAAGATTTGCGGGCAATTAGTAACAATGCGCTATTAAGTTAGATAAACAATTTTTTGCAATTACGATTAGCCGCTAACTAATTGAAATATAATTTTTTTTTATTTACGAACACCAAAAATTGCAGCGAATACAGTTAAATAGCGTTTCTATCGCTATTCTTGCAATATACCGCAGTTTTATCAAAAAATCTCTATTTGTTGCAAAGACCGCTATTATCGTCTAATATTTTTATAATTTCTATGAACCCAATTTAGCAATCTTATAATTGTTGTTATTCTCGCGATTAATAGGTGTCGCTAAAAACCCGAGTTACATACTCAAAAAAATTAAGTACAGTAGTTTATTTTATTTATTAATATGAAAAAACAATAAAAATTTAATTATTCTAGTGCATTTTATAAAGAGGATTATTTATGTGATCTAGATATTCTACTAGATGCAGAAGTCCTAACTGATATAGAATTTACTTAAGGGTGTATCAATTTCATAACTGATCTCACAGTATGCTTTTCAACTAGAGTTTATTTTTTTTTATTTTTTTGGAGTTTTTTTTGTGTGCTTGTAGAAAGCTTTAACTCAATTGACACTGTGTCCTTTTGGACCCCCTCTTAAAGGTTGGTTTTGAAGTTGATGGTTGAGGGTCAGACTGAATGATCTTTTAAAGGTTAAGTGACTTTAATGTTTAAAGGTTAAGTGGCTTTGAAAGTCGAGGGTTGAGGTTCTTCCGGTAAAGGTTGATCAGTTGGCTCATCTTTACAAAACATAAACGTTCTTAGAAGAAACTATTTGCCATAAATCGGACAAAACCGCAGATGTATTGGTAGTTTTTGTTTAAAAATTGCTGTTGTGATAAATTGCAAAGCGATTTTTAAAGAGAAAATTACTGGGCAATTTATTGCGCGTCAATTTTTATTTAAAAAACCACTTGCAAGTTAATACAATTTTTTATTGCTTTTTTTTATGACCATTGTCATAATAAAAGATGTATTTTATGATTATGACATGGCATAAGCATGAACTAATAAAGTTCACATTTTGCAAAATACGTTAAAGTGTCACATCTGAAGCATCAAAAAATCTTGCTTACGTCAGTGGTTTATTTTAAATTCAAAGTGCAAAAGCAACTGGTTTTAGTTATTTAAATAAAATTACTCGTTTTCTCTTACTTTACAAAGATTTTTAGCTATTTGTATTCATTGCGGTTTTTTTAAACCTTGTTTTTTGTTGTCGTCGTTGTTGTTTTTCTTTTTCTTTTTTTTTTTAAAAAGAAGTTGTTATAGTGCAATGAAAAAAATTGTTCAATTAAGAATCAAGAAGTCAATATAAATGAAGGAAGATGAATTTAATTAATTTTTTAAAGTTTTCTTCTCCAATAATGGATTATAATATAAGCAACGAGCGGAAAATTGATAGTGATATGCAAAACGACGATAACACACTTAATAAAGACTTCTCTGGACTTGACTCAGGAACAAAAAAAATATATTCAGAACATTTAACTATTTTGGATGAATGCGAAAATTCGTGGCGTAGTTTTTATGAAAAATTTAATCAAAGCATTAATAAAACGTCTCCGGATAATAAGTATAATTTAACAAAAAATTTATTAAACGTTCCTGCAAACATTTTTGAGACCATCCAAAAAAATATTTTGATATGCCACGAATCGTTTAACTCTACCAACGAAAACGAAATGTCGCATAAAAGTAAAAGTGATGTTATACAAGATTTAGAAAAAGAAATTGCACCAAATCAAGAAAATTTAAATAATAATCAATTATTTTCAGTAATCAACAATCCTATTTGCTATAATCACACAAGCTGGTCATCATATCAAGACACTAGCAAAGACCAAGGTGATAAAAACTCAGGTAATTTGGAATTGAAACAATAAAAAATAGAAAAATTAAAACAATTATTTTTCAAAGTATATACATATACAGATATATATATATATACATATATATATATATATATATATATATATATATATATATATATATATATATATATATATATATATATATATATATATATATATATATATATATATATATATATATATATATATATATATATATATATATATATATATATATATATATATATATATATATATATATATATATATATATATATATATATATGCTTTTCTTTTAATAATGTTCTTTAAAACTGTTGCTAGCGCAACGGAACCGTTGCGTTAACATGGCTATATTTAAAAGTTTGATCATACTTACAAGGTGTTGAAAGTCAATAAATATATTTCGATAAAAGATCTTACAATCGAGGTCATTTACAAATAGTTAAAAAAAATCTTAAGTAAATACCATGAAATCGTATTAATAATACAAATACTAATGTTAATGATGATAAATTAACAATTATAAGAATAATAAGAAAATTATATAATAATAAATCAATATCAATTTTAAAACAACAAATGAATATTATTCACAGACAGGAAAGTTATGTACTGACAAAACGTAACAACCTACCATGTAAATAAAACAATTACTACTAAATAATTAACAATGATTTAATAAATATAATAATCTTAATATAAATAATCATAATAAAAACAAGAAAGTAATATAAATATTTCATTAAAAAATACAATAAATAAATAAAATTTTTTAAAATAACAATCGCAAATAAAAACGCGTCACTTACACGCACAATCATTTTGTCACGAAAAGTATAGAGTTTTCATAATCAGGGGCGCCAAAAGCATTTTTTAGTCTTTGAGCTAACTTCCAGACATGGAACAAACTTCAAACATTTATATGTTTATACTTATGGAAAATAAGGATGCTTTGCAAAAAATTGCGATTGGAGCTTGGGAACAAAAATGCCCCAAAATTTTGTCCCCCTTCCTGCCCTAAATGTGAGAACAACAAGTTGATGAAATATTTTTTGTACTACTTTTAACTAGGCTTATATTCTTCAATAAATTTTAAGTTTAATAATAATATTATCTCTCAGCGTTGATAATATAAATTTTGCAACCCTCTCAAATTGAGGAGGGTTTAAACTTTATATGTTCATAATTTTTTAATGCTAAAATATTTTACTATAAAAATTAAAACTTATCGATGAATATAAATCTAGTTAAAAATAGTACAAAAAATATTTTATCAACTTGTTGCTCTCACCTTTAGGGGGTGGGGACTAAAATTTTAGGGCTTTTTTGTTCCCAGGCTCCAATCATCGTAATTTTTGTAAAGCATCCTTATTTGACATAAGTATATACATATAAATATTTGGAGTTTGCTACATGTCTGGAAGTTAACTATCTCGAAGACCAAAAAATTAAGTACATTATAAAATAAGATAAATCCCAAAATTTCAAGGTCTAACTCCCAGCGGTTCGTGAGTAATGGTTCTTTTAATTAAGGCTACTATTATTGTTTTCGTCATTTTCCGCCATTTTTAAATTTACATTTCTCCTTATAAAACCAAGTCTTTAAACATGTGAATTCTAAAAATAAGTGACTTAGATAATCTTTAGGTGAGGAATTTGAATATATAAATGAAAAACTCATTTTATAATTAAAAAGTACCTAAATATCAATTATAAATGTTAAAATAATGGACACCTGCCCAAGTAGATATACATATACATATACATATATATATATATATATATATATATATATATATATATATATATATATATATATATATATATATATATATATTATATATATATATATTATATATATATATATAATTATGCCATAATTTTATATCGATTTATGGTAAATTTATATATTACTATGTCAATTATTATAATTTAGTAAATCGATTCTATAAACAGTTCTACCGTCACTTAATAATTAAAAAAAATACAGCAATGCTGTAGTACTTATATAAATAATCAAAATTTTAACTAAACTTAATTTTTTGTAGACACTATTATATTCAGCGAATGTAAAAACGATGGTGCTAATGACAAAAAAATTGAACACAATGTTGTATCATTGAGTAATGAACCCTCTACTCGCATCAATGTTTGCAACATTTTAGAGAAGATTGATCGAGTTGACGATATTGACACAAACATGTACAAGCCAATAGAATGTACAAAAACGGGGAAAGCTTTAAACCAAATAGAATATAAGGATGCGTCGTTGGGGCAATTTAATAGAACAAATTCATATACTGCACCGTTTCTACCTAAGGCTTTTGATATTTGGTCTGAAAAGTACAGGTAGCTGCGATTCAGTTTTGTGTTGTGTGCGATTATTATGCAAAAACTTGTATTAAATAAAAAATTGCGCACTAATTTTTTAAAAAAACTTTTTTTTTTTTAGACCTTTGGTGTTAAGTGAGTTTCCTGACGCTAATGAAAAAACAATTAGTGAAAAACTTTTTGAAGTGTGGCATAAAATACCGCCAAAATTTCAGTCCAAATATTACGTTAAAGCTGACGAAATTTGTAAAGAGTATCTAAACTATAAGCACGAATTTAATAATTCTTCAACCAAAAAGTTTAAAAGCTTCAAAACAAGCACTGAAGTATTAAAACCAAAAGCCCTTAGGTTCAACTCTATAGAAAACAAATTTACTGAATGCAAAAGTTTTCACCATTCTGATGTTAATCAACTGATTAGTAACGAAGAAACTAATCCAATTAATTATAGCGCATCTTGGAAAAAAACCATACCATTTAATTTCGCAGATAAACATATGAAAAAAAGAGTTTCAAAAAAAAAATTTATTGATTATGACAGCTTTGACGAAAATCTTACTGCAACCGGCTATTTAGAAGACATCTTATTGAGTCAGCAAAATAGTTCTTTAAAATCAAACTCTAACTGTAACGTAAACGATAGTTATGAATCTATAATAAATAGCTTAGACTTTGACATGCACGAATTAGATTGTTATTTAAGAGGGGATAATAGCGAACTTGACAATAACGAATTTCTACTTAGCATGGATGCAAAATATAGAAGCAAAGAAAAGAGGAGAAAAAAAGACAAAAATGCACCTGATAATAACAAAATAAAACGTAATTGCGTATCAAAAATTGAAGCCAAAATAAAGGATTTGGACAATGTGCAGTTAAATAAAAAATCATCGAAAAAGAGCGAGACTCAATTGCTTGAAAACGAAACAATTAGCGCAGCAAGTAAAAGATTTGTTTCTTTAAAAAACAGAAAAGTAAGAAACCAACTAAACACAAAATAGGTACTCTAAAATAAAAAAAAACATTAGGAAAAAAATCACAAAACATTTTGAAAACATTTTTGTAAATGTATTTTAAAGTATACCAAATTTATGTAATATTTATATATATTTTTGTAACCTTATCTTTGTACCTATAAAGCTTTACCGCTATTTATGAATTATTGTTGACTCCTTCAATTATTTGACACCGTTGTTTCGCATTTATGAAACTTTTTATGTTTAAGAATTTCTACAGCCGAAAATTCAAACTCTTCACTGCAATCTTCGCAAAAGTAACTTTCTTTCTTGACAGCATGGCATGAAATTTCCGTTTTATTTTCTAGTTTTACTGAAATTTCAACCGATTCTTCTTCCAAAGAATTTAATACGCATTCTTTATCGTGTTGTATGCGTTCAACAACAGTACAAATAAGGTGCTTTTCACACTTTAAGCAATGGTAATGTTCGCAAAGAAAATTTGCCTGTCCCGATGATACACTGCAATCTAATGCACTTACTACACAACCATATGTTAAATATGGCGTCACAGAAATTCCTCCTTTTTCTGAATTTTCTTTTCCAGAAAAAAGTTGATGAGCTTGTAAATCTTCGGTATTTTCTTTATCAATATTATTAGGATTTAAACTTTTTATAAACATGTGTTTAATTTCAGCAGAAGAAATCCTTCGAAGTTTATAGGAAATATCAGTATCAATAAATTCTGCAAGTTTTTGAGACACAATGTTTTCTAGCTTAGTAATTGATTTCAACTTTTTACCTATTTCTTTCTCATCGTCGTCTTCATATATACATAATTTTTGTTCGAGGAGCATGTCCCAAGCGCTTCTTATTTGTACAACACTAGAAATTAGCAGCTTAGTATCGAAGTTTGTTTCGAAACTCATTTCAAGCCAATTATCAAATACAAGCGTAGAGCAATCTGAATTAGTATCAATACTTGAAGATAACAACAGAAGCGTTTGAAGAGCTGGTACACGCGCAGTGTTAACAATATAAGGTTTGTTTGTTTCAAGTAAAGAAACATACAACAAAAGTTCACGAGAGTGGATGTAACGTCCATCAGTTGTTTGTTTATCAGTTGAAGAAGCCTTATCAGTATTATATAGATTTTCAAGAAAATCAGGATGCAATGAATAAACCGATGTCGGATGCAACATAAGAAACTGCTTATCTTTTGTATGAAATACCTGTTCGTTTTGTTTACGCCACGGATTGGTTTCATCGGGAACAGCTATTTGCGGATACAAACCACTACTGAGAATCAACTTTAGCAAAATAATATCTCGATGTGTAAATTTTCTATTCCGCATTGACGACTTTTCAAGTGAAGACAAGTTATGACGTAACTTAAAATTAATATCATTTATGTCGACAAGATTGTCGTCACTCTCACTGCTCAAATCACCGTTGTTGCTTTCCAACTTAAGTACTTTACGTTTACGATTAGACTGCAAACTATGTTCTCTTTTTAATTTAAGAAGTTCGTTTCGCTCATCGCGTTCAATGCTGTTTGATTGGATATTTGATTTTTTCATCAGTCCATGATCAATTAACAAGTCCTCAAATTGTTGTTTTAATTTTGACATTTCATAAAAACGTTGCTCTTCGAGACCGCGATGTTTGCACCATTTTCGGGAGTTAGATCTGCGATCAGATTTTACAATTATCCATTCATCGTATGCGCTTAATAAAGTAAAAGGATCTCCGTGTTCTGAAAACAACTCTTTCCTTTTAATATCACAAGACTCGGCGTTACTATCAAAACGCTTTGTCAACGGACTTTGCACACTTAACGCCGTCGCAATAACTAAAATTGGCTCAATTATACTAAACAAACTGCCCATGACTAACATCTTTCCAATAACAATATCAACTGGCAAACGGGAAAGCATGCGACCAAGAGGAGTCAAAGTGCCATCAGTGTTTAAAGCATTTTGAAGCTTTAAAAAGTATGTAGCATTTACAAGACTTGCTTTCATAGGTGGTTCTATAAATGGAAATCTTGTAGCGTCCCGCAAACCAAGACTAGCCATATGTAACACAAGTGTATCAAGTGGTACGCGATGTATCTCAGGCGTTGAATAGTTTGAAAACTCACAATAATCTTCTTCAGAGTACAAACGGAAACAAACTCCAGGCCCAGTGCGACCTATTAAAACCAAAAATATTTACGACTGATTTTTTAGATAAAAAACAAGTAAACATACTAATTAAAGACTTTAACCTGCCCTTCCTTTGCGCTGTTCAGCACTTGCCTGGCTAATCCAGAATTCTTGTAATCTTTGCATTTTTACTTGAGGATCGTAACTCATTTCTTTAACCTAAATTAATTGTGCAAGCATATTAAAAGTAAATCAACTATAAGTTCATGACAAAGAAATAATACCACACAACATAGTATAAACAGTAAATTTTTCTATTCAAAGGATACAAGTAAATCAGAAGGGGAAGTTGAGAATTCTAACATAATTGAAATCCAGTTAAAAACTAGTCCACAGTTTACTATTATTACTTAATAAAAGTTAAATAAAAAGTTTGCATCACATAAGCTATGGCAATAAAAATAGACTATAATGGTAATTTACATAAAATTTTCAATAAATACATGCATACATAAAGGGGACTTTCCACTCATCCATTTTTCTACGGAAATGGGGAAGGAAAGAAAAAAATAATCACATGAGCATGCGTAGTACAAGTTTTAATTTGTCTGAAGGAAAACTAAAATAAGTATACTCACGCGATTACTTTTCCCATTCCTTTCCCGTTCCAGTACAAAAACGTATGAGTGGAAACTCGCCTTAAAGAACGCTGCTTGCAATATATTGAAATATTTAATTGTGGCAATGGATAATGACACTATTAGCGATTTCAATATTTTGAAAACTAAAAATGTTACTGGTAAAGAAATTTGTGCTTGTATACACTGAAGAACTTTTAATAATAGTGAGGATCTATTAAAACAAAATTATTCTTTGAAAAGTTTTTACTTTTTTATTACATTTACACATTAACACACATTATAAATAACTATACTGTGAGACCAAACAAAAGTTTGTTACAATTCCCTTTTTCAACCTTTTCACTCTGAAACAAGACTCAACAAACAAGACTTCTACCCAGAGAAATAAGTTGATGCTGTGCAACTTTATTACTAAGAGATTATGCTTGAGGTGCTACTTCTTTAAACTGTCGCCATTTTGTTTTATATGAGCTATTGCAGTATAAGGCCTATCAACATCAACAAACTTAAGTATTTGCATTTTTAGTCTCAAATTTGGTGAATTCAACATTGTAGTTTGTCTGCTACAGCACGTATCTTTTCATACCCAAAAATTCAAACAATCTTTTAAAGTAATGCTTCAAGTAACCATTTTAAGAAGAATTTTTTGGTATACTCAGTAAATCCACAATTGAAAAAGAATATTTGTGAAGTATTATCATATGGGCTTAATCTTTGAAACTTTTCAAACCCAATGTAACTATTTTATACCTGTTTAAAATTTAATTATAAGATAACAAGTTGATTCCCTAGTTAAATTTTTATTTTAAGTTTTTCAGGTGCAGAGATAGTAAAATACCATAGTCATGAAATACATAGTCTGGCCAGTTTAGGAGTCCTTTTGTTTGTCTTATTGTTAGCGTCTTTTTAGAACCCAGCGTACCAATGAGTGCACACTTTTTGTAAACAAAGGCGCATTAAGAAGAATATTTACAAGAAAATTGTTGATTTATCCTTGATTTTTGCAAATGCCTCGTCATTATTTGTTACGTATTTGGTTCTGTAACTTTGTGAAGAAGTATAAACATAAGATTTTAGGGTTTCTTGTTCCAATTCTCCTATCACATTAATTTTTTTTGTGAGGAATCTTTTCATCATACATATAAACGTAAAAAAAAATTGAAATATTCTTTTTGTTAAAAAGTTGATTATTTCAAACATTTAAAAACCTTCCTTCGCCAATGTATATATATATATATATATATATATATATATATATATATATATATATATATATATATATATATATATATACATATATATATATATATATATATATATATATATATATATATATATATATATATATATATATATATATATATATATATATATATACATATATATATATATATATATATATATATATATATATATATATTTATATATAAATATTCTAATAAATAAGATAAATCTTTTAAATTTTGTTAAAATCATTTATTTTATGTTTCGACTATCATAGCCATCATCAGTTAAAATGTAAAATTAAATATAAAATGCTTAAATCAATTTATTAAAATTAAGTTGAACTAATAGGGTTAAGTTGAACTAATACCTTATAATAAAAATACAATAAAAATGCAATTAAAAAATGTAACAAATGTTTTAAAAAAGATAAAAGAACTGGCAATGTTAAAAAGAACTAGACTGAAGTCATTTTCACATATTTCATTTGCTTATTAATATTGGGTTTTTCCCACTCTATGTACATGCTTTCTTTGAGTTTCAATATAAATTTGTTGGAAGCCGAATCCAAAATTGAAAAATTAGCATGATTAAAACAATTTAAAACAGCTTTCATTTGAATGAATATGTTTATAAATGTGCGAGTTTTTATTCCTTTTTTGGTGCTCGATTATTCGAGTCTTGAAATGGCAAGTAGTTTTGCCAATATAAAAGAATTTACAGCCTGCGCATTCAAATTTATAGACAACGAATGAATTAAAGTCTGTAGGAAAAGGATCTTTTGTGTGAAATTTGAAATAAAATAAAAACTAATCTTACGGCGACCGATTTACAATATTTTTTAATGATTGCGTTTAATCTTTGTTTGATGAAAATCAGATATTTTTCCAATATAAAGAAGTTCAAAATGTTGATAATTTTGTAGTTTTTCCGAACGTGATGAAATGTCGACATTGCTATTGTTAATATAAGAGCTATGGATTTTCTTAATCAACCAAGACGGGTACAAGTTGTGTTTGGGTAGTTTAAAAAGATCATTAATATTATGACTTAAACCGAGACTAGTGTTGTTTATTTTATAAGCTCTATCGATTAAACATTTAACCAGACTAACTTTGTATGAAAATGAAATAAAACTAAAAAAGTTTGTGTAGAGTCCCGAGAAAGTTTTCTTATGAAAAACAGTGGTAATTGTGGAATTGTTTGTTTTATTTAGAGATAGGTCCAAAAAAGATATTTTTGATTGAATTTCTTTTTCCATTGTAAAAGTAATAGAACTATGCTTATTAGTGATATGTTCCAAGAATAAATCGTCATGATTTTCGGTGAAAGTAGCAAAAATGTCATCTACATGCCGTTTATAAAAAGCTGGTTTTCTCCGTTATATGATTTGAGCTATTTATTTTCAAAATTTCCCATGAAAAGATTAACAAGAACAGGCGCTAAGGGAAACCCATAGCAACACCATCAAATTGGTCATAAATTTTTCCTTTGAAGAGAAAATGATGTTGCAAAATTGAAGAGTTTTTTTTAAATCACTTTTTCTAATTTTAAGATTAACTTTACTATTTATAATGCTATTGACGGCAATATCTATTGTTTCTTGTAGTGGAATGATATGATTGGTACATAAACTTGAAATAATTCCTTAATCATGATATATATGATATTATTATTTATAGTAAACAAAAATTGCACAACTTTATTTGGTTCTCACTTTATTATTGCATCTTTTAATCATACTGCAATACAGTTCAAAAGTTTTTAATAAATTTTTTGGCTATCAAAATAACCTTTATTAAATGTCTAATATTCATTGGGTGGAGTTTGAAAACCCTTCCTAGATTTCTTTTCTGAACAAATATCTTTTTTTCATAGCATTTTTAGTATATGCAAGTTTACTAACGTCTTTGAATAGGATAATGAGCAAATTAAAGTGGTAAAAGATGATCTAGAAGATTGACACTTCTTTAAATATCTTGGTTAAATTAACATAACAAATTTTTGAAAAGTAAGATTAACCTCAACATCTTAAACCAAATCTGCCATAAACTAGCACCATATTTTCACATGAACTTTTTGATTGAATTTCTGAATGTTAATTCTACTATTTTAAATAGCAAAAAAAAAAAAAAACATCAGATTATACAGACCAAAAATCCCCTCAATTTTTTAAGTCATTTTATTTTTCCTAAGTACCACAATTGTACTCTCCAAAAATTTTTTTGATTTATTCTACAATTTTTCCAGCCAACAAAATTAAGTGATTTTCAATTTAGCCAACTTTGCCAACTTTTTGGAATAACGTAATCTTCGATAAAAAGTACTAAATATGTACCCACCAAAATATTGAACTAAATTTTATTCTTTTTCTGTTTTCTAAATATGATTCCTAAGATTATATTATACAAAAGTTGAGGACCTGTGAGAAAAATCCTTTTTGACTTGCAACTTTTCCAACAATTTCCAACAAAATTTTGGATAAAAACTTCAATGTCACTATAAATAATTTTTATAACTTCTTTTTATTAACTCAAATGATAGCTTCATATCATCTTCTGAGAATATGTACTTTGAAAGCTCATCCCTAATATATGGAGGGCAGCAAAAATCGTTTATAACAATAAGAATGTTTTTTAAACAAAATTCATAAATTTATCTGTAAAAAACATTTGCTTAACATCATTTTATGCATTTATTTGCTGTGTTGAAAAATTGTGCTCTGATATTTTATCATACACTGGTAGAATTAAATTTGGTTGAAGTGTTTTTATTCTCAGTTTCAATAAAGAAAGAACTGACATCATTGATAAACTTATTGTTATCAAAAAAAATGTCTGATTCTAGATCTAATATAAAACAGTCGATGAACTGTTTATCCTTTAAGATTGCCATTTTTTAGATTATTGTGCATTTATTGGTAGTCTGGACAAGACAAATAAACTATTTTCAACATAAATTCAAAATTTTAACTTTTGTTGTTTAAAAACAATAAAATCTTGTGAAAACGGCCTAACTGGCCAGACTATCTGTTATTATGACTATGAAAATACGCACTTAAACTGATCAGTCAAAAAGTCTGGATCATGTTTTGAATCCAAAAAAATTTAATTCAGACCTGAATAATCAGGTCGATTTAGATTGTGTCCGGGTCTAGACTCAACGGCCCTAGCTATAATGTAAAACTAAAATACTTGTTTGAATAGTAACTAATAATTTTTGCACCGTAAAACAAAATACTGTTTTACTGGTAACTAAAAAAAGACAAATAAAATTGTGCTAAATACGCTATTCCCAAAATCCATATACCAGACACATAAATCTGTTCCGATTATGGGTACATGGCTCAAAGTACAATTAGAAAAATTTTTTTATTAACGCTCTGTGTGATGTCAATGAAAAATAAACTGATATTATTTTAACAACAGTTTTTTGTAAGCAACTTATTATTACTTACTTACATTATTATTATTAATATTATTACTTACTTACTTACTTACTTACTTACTTACATTATTATTATTACTTACTTGCTTACTTACTTACTTACTTACTTACTTACTTACTTACATTATTATTATTATTACTTACTTACTTACTTACTTACTTACTTACTTACTTACATTATTATTATTATTATTATTATTATTATTATTATTATTACTTACTTACTTATATTATTATTATTACTTACTTACATTATTATTATTATTATTATTATTATTATTATTATTATTACTTACTTACTTACTTACTTACTTACTTACTTACTTATATTATTATTATTACATACTTACATAAAGCAACATATTTACAAAAAGTTTAAAATTCAAACAAAAATGTTGAAATCACCTAAGCAGAAATGCTATTATGAATTTATGCATTTTTAAAGATTTTACTAAAAAAATATTAAATGGGTTATTTTAATTGCATCGAATTGATTAAAATTGACAAATAAGTATATTTTGTTTGTCAATTATAATCAGTTCAATGCAATTAAAATAACCCATTTAATATACTTTATTTTGTTTAGAAATTTAAGTTACTATTTTTCAAATAGAATATTTTTATTGCATGTTAAAATTTTTACAAGTTAAAAACTAGCTTTTATTGTAGTTACTATAATAGTCAATATAAAATTCTACTGTTTAGAGTTCCTTTAAAGAGAACTTTAAAAAAATCTAACACATAACATTTTTATAGAGATTGGAAAAAAGCTTCTTTACAAACAACTTTATCATTACAAGTGCTTCAAAAGAACAAAAAATGAGGAAAAGAACTTATGTAAAATGTCTATCATCTTTTACTTTGACATTAAGGTTATTTACTTCTTATAATAGTATACTGAATATACAGTCTGGACCATAATATTTTTATTGTGAGAGATTATTATGTAAGAGATTACTGCAATGAAAAAACTAATAAGTAAGTATATACTATTACACGCAAAAAATATGCAATGCAGTGTATGCATTGTGCAGTTACACAGTAAACTTAAATAAAGAATCTTATAATTTTAATGCATATATTAGACATATTTAGCCATAAGTTTTATTATTTAACTATTTAACTGGCTTTATATTCTAAAATTTTATGCAAAAACTTTTTTTAACATTTAAAATTACCTTTCCTGAATCCGCAATAAATCTCACTCCATCAATTGTGATTGACGTCTCAGCAATATTTGTAGAGACAATACACTTACGAACACCATCAGGAGCTACATCAAATATCTTCAAATGTAATAATAAACTTTTTTATTATTACAATATTATTTATTATAATATTACAATATTAATTATTTTAATATTATAAAAAAACTTTATAAATAAAAACAATAAATAATGTAAAAGTAGCTGCATTGAAACTCTGTTCTACTTTATGAGAAAAAGGTAATATTTTGAAATTATATAATACTCTCCTATAACATTTAAGATCGACCAAAAAAAGAAGATGGGTTCTTAATATTAACAAAAAAAAATTTTTTAATATCAAAATAAAAATAAAAATAAATTGCACAAAAAAAAGCCTTCATAACATTTTTTGAGACCAGTTTGATATACATTAAAAAAAACATACTTTTGACAATAATAAGTTCACCATTTTGTCAAGATTAAGAATTCTTAAAATTTTTAACCGTGAGAAACATTGTTTATTAAAGTTTAGGGTCTTCCAAAAAGTATGTACGCAGGTATGGGGGGGAAGGTGGTTACTCAAAAACATACAAATGTGTACAAGAAAGAAATGATAATGGTGGAGAAGGCGGGGGAGGGGGAGGGGTAAAGATAAGCAAGCACATACACTGTTTTGAATAAATCACCCCTTTTTTTTTTAAATAAAAGCATTGAATTTCACAAGTTAAAAAACCAATATTATCTTATGTAACAGAATAATGTCGAACTCAAAGTTTTTTTGAGTTTAATGATTTTTAAAATTTTAGGTTGGGGATAGAGGGGAAGTATGATTTAGGGATGGAGGAGAAGTATGATTTTGTAATAAATAAATGTACCAATGCAGAGGTTGGGGAGTGGGTAATAAAAACATACAGATGTGTGTAAGGACAGGGGGGAAGGAGGAGGGAAGAAAGGGGGTCTTAAACAAGCAGTTTTTACTGCATACCTACTTTGTGGGTGTCCCCTTTCTTAAGTTTAAAAATCTTGAGAACCACTTAGAACAATTTTTAAAGAAAAAAGTTTTGAAATTTTAGCTTTATAATAGAGGGCATGCTTAAGCAGACATTTTAAATAATGTTTTTTGTTGTCCTAATATATACTTGTATATAAGTTATCAATATTTTTCAGTAATATTTTCAAAATTTATGCAGATCTTGCGTTACTTGATAAAAAACATGAAATAGACTATTTGGATTAGTTTAATGACACAGGGTTCAATTGTTAAAGTTTATTTATGTTTAATATAGAAATCAAGATAAAAAGAAAAAAGAAAAAAAGATAAACAAAAATAAAGAATTAAAAGACCATACTGTGATACCTTATCTTGTTCTTCAACTGATAATGAGCTATGCAAAGGTAGGATAATCCATGATTTACTTTTAGCTGCATATTCTTTTGCAGCTTCAACCACTGCTGCAATTTCACTCATGCCACTCATAAATATTAGAAGATCACCTCTCTCGCTTGAAGGATACTTTTTAACAAAAAATGTATTATCAAATAGAAAAATGAACAAAATGTAAAACATTTCATAAAAAATAAAACAAAACAAACAAACCTTTTTGTCAATCAGCTGCATAACTTTTAAATAAGGACTTGGATCAAGGCGATCATGTTTATCTTTTAGCTCACTTTTCTGTATATATGTACATACATTTTTTAGACAAAAATGTTGAGGTTATGCGAGATCAGAGCATTAATTTAAAACTTATATAAAAAATTTTTGTTGAGATTATTTTAACAAAACATTTTAAAATTTAATTTTTGATCAAATAATTAAACAATTGTAGCAACTGAAAACTAACGCTACTGAAACCTAACGCTACTCTACTTTAATGTATAAGTTGTAAAAATAACTAAACACAGTATAGTTTAACTAAAATCAATATAACTATATGTTTACCTTATTTTTTATATTATGTTATTTTTTTATATATAACTATACTCTTAAATTTGCATTTATCATTTTATGCTTAGATAAAAAGTTTTAAGTTATATGTAATTAGCTATAAATTGTATAAACCATACCTGAACAAAATGTTGCATATATTGTAACTCTATTGGATACAACCTTCCTGGAACCTTTAAAAAAATTTGATTCAAACATTTTTATTTTAACTTGTTTTCTAAAATTAATCAAATTATTTCAAAACTTTTTTATAAACAACAAAAAACTTTTAAAATTTTTTATTGATCTGCTTTTAATTTGGCAAGGGTTATCCTAAAACCATACTACCATCTTAAGATATCTAAAGATAACCCATAGCTAATTTTTTTCATATTTATAATCATTTTTATTTTTATAAATTAATAGTGTTGATCGGACATCGATTAAAGGTACAAAAGTCTATTTATCTATAATTTTATGTATAGATAACATAAGTAGAACAAATTCATACTAAAAAAAAAACTTACCTGAATAACAGGAGCATCATGAAAATAGCTAGCAAAAAGACTAAAACATAACAAAATAATTAATTATAGAAAATATAATATCTATAATAGTTATAAATATAGCTATGACAAAAAAATACATTTTAAAACTATATACATTTTTACATTCAAAATATTTATTAAACTGTTAATTACAAAACTGTCTGACTTACTATGAATTTTTTTAAAATTTAAATAAAACTTAAATTAAACTTTATCAAAATTTACATTTCAATTCCAATAAACAAATCAGTGTAAAATCAAGACTTGTGTAAAACTAATAATTAAATTTCAGTATCAAGGAAAACAGTTTAATGCACAACTGTTGTCAAAATAAAAAATTGCAATATGAACAAAATATTGTGAAAAAAAAAGCTGGTGTAAATACAACAGTTCAATTCCAATATGAGCAAAAGTTTATGCCACATAAACTGGTGTAATAGGGTACAGTGTTTTAAGGTGCTGTGTATTATTAATAATGCATATTTACAAATTTAATTAAGCGTATACTAAATAAATTTACAAAAAGTTTTTCTTTTAGTTAAAAGATAATAAAAAACAAAAAATGGTTAAATAAAGATAAACAAACAACTAACTCTATATTAATGGTAGCCGACATTAGAATAAGTTTCAAATCAGATCTGTGCTGAAGAAGACACTTCAATACACCAAGTAAAAAGTCACCATTTATATGTCTTTCATGAACCTCATCTACAACCACCACATCGTACATGGAGAGATTGGGATCTGATTGGAATTGTCGCAATAGTAGGCCTGAACAAATTTATTATAACTATTATTTCACAATAATAACAACAACAAAAAAAGCAACTAATCATTACATAAACAAATCAGCAACAACAATTAAAATTTTTTTAATTGTTGTTGTTGAAACAACAACAATTAAAAAATATTTCACCTTCAGTTAAAAATACAACTTTTGTGTTTTTAGTTCGATTTGTCTCAAAACGCACCTAACAAAAAATATACAAAATATCAAAAATAAAGCATGGAATGGAGGTACAAAGTAATAATGCAATTTTAGTAACATTGCAAACCAGAAGAATAAAAGTCAGTTAATTTTGCAATGAAAATGACATATTTTGAAAATACAAGTCAAAATAGATAATTGTACACTGGTTGATGCATTAAATTATCTATTTGATTAAAGTCTCTAACTTTTCTAACTTTTATAAAAATTTTCTTGGTATTTTTAATTTTTTAATTATTTGTTTACAGTAAACTAGTTAAAATCAATTTAAATTTTAAATGAGCAACAATAATTAAACATGACCAAACTAAGTTTAGTCAAGTTTAATCCTTCTCATACATTTAAAAATTAGTTTTTTATTTGCTGATTTGATTTTATATATATATATATATATATATATATATATATATATATATATATATATATATATATATATATATATATATATATATATATATATATATATATATATATATATATATATATATATATATATATATAAATATATATATAAATATATATATATATATATATATATATATATATATATATATATATATATATATATATATATATATATATATATATATATATTGATGGCATTACGCACAGAAGTGTTAAGTACAACATTTGCATATTGTCATCGATATATATATATTTTTACTGTATTTACCTGGCCAATAAAATACTGTATTTTAGTGGCCAATAAAATACTGTATTTTAGTGGCCAATAAAATACTGTATTTTAGTGGCCAATGAAATACTGTATTTTAGTGACCAATAAAATACTGTATTTTAGTGGCCAATAAAATTGAGGCTACTTATGTAAATTTGTTATTTATATAAGTGCCAAGTTGTATAATAGCATAATATAAGGTAATTTTGTATGTAGTAACTTTAAGGTCTAAAACTTTAAACTAATCTGTTGAAATTTTGCTAAAGTGAAACATGTCTCTCTTTTATACAAATATCAGAATTTTGTGCTAAGATAAAATAAGATACATGAGAATTTTGTGCTAAGATAAAATATACATGAGAATAAACATTTTAAAGAATTTTTCTCACTTTTAAACAATATTTTACCTGATAAGCTATATCTGACTTGTATTCATTTAATGTTTCAAAACCAACTCTCTTTGCTAGTGAGATGCATGCTAAACGACGAGGTTGTGTACAAGCTATGTTGGAGTATCCATTTAAAAGTAAATATTGTGGAACCTATACGTTTTATTAGAAATCAAACCAAGATTTAAATTAAGAGTAAAAAAATTAACTGGCAGATATTTTATTTTAAACTGTCTTTTTATTTTTATTTTTTAAAATGATATTGACCCTCATAACACACCAATGCTAACTTTTCACACTTTGTTACAAAACTTATTAAACACCTGTGTTGACTTTCCACAACCAGTGTCTCCTGCAACAATAACAACTTGATTTTGTTGAAGAGCATAAACTATACTCTGCTCGTATTGCTTAATTGGAAGGTTATTTTGATCTTGCTTTAATTTCAGCAGCTTTGAAAACTAAAAAACAAAAATTTATACAATAAACATATTATGTTACACAAAGTAAATATACTAGAACAAATAAATATAAAACAAAACATTGGAAACAAAATATTGGAAAATAATAATTAAGTTAGTAAATGTTTATTTTGTTAAAATTAAAAATTAAAAACAACGAGTCATGTTCGGTAAACAGCATTAAAAACAATAAGTCAGTTTGATAAAACAACATTAAAAATAAGAAGCAGAGTTTGCTCATAAATAATAAATACTGCTGCTTTTCCAAAGCAGTATAAAAGCTAACTCGAAATAAACTCACACTTTTTTTTTGAACAAAGTCTAAGTAATATAAAATAACTTTTTGAAATTCCATCATATCATCCATTTTGAGCGAAGTATCTATAATTATTAAATTACAGTTATAAGTTTCTACAACTATAAGCATTTTAATTAAGAATAACAAATAAAAAACAGATTTTTCTTTCACAAAAGCAAAATTTCTTTTACCTTTTCTAAACATATTGAACCTTTTCTTAATAACATCTCGGGATAACTCAAAGTTAACCTTATAGTGTTTACTATATTTTTCAGGTATATTATACAAATTTGTCTTTATGACAGTATCTAATAAATAAATGTAAGAATAAAACATAATAAAGCATATTAAACAAATGTAGGTCTAAAACATAAACTAATGTAATAAAACAAAAACTAGAGATAACTGACTATTAAAGAAATCTAACAAAATTAGTAAAGATATAATATATATATATATATATATATATATATATATATATATATATATTATATATATATATATATATATATATATATATATATATATATATATATATATATATATATATATGTTATAATATACACATTCTTGTAAGCTATAATATATGTAGCATTTTGCAGAAAACTTTTTCTTTTACAGAATTCCTTGTATTTTATCTCAACAATTAATGTTAATATAATTTTTTAATGAAAAAAATAAAAATACATTACCATATGTTTTTCTATTTTGTGCATTAAAGCGCTCATACTTTTCCAAGAACAACCAAAAATCTTTTGCAGTAACTGAATTTCTGAAAGGTTTAGACTTGTTTGCTAAGTTTGTTATATAAATGAATGCAAGTTGATGATTTTATAATAAATAAATTAAAAAAAACTTTTCATAATGATTCAAGTAATATTTACCTTTGAATGACATCTTTATCAGTGAAAAACACAGCATTGAGTAGATCTTTATTTTTTAACCATTTTTCCATAGCAAAATATTTTATGAAGATTTACTATTTATGAAGATTTACTATTTATAAATACTTTTTTGCATATTTATTATATATGGCTGCACACAACACTAAGCACACTATAAATATTTTCAAGTATATATATATATATATATATATATATATATATATATATATATATATATATATATATATATATATATATATATATATATATATATATTTTAAACAAATATTAAAATATATATACATATATACTTTAAACAAAATAGAGACATTTACTTTATATTTCACTTCAAGAAATAAAATCTTTTAAAAATTGACTAAATAATAAATAATATATATAATAATAAACATTAACATAAATAAAAAATTTGAGTAGGAACTAATGAAAAACAAATTTACTTGATTTTATAACAGAAAAAAGAAAAAAAAGAAAAAAAAAAGAGCCATTATTTTCCATGTAGATACAATAATATAATTGTTAAAAAATTTTTTCTAAAAAAGTTTTATTTTAAAAAATAAATAAATATATATATATGTATGATTTAATTTCAAAAAAAAGTCTATATTGTATATTTCCATATTATGTATTAACTGTACATTTTCTTATAATAAATACCAATTTACTACTTATTTAAACAATCGAATAACTTGAAATTAAAAGACTACTGTTCAGTTAGCAGAAAAATTTCTATATCAAAACTAACTGAAAATTTTAAAAATAGAAAACATCATTTAACATCTTTGCAAACCAACTACAGGAATAATTTAAACAAACATGTAATAAAACACGAAAAAATAACAGCAAAACATTTAAACCAACAGCAAAAATATTGATCAGAAACATCATCAGTCAAAGCAAAAATTCAAATGCAATCTAATAACACAATAGCAGTAATTAAGAACATCAAATTTTAAAATTTAGAAAAACTAAAAATATCATTTAAAACAATTTAAAAAATAACAAGTTATTTCAGCTTAAACAAAAAATACATACACATAACTATATATAATTTATTACTCTTCTGGCTGACTGTGGACTTGTGATTGTTGGATACCAGATATTACATCTGCAAACAAACGCGTCATCTGGAAAGAAAACATAAAAAGATTAATAAACATATTTATTTTATCTTTTATATATATATATATATATATATATATATATATATATATATATATATATATATATATATATATATATATATATATATATATATATATATATACATATATAAAATTAAATAATAAAAACTGGCAAAAAAGTAATTACATGAGGTTCATACGAATTCTTTAACTCAAGAAGATATTTTAGAAATTTCATTGAAAGTGTGCACCAGCGCTCAGCCTGTGGAAAGTGATTAGCGCTAAAAAAAAAAAAAAATTAAACATAAAAACAATAAAAGTATATAAATGTTAAACCAATGAATATATATATATATATATATATATATATATATATATATATATATATATATATATATATATATATATATTAAATGCATTAAAAGATTAAAGCCACTATAAACATCTATGAACAATTAAAGCCATTATGAGTATCAAAAAATTCATTAAAGTAAAAAAGTGTATATATATATATATATATATATATATATATATATATATATATATATATATATATATATATATATATATATATATATATATATATATATACATATATTTATATTTATATATATTTATATATATATATATAAAATGCTGGAATAACTATACAGATTAAAGCCATTATGAACATCACAGCCATCACAAACATTTAAACTATTAAATGTAAAACATTAGTTTAAATATTACGTGTAAAGATGAATCCCACAATTCCATGCTTTTGTCATCAACCATACAATCTCCATCTCAGGATATTTACCCTGTATATCAAAGAGCATCGTTAAAATAATATAATTAAAAAAGAAGAAGAAGAAAAGGCAAGTAACAAATTTCAGATTTTTCCAAAAAAAACTCAGTTCTAATTCTCAAAAGTTTCAAAATTCAGATGTCTATAAAAGTTTGTAAAACTTTATAAAACCTTTTCTAATGAGTCAATAACTTTAAGTGTGTCTTCATAAAAGCTATAGGCATCCTCTTTTGTTTCAGGATTTGAAAGGCTTCCAAATTGCAATGATACATTGATCAAACAATGAATGTTCTTGCTAAAAAAATATTTAATGACTCATATATTATAGCATTCATATAAAAAGTTCATCTTCAGAAATTAATAAGAAAAAAGACATTTAAAAAAGAGTGTTCTTTTAGTTGTATATATTTGTATATATCTTAATTGTATATATTTGTATATTTTTTTATTGTATATTATATTTCTTTAATAAAAACTACTTAACTACACATTTTACATGCAGTAAAATAAACGTAATAAATAAACAAAATAGAGACATTTCATCCGACTTCGTTAAAAAAAAACTAATTAGTAATTATATTGTTAGATTAATTATGTAGATTAGTAAGTTTCTTGAGTAAGTAGTTTCCTTACTGTTATTCTATTTTGTTCACAAACAAACACAAAATGCATAGATTGAACAATCTTCCATAACCTTTCAAAAACATTCAGTTTTAAACATAAAATATACCAAATAGTTGCAAATAAAAAAATGACCACAATTCAGGATTATTCTAACTAAACTCTGACAAAAAAGTTATATCTATATAAACAAAAAAGTTATATCTATATAAACAAAAAAGTTATATTTATATAAATATGTTTTTTGTGGTTAAAGATTCACCTTAACGGCCATAGTATAAACTTCTGATATTTAAAATATATAAAAATACCTAAGAGCAGTGAAGTCAATAATTGGCTTTTCAAGATGATTTTTGATAGCTAATTTAATACACTTGATACCAATTTCTGACATTCCATTAAATACCATAAATGAAACATCTAAATATATAAAATTTAGATATAAAAAAGAAAAAAAAACAAGATTTTAGCTCAAATACTCAAACAATAATTTTTTTCTATTTGTACAACATACTAGCAAAGTTTTCAAACACCCTAGGGTCCAAGCCACTAATTTGTAATGCTTTATCCACTATCATTTCTAAATCAGTATGACCAAGTCTTGCTTTGGCTTCAAACTCATAACCCAACAAGAAATTCAGAGAAGTATCTAAAAATACAATAATATAATTCAAATATGTAAACATATAAACTACCAATTTAGAACCCCCCCACCCCCAATTAAGTTGTTGATTAATTGTAGTTAGCTAACTGATCCTACTAATGTTGAAATAAGACAAAATACATTAAATGTAGTTGAAAAATTTCTAACTATTGTTAAACTTGATATATGGTAAACATTGGTTTTCTTTTACCTTTAATGTTATGAAGTTTTTCAATAACTGCATAACACTTGTAAACTAACTGAAGAACTGTTTCTAACCACATAATCTAAATAAAACAATCATAAACCTCTTTAGAATTTAAACTAGACTAGCCTAATAAATAAAATTGATAGAATATTAGAAATTTAAATTATTCGAGTTTAATAAATAGTAATCACAAACTTTGTTTAATAAACAGAACTTTGTTACAAGTTTATCTTCTATTTAACAAACAGTGGTTTATTATCTATATGTATTTAACATCTTTAGGCTATACACCAGATATATTTAATATAATACATTTGACATTTTACATATGACACCTTGATTGAAATCAAAAAACCTCAATTTCAATTACTTTGTGCTTTTAAACCTTTCAACTTTGATTATGACAAGTTTTATCAATTAAATTATTCACATAAATAGAATGTAAAAATCATAACAGGTCAATTGAAATAAAAGGTTGAATGAAACTAAGTATCTAAGAATTGTGCCTTGTAGAGTGTGCTTTTTAAAGCAAAGTTTAGGAGAAGCAATTCCCTACTTAAAAATCTCCTGCCTTGGTTGAGTAAAGGCTAGAGATTAAAAATACTCATTTATCTCGATAAAAACTTATTTTTGGCAGATGTTAACTGCATCCAGCTAAATTTCCCTTGTCGCTGGGCTCTTGGTTGAGTAAAGACTAGAGATCTTGTCTTGATAAAAATACTCATCTTGAGTAAATGTTAACTATATCCAGCTACTGTCTTGTAGGAGGCCTCCTAGGCAAAGACTTTAGGGGTAAGCAGAACAATTCTGCTAACCAGCCTCGAACCCCTTCTCCATCTATTAGACTGGTATAGATGTAAAACTGTTTTACATTGTTTCCTGCCTGGGATGATGAACGCTGGATCTTCTTAATTCTTCTCATAGGTTTTTGTTTGTGCTTCCTTAATAGTGGCTATGCAACTCTTCCTGATATCTCCTAATGATGGTACAGCTCTAAAACTAAGTTTAATGGTTCTGAGGCCAGCTGGTAGTAAGGTTTCCCAAACTCTGTGGTAGCACTCAGAGAGGTTGATTCCATCAACAGCTGCAAAATATCAGAGCTTGGGGGTATACATACGCATCAATTCACTTATTTGTCGTGAAATCAGGTTCAAATCATTTGACCATTCTTTTATGTGTTTCCGCTTAACACTTCTTCACTCTATCACCATTCTCATTTTTCTTTATCGTTCTTCTTCTTCCCAATTTTGGATATTATTTCTGATCAAATTGACCATGCCCTCTCTCTTTACCCCTCTGCCAATATTTTTGTTATTGGTGACTTTAATGCTCATCACACTGAATGGCTTGACTCTAACACCACTGACCATGCTGGCCCTAAAGCCTATAACTTCTGCATTTCTAAATCTCTTACTTAAATAGTTAACTTTGTGACTTGTTTTCGTAACAACCCTAACTATTTACCTTCACTCCTTGATTTATGACTGGTCTCTGATCTTAGCTTGTGTTCAGTTTCTCATTGTTTTCCTTTAGGTGGTTCTGACCATGCAATGATCTCTTTAAATCTTTCATTTCGTACTTCCTTTTCAGATTCTATCATCGCACTACTTACTACTACCCTAAAGCTGACTAAAATTCTTTTCGTAATTTTCTTTGTGACAGTCCTTGGGCTGATGTCTTTTCCCTCTCAGCTGAAAAATGCTCCTCCTACCTAACCTCCTGGATTCAGGCAGGAATGAAAGCTTTTATTCCTTCTTGTTGGTTCTAAGTCAAGTCTCATTCTACTCCATGGTTTTCACCCTCTTGTGTTACTGCTATATCTAATCCTAATCATTTTTTTCATTAACAAAGTTGTTAACAAAGGTAAGTCTAACATTCCATCTCTCATTCATGGAACTAATCTTATTACCTCTCCCAAGAATAAGGTAGAACTATTTGCAAAGAACTTTTCTTCTACTTTGACTCTCGAATCTTAGAGCCATCTAAGATTTGAGAGTCAAAGTTTCTCTTCCTTCCATTCCAATTGAACAAGTTAACCCATTGTTATAAATTCAAATCACTGCAGCTTCCGTTGCTAAAGTCATATCTCTATTAAATTCTTCTATGGCTTGTGGTCCATAGTCTTACAAAATTGTTTTCCAGAACTCTCTTTAAACTATTTAATAAGTGCTTGACTGAATCTTGTTTTCCTGCCTGCTGGAAAATGATTGTTCCAATTTTAAGAACATTCTGAACACCCTCCACCGCCTGATCTTTTATTTTAATTTCCGATCAGTCTTCTTTCAGTTATTAGCAAGGTCTTTAATAAACAAATTTTTTCAATCACATCTTGAGTCAAATAACTTACTGTCAGACAATCAATACAGTTTTCGATCCTCTCATTCTATGGGTGTCTTGCCAACTGCTGTGACCAAAAGATTTTATCGTGCATTAGATGGAGGCAGAGAGGCTAGGACTTTTGCTCTTGACATATCAAAGGTTTTTGACAAAATTTGGTATGCTGGTCTTCTCCATAAGCTTGTTTCATATGGTGTATCTGGGAAAGTTTTTGAGATTATCAAAACATTTTTTTTTAACTGTTTCAATAAAAAATTTTTAATAAAAAAAAAAAAAAGTCTTTAATTAAAAATTAAAATAAAAATTTTTTTAATTAAAAATTAAATTAAAAATTTTTAATAAAAAATAAAGTCTTCTCTTTTTGATTGTTTAAATCAGGTAGCCAATCTTGAATCTGATTTCACTTCTGTAACAAATTGGGGCTCACAGTGGCTTCTAAATTTTAGATCTAACAAAACTCTGCAATAGTTGTTTGCAGTTTTTTACAAAATGTCAAAGCAAACTCAAATTCAAAAAATAAAATTTAATAAAATTTCATGGCAACAGCGTGGCAACAACACTCCTACTTTTTCTTGTTGATAAAGGAGGAGGGAGGAGGAAAGAGGCAGAGAGGGGAGGTAATTTAAACTATTTTAAAATCATTTTGTAGCAGAATAAACCAATAGAATTATATTGCTACACATTTTCAAGTAAACAGCAAAAAAAAAAAAAAAAAAAAAAAAAAAACGATAAAGAAAAAAAATGTATTGAAGTGTGCATTTTAATATTTTTTTAAACATTAATTTTTTATACATGTATTTATATAATGCTGTTTTTGTACATTTTATGTTTAAACATAAAATATCTTTACCTCATTCATATTTAACCTTAGCCATATCTTAACCTCAGTCAAAATATGAAGTAAAGGCTTCACCTAACCCAATTTTAGTACGACATCATCAGTGATGTGTCATACAAGTCTAGAGTGAAGATTTTTGTTGAGTATGACTATTAAGAATATTATTTTAAATAAAATAATGACAGAAAATTACCATATCATTTTTGTTATCACGTGCCAACTGCAAACTACAACCTGCTGCCATTAATAGACAAGTTTTTTGTTGCACATTACTCTGGTCAGCTTGAGGTAACAGTAAGGACAACTGCAATATTTAAACTTAAAATTAGAATGGAAGATCAAAAAAGCTTATGAAAGGAAGATCATAAAAAAGAATTAAGAAAAGAGTATGAATCATGACAGTTTAAAAAAGAATATAAGGTTTAAAATTGAGAAATTATGTTTAAAAAAAAATTATAAAATTTAATAAAAAAAATTTAAAATCAAATAACGTAATTTTCAAAAAAAAAATTAAAAAAGATAATTGAATGTTATAAAGATATGAGTAAAACATGATAAAAATCAAACTACAATTTACCTTATAACAACATGTGAAAGCTCCATGCATGCATAAATAGTAATTTGAACATGAAAGAGCTAAGTTCCAAGCTAGAAAAACAACAATTTTAAAAATATTTACCATTTATAATATTAAAAGTAAAAAAATGTAACATATAAAAGTAAAAAAATGTAACATATAATGGTACAAAAACAGCTTTTTAAGCTACAGCTGTTTTCCTTTTTTTTTTTTTGAACTCTTTCAGAGTTCAAAAATTATAACCATATAAAGTTTAAACCCCTCTCAATTTGAGAGGGTTACAAATTTTATACAGTCATAATTTTTGAACGCTTAGAAATTGCAAAACAATACTTAAAATTTATCGATGAATATAAATTTAGTTAAATAATAGCAAAAAAATTATTTCATCAACTTGTTGCTTTCATGTTTGTGGCAGGGGAAATAAAATTTTATTCCCCTCCAATCATTGCAACTTCACAGCCTACAATCATTACAACTTTTTAAAAAGCATCATTATTTGACATAAGTATAAACATACAATTGTTTGGATTTTGCTCCATGTTAGGTATTTCAAACACCAAAAAATGCTGGATCTGTCACTGCCACAGATATCTTGTTTATTTATATACATATAAATTTTCAGCTTAAAAAAAATATCTCAAGAAAATATGTAAAAAAATAATTTTTAAAGTTACTTTTAAGGTTCAGAGTTTGCAGTTAGATATCGGATCAAAATCAATTTAGAACCATTCAATAACGAGAAAGCGAGAAAGTAGTTGCAGCTTCTTGAATCAACTCTTTTTTTTTTAATGGTTTTTTTACAACTCTTTATTTGAAGTAGCTTCTGAAGCTTCTCCAAGCTCATTACACGCTCTAAATTATCTTGAATAAATTTTACTGTAAGCACACCGAAATTGAATTTTTTATTACAAAACATTTTTTAAGAAATAAATATCCTACCCTGCAATTTTTTTCAAAAACAAGAAATATATTTCTTGTTTTGAAAAATAAATTTCTTAAACTATGCTTATTAAATTTGCGATTTTGCTGTGAGTTCTGACGAGTTGTTAGCAACTTTGAAAGATTTTAAAAGTTTTGGAATTAATTGCACGCAAAAAGTCTGAGGGAGTCTCATCTGTAGAAATTTCTTAAACTATGACTTAGAATATTAAAATTAACCAGTAGTCTGGTTAATTTTGTCTGGTGAAAAATACAACTCAAGACCTAGTGGCTGGTCTTCATCAACAAAAACTGCTTTCAGAAGGATTTCAGCTTTGATTCTATCCATTTTTACATCTTTTTAGACCTCTTTTTTTTTTTGAATACATAACTTTTTACCATTTTTATATTGTGATCTCAGTCAAAAGATGCTATGGCCAGCACCAAACACCTCTAAGGTTTTATCACGATTTGAATTTCAACTCTGCAGCAGACTCTATATACATCTGCCAATAGATCTTAAAAGTATAAGTTAAAAATAATGCAGTGTAGATAAAATAAGATTTAAAACAACATAGCTAAATACTTATTACATTTATTTTTGATAAGATAAAATCAAAGTGTTATTTCTATTGATTTCATTTTTATTATATTTCTACTGATTTTAAGAAAAGTCTGTCATTAGAAAAAAAATTGGTTTAGAGTTATTTTCTTTGTTTTTTACATCTGATTTTAAGCCATTTTGCAAACCATACTTTTTAAACAATTTGTTATTTTATGACATAAATTATTCTTAAAAAATAAAACTAAAATATCCAAACTTATGAAATTAAGTTTTAAAAAAGTCAGAAAAGTCGCAGGTCTAACCCGTGATTCCCTAGAATAAGAAATGTAGTCAGCCATTCTATTGATCTCTTTGAGTATTTTATTACTCAGAATAAATACCTGCCTGATTTTAAAGAAATGCAACTTGAATTTCATAAAATACAAAGCATGTGAAACCACTCCATATTTGTTAATTTTCACCTAATGGTCTGATTTTTCCCCGCAAGTTCACAATAATCTCTCCACTTCTTAGAAGTCTATATGTAAATAATTTTAAAATTAGAAACTTATTCATTTTGTTTTTGCAAAAAGATATTTTAATGTGAAGCAGTTTTATCTTTACATGTTTTTTACTGCTTTTTTTTTTTTACTGTTTTTTAACCTTTAATGGTTTTATGATATAAGTAGTTTATTCCCCAGCTTAACAGTTTTATTTACAGCTGCGACTAAATGAAGCTCTCCAACATGATGGCAGGAGGTTAACAAGAATAATGGTCGGGCAGGAAACTTAGCTAATCTTGTATTAACTCCTTTTAAATAGTCAGGGCTTAAAGTGGGTGAACTGTATGAAACAAAAATCATTTAACAAGTTTTTAATTGCTGTGTATTGGGTCTCAACACTCACTTGTTTAAAATTCACGTTTTTTTAATTTCATTTAAAATGAATTTGTGCGTTTTTAAAATACCACCAGTTAACAAAAATAATAGTAATAAAAATGCGCACAATCAGTATAGATAAAAAACCTTCCATTACTTGTAACAATGTTATTATATAGTTAATGATTTATAAATTTCTATTTGCACTGATTGTTTGAAAATGCCCGTAAAAACTTAAAAAATGTTAAACTTTAAAAGAGTGGCGCAAGTATAAATCATCTAAAATAAAAAAATAAAAATTTCAATACAACAATATCTTACAACACTCTTCGTATTAAAATTTGTTGATGAAGGTCAAAATGGGATGGACTAATATATATAAATATATATACAATGCTCGAAGTGAGGCGGGATGTAGCAAGATGCCATCCCGCCACCTTTCTATAAAGTATAAACCATCCTGCCACGTTTTTATAAATCTCTCTATATAAAAATGATTATGCGGGATCGTATTTTTAATTTACTGTTACTATATACTATATGTTACTTTTTTTTCTCCACTTCGAGCACTGTATATATATATATATATATATATATATATATATATATATATATATATATATATATATATATATATATATATATACAATGTACAGTTAAATAATAACACCTAGTAGTTAAGGGGAGGAGAGGGGTCCAAAAAATTGCATATTCATAACTTTTGTAATTTACAATATTTTTCTATGAAATTTAAAATTTGTTTACGAACTTATTAATATATTAAAAAATAGTAAAAATAAAAATTACACTAGATTAGTGTCCTTATAATTAGGCAGGGAGGGAGGGGGAGGTGAATATTTTAGGGTTTTTGTTCCCATGCTTCTACCAACTCAATTTTTTGCAAAGCCTCCTCATTTGGCAAAGGTATGAAAATACTTAAGTTTAGAGTTTGCAAAACACGTGAAAGTGTCATATCTGAAATATCAAAATATCCTGCAGGCACCCATGGGTATTTGGGGTACTTGTAATAATCTAATGATTGAGTTTTTTTCAGTAAGTTAAAAGTAGTTGTAAGTTAAAAGGAGTTAATTCCAATGAATATACGTTCATGTCCATAGTTTTTAAGTAAATATATATTTTCTTCATTTTTTTTTTCTTTCTATACTTTTTAATTAGTAGAATATGGAATTTTTGATTTTCATATTTTTTAAATTTTATCATTTTTTACAGTTATTACAACTCAGTTTTTAAGTTTTATTTTATTTGATATTTTTTTTTTTTTTTTTTTTTTTTAATTTTCTTCCTGTATATTAGACATTTTGGCAAAAAATTGTTCAGTTATTCTACTTTGTGGTTAAACATTTTTTATACTATATTCTTGTGTAAATAAAAAGGCTCTTTAAATAGCGTTATTGTAATTTTTGCCATTTTTAATTTTTTCTTTTTTTCCAGTTCTTTAAAAGTGTCTGTCAGAATTAAACTAAACATTCAGTTCAAAGTCTATGCAATATTTCATTTCAGCCATTTTTAATTCATTATTGCTATTATCATTTTATTTGTGTATCATAAAAGTCCTCCATTTTTCAACTTTAGTAAAATATAAAAACAGGTTGGTTATGAGCACAGCAAAACAGGTTAGTAAAAAGTTTTTATAAAAACTTAAGATGAGGATCCGATATACTATTATACCTTATATATGTATAAAGTGTACATAAAATAGTGACATAAAATAGTTAAAAATATGAAAATGTGTCTTTGATAGATAAAATGATTTCTTTTAGTTTTTTTTTGAATAAAGGGTAATTCCATTCGAAGGAAAAATCAAAGTAAAGGTTGTTGAGTTATCAATTCTTAAGTTGTATTTACTTTTATCTTTTAAGGCATCAGGATTATGAAAAGAAATAGGAGATGCTTTGGTTTTACATTTGTACATAAAACAAAGTATGTTTAAAATATTTCAAATAAGAGAGGCTAGGCATAAGCAAATCTATCTTTAAAACCAGTGATATTTTTGTTCGGAAAATAATTTTAGTTTTAGTTTTTATTCAGTTTAGAGGCAAAGTTTTTAGTTCTAGTTCTTATTCAGTTCAGTAAATAAATTTAGTACTAGTTTTTATTCAGTTCATCTTAAAATAATTTTAGTTTTAGTTTTTATTTAGTTCAATTTTCGTTTGTCGTATAAATTTTTTATCTCATCTAATTATAATTTAGTATAATTTATAAATAATATAGGCATATATAATTAAAAGAAGTAAGTCTTAGTTCTATAAACAAACAAAAAAATGAGAACTTAATTAAATGTAATACACCCAGTCCCATGGCTGGAAGTTTAGAGCCCCGCCCACCGCCCTTAATAAAAAACACCACAACAACCTGTCCTTATTGCTCTAAAACTTAAAAAAATTTCAATTATTAGGTATAAAAAAAACTCCTCAAATTTGGTAACAATAAAAACTAATGAATAGTTATTGTATAGACTTTAATTATTACTCATATATTTTACAAATAAAGGGCCTAGTGATTATATGATTATCATTTAGACTAGATGAGAATTTAGTTTTAAGAAAACTCGCATTTCCAATGACGCTGACATTCGATTTCTCCATCCATTTGTGAGCAAGCCACAGATTGAAAAAAGTCTTTCAACATATGCTTGAGTTGCAGGAGCTGCAATGAGGTCTTCAGCTAATGGTGCAATATGTGGGTAAACAGCACGTCTCATCTTCCAGAAATTTAAAGCATTTTGGCACATAGAGCTGTTCCTTATTTCAATAAAATATTTGTTGAGTTCATTTTGTGCTTCATTACCTGGAATAAGCTTTATTTTTTCTACTTGCTGTTTTGCCGCTAAAAATTTCCATTTTGTTAATCCATTTATTTCTGGAGCAATCTCAACAGAAAGAGTAGATGCACTTGCTAAAGGTAAATCATGTAGCACCGATTATTTAGCCTCTGACAAAATGTATCTCTTTGCACACTCTCTGATTTGTGTATGCTCATTACCTAAAAGAGTTATTGCACATGTGGGGTCAAGTAGACATGCGGCACATGGCAGTGGATTAAAACTAGGATCGTTTGGCTGCAAAAGAACGGCAAAACGACGGCGTAGATCTTCAAGCATTTTAACTGCTACATCTTTGGCATCTCCAAATTGCTCAAGGTGACATTCTAAATTAAGTATTGAAGGTATAACACTGGATAGTGAAAGTGCATCCGTCTGAAGAATATCAGTTTCATTGGCAAAAGGTTCTAAAAGATTGACAAAATCCTGAAGCATTATCCATTCGCTATTGGCAAGTGAATCAATGTTAAGGTCTCCAAGCACTTCGTTGATAGATGTCTTTATTTCCAGAAATCTCCGAACCATAAAGTAAGTGCTGTTCCATCTTGTAGAACAGTCGCTGATCACAGTCTTACCACATTTGTTGATAATTTTTTCCAATGCAACAGAAGATTTGCGAACTTTTCCCACTAATCCACGTACCTTCAAAAGTAAGCCATGATATTTACCATCATATGCAAGTTTTACAACTAGCTGTATAACATGTGCAATGCATCCCAATCTTCTAAATGCTACGTTTTCTATTACATCAACTATCAAGTCAACATGTTCCCACTCTTCACTATTTGTCATATTCTCATCGTCTTCCAGATCTGTTATCTGCTCTTCATTAACCTCACTTTCTAATTCAATAAGTATATCACGTTCAGCTTGAGCTTTCATTCTCGACAACTTTATGCCTTTGACCATGTTTGCTCCATTGTCCGAAATAACAAGCAATATTTTTTCTCTGGAAATATTCCAATATTTTAGGCATTTTTCAAAACAATTAGCAATTTGTTTACCTGTATGTGGATGTTTCACAAGATACAAATTAAGCAGAGCATGTATTGGTTTTTCGGATTTGAAGTGAAAAAAACAAACCGAAATTCCTAAAAAGGACGCAGTAAGACCTTTTTTAGTCCAGCCATCAAGGCATATTGTGAAGCGCCTGCCTTCAGATATGAAGTCACAAAGTTTTCTCGTTAAAACAGTAAATTCTTCATTAAGTAGGCTAGTAATTTTGGCAGAAGCAGGCAATGAAAATTTATAATCCAAGGTATTAACTAACTTTCTAAAACTCGCATTATCCACCAATGTCACTGGATTACATGTTGCAATTATCATTTGAATAAGAGAGTTTAGTCGAATTTTATGCTCGTGTGAATTAATAGGCCATGCGGTATTCCTACGATTAATGCATTGAATCAAGGTCTGGTTCTGATTTGAGGACGATTCTAAAAGAGTGGGTCCATTTTCATCCACTGCTTTTCTCTTTATCCCTGTTTGCTTTTTTTCACTTAATTTCTTTAAATCCGACTCTTCCAGCTCAACGTGTACAGACTTATGGTTTCTTGCTAAATGTAGCTAGAAAAAAATAAACATATTTATATAATTTTTTTTTTGTATATTTATATGTCTATTTATCTATCTGTTTATCAATTAATGTATAAATAAGTTCGTATACGTTATTGAATAATTACTCTAAAATGATAAAAATGAGTCGTTTGTTTCAAAATGAAAACATATCCTCTAACAGATAAACTAACTTTAAGATTTGTTGGGTTCTTTCCACACAACTTTGTATTGCATACTTTTTCACCATCAAGTAAAACTAAACATACTGATTTGTCGGATGACGCATCGTATTTAAACCATTTCCATACTGAACTATTCCTCTTCCTACCAGCAAAAAGTTTACTCAAACTCATCGCGTAGTTGTGTTGGTCTTACAGTTTGATTTTTTTTAGTTCGAAAAAATATATTCGAATAAATATATTCGAACTATATCATAACTAAACTTATTCGAACTTAATTGAATAAAATTCAATTAAGTTCGAATAATATATCATTATAATGTATTGTATTATAATAATTATATATATCAAATAATTCAACTCGTTTCAAATCTAGAACGAAAATATTTCGTTTTAAAATAATTTTCGATTCAGTTTATATTCCGTTCGAAAATTTAAAATTATCGTTTTTATTCTGTTCTCGTTCTTAAAATAAATTTAGTTTTAGTTTTTGTTTTCGTAAACGAAAGGCTTTTTTTTTCGTTCTCGTTTTCGTTCTCGTGTACGAAAATATCACTGTTTAAAACTGATTAGACGAGTAACATGCTTTTACTGATTATAAAGTGGTAACAATTTAGATTTATTGGTAAAACCCCAATAAATTTTTACATAATTTATATGGCTATGGATAACAGCAAATAATGTCTATATACGGCAATTTTTCTGCAAAATTTCTTTATGAATACATATTAAATAATATAAACAGAACTACTCAAATAAAATTAAATAGTATAGCATACAGTAAAGTATAAATATAGAAGAGATGTAGAGTATATTAATAAATAAAAAACAAATTTGCAATTTTTTAATCTTACCAATTTTATTAAACCATATTGTCTCTTCATGAATATCAGCATTAGGATTTTTAGACAAAACTTCCAAGAATGTAAGAGCTAAAAAGCAATTACATAATGAACAACTTATATATATATATATATATATATATATATATATATATATATTATATATATATATATATATATATATATATACATATATATCCTTATAGTGTAGTCGAAAGAGTCGTTTAATGTAAAAAAAGTCTCTTTCGACTACAATTTTAATTACCTCGTCTCTTAAGCTGTTTTTGATTGTCATCGAAATGTCAAAGCAATTAATTTATGCGGAAGTACATTAAATTTAATTGTTTTTTAAAAATTTTTTAAAAAACCGCAATTATAACGACTAGAAAGTTTTTTTTAATTAGTGGTGTTTTTGTTATTGACTTAATAAAAAACATTTTTAAAACATGCGATAATGTTGCTACATCCACTATCTTATAGCCTGACTCGCAACAGAGTGCTGCTACATCGACTGACAAATAGCCTGACTTGCAATGGAGTGCTGCTACATCGACTGACAAATAGCCTGACTCGCAAGAGAGTGCTGCTACATCGACTGAGGGTTTGGTTTGGCCAGGCAGTCTATCAATTAAAAAAAAAATTCAATTTTTAAAACTTTTTGTGGTCTGGTTTATTAACGCGCTCTTTAAAACTACAGTTTATAAGAAACTTTTTTTGATGCCATGCAAGAGACATGCAAGAGTATATATATATATATATATATATATATATATATATATATATATATATATATATATATATATATATATATATATATATATATACATATATATATATATACATATACATATATATAGTGTTTGACAAGCTACAACTATGATATTCAACAAAAAGTTGCATCTAACACAAGATTATATGCATTTCCAACTTATTGAAAATTTTTTTAAATAGACTTTAAAATTTAATATGGCCTGCTATACCCAAGTTCAAGTGAACAACCAAATTAAGAAACTCAACGAAGCGTGCTCAAGATCAGCTGCTGAAAAATAGAACGTCAATAGTTTTTCGAATAATTTTTAGGAATAATTTTTTCGCTGAAATATGTCTTTTATACCTATAAGATTTTATTCTAACATTTTATTTTATTTTACCAAAAATAAAATTCTTTGTAAACATTAAAAATCTATTCAAAACGTTCGTTAAAGTTTTTTAGTAATACAGGTGATTGTGCTTATCAACCGCTTTATAAAAATAAATAAAAATAAAAAAATATTAAATAAAATTGCGAGTAAAAATATTAGCTATTGCACAGTTTTTAATTGTACAATATTAAAATTTCCAGTTAATTACTCGCTGACTTTTTAAAAAGAAAAAATAATTATTTGAAAAACTTTAAATTATATATTTGAGAAAAAAAAAAAATCAAATATTAGCATATTTTATAATCTTTTTTAAATGTTTAGTTATAATGTTTTTTATTCGTTTAGTATAGACAAAACGTGTCAAATGTTGAGAAAATAAACAAATGTTTTTACATTTTAAAAAACGAAACATTCCAAAACATTTTTAAATAATAACATTTCTACATAAACGATTTAAAGTAGTTTTGCGGTAATTAAGTAAATTGGTGCAGTTAATGTCAATAAATATGAAAAGCAAATAAAAAGAATTTAATGACGTCAAAAATCACGTCGTGCTTATGCGTCGCGCAGTTTTTATTCATCACAAGGCCTGAATACCCCCTTCAAACTTTTCAAAAAATTATCAAATCCTGGCCAATCCACAAACAAACATCCCAGTGAGGTTTCTATTTCTATCTATATATGTAAATTTCAACATTTAGTACCTCTTCCGGAAGAAGTACTAAATGTTGAATTAGAGTATTTGGGTTGTCATCTAGGTAAAAAATTTATGGATAAATTACATTTATAGGTTTTATTTTAGATTTTTTTGAACTATGTTTATTTTTTTTACCAATAGTTAAAGCCTCTGATTGTTTGTAGTTTACCACAAACTTCACTTGTGTCTCCTTCACAAAAAAGAAAAGCTTTTTAACCTGCATGGTTCAAGTCAACGCTGATTTATGTGTCTTAAACAAACACAAGATCTTTTATAGTTGTACCACGAGTACTGCCAAGGAAGTTGATTTGGAAAATAACTATAATATTACAAGAAACTTTTAATGCTATACCTAATTTTAAGTAGTAAAAGATATATAACTGCTACCTTGTATATAATTTTATTTTAAAAAGGTTTATTGGTTGTGATTTATTTAATTACCCTTATTTTTAAACAGAAAAATGTTAAATTTTAAATAACTAAAAGCAAAAAAAAAATTAGGATAATTTATACTATCATGGTTATAATGAATTCATGAAAAGATAACATAAACCATTAATAAAGGTAACATAAACCATCAATGGTTTTTTCTTTTACATATCAGGTTAAAGTAAAAATAGTATCAGGTTAAATTTCTGTTAAATATTAAATTAAAATTAACAATTAAATATATCAAGTTAAAGAAAAATAAATGTAACAAAAAACAGTCTAAAAATATCTTTTAAAATAAAAAAATTCTTCAACAAAATTTCTTTATAAGAACCAGTAAGGTTTGTTTAGAAGTTAATAGCACTTCAAAATTATAGAATGTTGGCATATTTTAATATGAATTTATGCAATGATCGAAATAATACATAAGTAAAATACTATGTGAACCATTGTTGAAACTTTTAAGTCGACTTTTGGATGCTTAATAGACTTTATCCAAATGATTTATACAAAACATTATGATTATAAAACGATTTATTGTAAATCATCACAATAAAACATGATATTTTAATTCATTTTAAACCAGCCCTTAATGTTGCATAGCATATTTAGACTTTACCATCTCCTATGAAAGTATTTACTTACAAGAACATAAAGTTTTAAGATAGCTCCTTTTAAAACAGATCTCTAACATTGCATAACATATTACAATTCTCTACACCCTTCTATGATAATACTTTAATGACAAATACTTTATTCATTATAAACAAAATTGTATAAATATATTAAATTTCTCTATTTCACCTAAGTATAAATAATATTAATTTTTGGCAACTTTCTATCAAAAAATTTTAGATTTTGAAAAATTTGACAACAATAAAATTTTTAAAGCCACTTATTTGCTTTATTCTTCACTAAATACAAGTTGAACATTTTCTTTTACCAGTTTTACTTGCATAGGATGTAGAACTCATGGTCAGTTTTAAAATATAACAAGTATATAAGGTGCCCCCATGATACAGGTCACCATATCTGCCTAAAAATCATACTTATATTAGCAAACATTTCCAAAATTCAATAGTGAAACAATTACAAAACTGTGCAACTTAATTTGATATCAAAACATTTTTGCTAATACTAAAAAATTTTTCTACTGTGACTTTAAATTACTGTTGTATTTTTATTTTAGAAGATTTGCAACACTGTGGTACTTTTGTGAACTTCTCTTCTTCAAACACTTGGCCAAGCGTCTTTCAGATTTACAAGCCCAAAAAACTGACAAATCTGACATTCTGATTAAGGTTTGGACATTAAGTTGTCTTATTTCTCACTATTTTTATAATAGCAATATTTAATTGGGGAAGATTGCTGGGGAACAAATGAGAGGACAAGTATAGTATATAGTAAGTGATACTAAAGCTAGCTGAACTACTTTATTGTAGTGGAAGAAATACTACACCTGACCAAATCTTTTCACTAGATAAAAAGCCAATGTTTGATGTTATAAAATAGACGCACAAATTAAGGGCTAATAGTATATCATCGCCCTAGCCAAAAAGTTCTGTATGACCTTTAGGATTTTGGAACAACAAAAAAAAGACAAAAGTCTAAAACACTTTTTAACTTACGTGTATTAATTTAATGGAGCTCAAATCGGAAATTTTTTTTTTTCCAAATTCTTATAAGATTCTATAGGACTTTTTGACTAGAGAAGGATAAAAACAAAAAATTTTTGATCAGCCAGCCTTATAACATAACAACTAAATAGTACAGAATACTTTCACACACAAAAAAAATAATGAAAAAAAACAAAAAAAACAAACCTTTTTCAACAAGCTTTAAAACATTTTCTATCTCATTCCTAAAAAAAGGAAAGTTATTTTTTTTAATATAAAGTATTTAAATTGAAAAAAATTTTCAGAGATAAATATATTTCATATTTAATTGCTTTAACTTTAAATTAGTTAATTAGTTTAAGGGGCTATTCATAAAGTATGTACGCCAAAAATTCTAAAATTTGACACCCCCTCCCCCTGTTACTATGCGTACTTTTAAAACATTTTTTATCTCATTCTTAAAAAAAGGAAAGTTATTTTTTTTTAATATAAAGTATATAAATTGAAAAAAAATTTTCAGAGATAAATATATTTCATATTTAATTGCTTTAACTTTAAATTAGTTAATTAGTTTAAGGGGTTATTCATAAAGTATGTACGCCAAATATTCTGAAATTTGACAGCCCCCTTCCCCTGTTACTATGCGTACTTTTAAGTCCCCACTGCCCTTAAAAAGTACTTACATTTTTCATACACCCCCTCCCCCATTGAAAAAAAAAGGCGTAGGAGATACTCTAGATACTTTAAAAGTATCTAGGGTACCTCCTCCACCTTTTTATTTCAATAAATTTTTATATTAAAAAAAATAAAAAATAGGCAGGGGTGAAAAACCTATAAATTATTTATACGATCTTAAAGCCCTATGTTAGCGGCAAAGGATCCCAATTTAAAAAACATTAAATATATTCAAATATAAATTTAAATAAAATTAAATCTTATATTATTGGCCAAGTGGATAATGTTATGAGCAGTGACAGCCGAGTACCCAGTTTGATTCCTGGTAAAGTCCTATTTTACTTTTTTTGTTTAATGACGCATCAAATAAAAATAAACTACACTTAAGGCAGACATTTTTTTCAGGCACCCCTCTTTAGTAAGTCCATAAAGAGCAAGTCACGCAAGAAGAGTAATATTAAAAACAAAGCTTAAAACCCAGTGCCGAATGTAGGTTACCCATACCCCATAATTAGAGGGGGTGGGGTGTTGTGGGGCAGCAGAAAATTTTATGCCCTTTTGCTATTTTATTTTAGCAAAACCTAGTGGTAAAACTTGGAAGATTTTGAGACCCTAATGACACGCTTTTTTTTTGAGGGGAGAGGGGGGGTCTCCGAACTATTAGCCATTGCACTACTAAAACCTGTTTTTTGTTGACTCAAAAAAAAGGCAACCTATTTTTTCCATATGCATGCACAAATGCCACCCCTTATATACTGGCCCTGAGTATACTCAGGGCCAGTATATAAGAAGTGGCATGGGCATTTTCAGGACTTTTTGATGTTCCAGATAAGACACTTTCACACATTGTGCAAACTCCAAACTTAAGTATGTTTATACCTATGCCAAATACTTTTAAATTGAACCCCCCCCCATATGCTTTTGCACGCTTTTTGAAGACCTCCCCCTCCCCTCTATGAGCATACGTACTTTATGGACGACCCCTAACTACATTTAGTTGTATTCCAAGCAGAAAATATTATGATTTACATATTTATATTTTACGTAAAAAATTTTATAAGTGAATAACTTTTTCAGAGATAAAAGCTTGACATTCTCAAAAAAAAAAAAAATAAATAAATAGTTTAATGATAATTTTTTTTAAATAAGATCGTTCTTATAAGTTGTTTCCCATAGTCATTGTTTTGCATACAATACATTAATTTGCATACATTAATTTAATTAAAAACAACAATTGTTAAATTACAAAATATTAAAATCACAACAAATCACATTCCTTAAGATATAAATCTATATCAAACATTGACAAATTATCAAAGAATTCATTTTGATAAAGGAATTTTAAGTTATTAGTTTTGACACAACTAAGTATCACCTAAAAACAATATAAGTATTTAGAAAATATTTTTATGTGGGCCTAACATGTTGACAAGGTTATAATTGTTTTGACCTATCATGTTGATTTTCTATATTTTTGTTCACAACTTACTCTAAACTTGATTGTGGTAGTACTTTGAAGATTTTATTGTTTTACACACAACTAACACCCCCTCTCCCACACTAAATTATAATTAGATTTATCATTTCATATGAATTCTATGGCAACATGGCAACATATGAACTCTATGGCAACATTAGTGGTAAAAGGAATAATAGTATTTTTTGGATAAAACCTACTTTATGTTTATTTTTTGGTGAAAATCTGCAAATATTATGCTATTTAAATATTTTTACTTAATATTTGTAGGTAATTCGCATTATGTAAAAATGTTATACTTCAAATAAAATTTAAAAAAAAATTTAAAGTTTTTACATTTTGCTATCTTGACTTAGATTTGTGAATTTAAGCCTTGTTAGACACCTAAAATACAAAAAAATAAAAATTACTAATGCTTAAAAACTCTCACCGTATTCAATATATCTAACACAATAACAAACAATTCAACATAAACAAACAGCATCACATTACTTATTATCACACAAACAAACAGCATCACGTTACTCAACATCACACAAACAAACAGCATCACGTTACTCAACATCACACAAACAAACAGCGTCACATTACTTAACATCACACAAAAAAACAGCATCACATTACTTAACATCACACAAGCAAACAGCATCACGTTAATCAACATCACACAAACAAACAGCATCATGTTACTTAACATCACACAAACAAACAGCATCACATTACTTAACATCAAACTAATCAACAGTATGAGATTAATCAACATCATAATAATTTAAAGCAAGTCAAATTAGTTAAATTATTTTTTTTTTAACCATGCCGTTCGCTGCATTAAGTCTGACAAAGTTGTTTTGTTCAAAAGTGGTAAAAAGTAACGACCATCACGCTACTTTACGTTAATTTTTGAAAAAAGTTGAAGACTTTAATGCTGTAACTTTTAAATACTAAATTATATGATAGTATTTCACATTTCTGGAAAGTTTCCATTTTTAGTTCATTTTTAATAACTTAAAGAGTGTCAAATGTTACGACCGCCACTTGCGCGGAATTGCCCATATATATATATATATATATATATATATATATATATATATATATATATATATATATATATATATGAGCAATTATAATTTATATATATATATATATATATATATATATATATATATATATATATATATATATATATATATATATACATATATATATATATATACATATACATATACATATACATATATATATATATATACATATATATATATATATATATATATATATATATATATATATATATATATATATACACAAATATATATACTAGCAGAGGTTCCCGCGTCGCTGGGCACCGGCAAAACAAATCAAAGTTGCTGGTGTACAAAGAAAACCCACCCTCCAAAAATCAATTACTTGACTAAAAAACACTCAACCCTGGGTACTACAAAAAAATCACTGCAGAGCCTCTTGGTACACAACACTAAAAGTTCTTCTGTCCGGGAATGGAAGAACTTGTTGGAGTTTTCCGGAGTGGTACGGAAAACTTCAGACCACTCCGGAAAATTCTGGCCCACTCCGAAAAAACATGGCACATTCCAGAAAACTCTGGAAAATGACAAAACAGGCAACAGCAATCCATGGAATACGACAGAAACTGACAAAAATTATATCATAGGCCCCCTGACCCAGAAATGATCATTTGACCCTGTGAAGGTCAAAAAAAAAAGCCCCTGTGACCCCGGGCAGCCTCCAGTAACCTCCAAGGGCAACTCGACACAGCCAACATCACTCCCTGGGCCACAGGTAACATCCACGCCAAGCCTCAAGTCTCCATGACCAACGGTTCTGCTGCCAACCGGGAACGGGAATGGTTCTGCTGCCAACCGGGAACAAACAATCAAGCAATCAATCAGAATTAACAAATATATATAAGATCAAAAAATAATATTTCTTTACCTGTTCTTTGTAGCAATATGTAAAGAGCAAATTGACTTTGTAAATGATGTGTTCACCTCAGTAACTTGGTAAAAACTGAGTTATGTGTGATTTCTGATGATCCATTTATATCCCTATGGAAGGTTTTAGATGGAGCTAAAGAGCACCATGGAACATTCCGGAAAGTTCTTGAATGTTCTGGAAGGTGATGGAACAGCTATATTGTGCACTATGGAACATTCCGGAAAATTCTGGATCATTCCGGAAAATTCTGGATCATTCTGGAACATTCCAGAAAATTCTGGAAAATGTCGAAATAGGTAACAGCAATCCATGGAACACAACAGAAATCGTTAAAAATCACATCATAGGAATTGCTCAACCCGACCCCCAGACCATGCCAACCTCCAGCAACCCCTAAGGTCATCCGCACCCCCACCCCTGGTGGCTAGGAACAACTCTGTACTTCACAAGGAACACTCAATCTGCATCCCCCGACCCAGAAATGACCATTTGAAAGCCCCTCTGATCCCAGACGGCCACCAGTAACCTCCGAGGTCAACTTGACATAGCCTATGTCACTCCCTGGGTCATGGGGATCATCCATGCCAAAATATGTAAAAAAAAAATATATATGTAAAGTTCTATGGTCAGCTACGCAACGAGCGCAACATGTTTTTAAAAATTGAACTGACTCATTATATTATAATTTAAAATTTTTTTTTACGTTTACACTCAAATTATCCTTTTTTATTATTATTCAAAAAAAAAAAGGATAAGAAGAAAATTTGAGTAAAGTAAAACTAAAAAAAAAAAAGCTTGATTTTTTAATTTAAAGTTTGAATTATTTTTTCTCTGAATCTATTATTTATTATTTTATAAAAACTTTTTTTTCTTTAAAAATAATTATTTCATTGAAGTTATTTATTTATAAAACTTTTTTAATTTAATAATAATTACACGTCAAAAAAAAAGTTTTCAAAAAACCATGCGGTCAGCTACGCAACAATCAGCTTTGCAACATGTGAATTTTTATTATAATTCAAATAAAAGCCCAAAACAAATCCAAAACTATATTTACAGCTTGCATTTAGAAACAATAAAATTTATTTATAAAGTTTATAAAGATGATTTTCCATTAAAAGATACCTGGACCCCGGGGTGGAAAAAGGGGGGAGGAGGGCTTTAGGAGCTTCAGTTCTCTCAATTTTTATAATGTTGGGGCTAGGGGGTAGGAAATATGATTTCCTTTTAAATGTACTCTTGATATTTTTATCTGTTCACAACCTTATTATATAAATGTTTTTAACTCAAGGATGTTAATAAATTTTACTTGCATTTACTTTGATCTTCAGGGCATCAATTATTTGGACAATGATTGAACAACTAAAATAATTTAAAAAACAACAACTAGAAGTTCTTTAAACATGTAAGCTGTTATTTTTGATCGAACTGTAGTTAAGGATATAATGAATAAACCTTCCGAGCTAAGTTGCGCAAAAAAGGTCACGAAACATAACCCTAGAAAACTAAAAAGTATTGAAAAAAATAAGTAAGACTTTCTATATAATAACAGTTGCAGGTAAAAAAAAAAAAGGTTTTAAGAAACCATGCGGTCAGCTACGCAACAATCAGCTACGCAACTTGCGAATTTTTATTATAATTAAAATTAAAATACAAAACAAATCTAATACTATATTTATAGCTTTTATTTAGAAATAATAAAATTTGTTTGCACAGCTTATTAAGGTGATTTTTAAGTTACCTGGTCACTGCCAAATGTCTAGACATTTCTATTCTTTTGATATTATGCAGTATTCAGCGAAAGCTGCTCCCCATACAACGTTTCCGTCTAAAACCTGAAAGTAATGGCATTTAAGCAATTCTTTAATTTTTTTGTTTTCTTAAAAAAGGTTCTCAAACCAAGAGAGTTGTTTATCTCTAGCTTTTCTTTATCAGTCAGTAATACAACAGTAATTTTTAAAATTGTTTGTAGCAGCTGTCAAATCGCTAGCGCTAGAAATTATACATTTTTCAGTTAAAACATTTTTTCTGGCAACACGTTTTTCAGTGGCTCCAGTTCCATCTACAAATCCTTTTCCATGCATTGCAGCAAAAAAATGCCAGTGCATTTTAATTGATTGTTTTTTTTCTAAAATTTTCATTGATGCTAAAATGTACTAATTTTAAATTGAGATGTTGCGTTGTCACTGAAAATATGAACTTCTGTAATATTGTCTGATAGAAGCTCGATAATTTTATTTATGTTTGGAACAACAGATAATTTTTTATGATTGCTTGAATCAGAAACTAGCGCAAAAGATTAAATTTGACGATGCCAAACTGCACTTGTAAAAATTGAAATGTGATTTTGACCAAAATGCTTGCGTTTCGTTTTGGTAAAAACAAGTATAATTTTCTGTCAACTTGAATAACAGCCTTATTTGAGTCTTTTTGAATTGCTGATTCTATATTAAATTTAAATACGGACGATTGACTGCTTTTGACATTACAATGAATAACAAACTTTGCACGCATTTCTTTAATATGTGATAATAAAACTGCAATTGTTCCTTCTTTTTTAACCTTTTCTATTTTGATATACAATTTTGCTTGAGGTTTCTGCCACTGTTTCCATGAAATGTCCAACTCAAATTGTTCGAACTGAAGTAATAATTTATTAAACATATTACAAACAGTACATTCTTTGCAAACGGCATTGAAACATTGTTTTGTTGGTTATTCACAAATAAAGTTTAGAATCATAAAGTTTCCCGTTTTAATTGTAGTGAATATATCTGAACCCTGCAAAAGTGATTCAAGAGCATAACGCATATTTTCATGTAACATGCAAACGCATACGTTATGAGGAATTGATGATACACATCGAACGTAAATTGGTCTCAACTGACAAAATTTTGACAGGCTTAATTTAATATCTGTATTGTTAAGCTTAAACTCTTCGAAAGCTTCTTTTAGTATATATAACATGTGTCGAATTTGACCATGCGCCTTTTTTTCTCCTATCACTACAGAAGTATAATCTGCCGTTCTTGGGAATATTCAACTTATTTCATCGTCGCAGTAAAATTTTTGTATAATCAAAAAGTCTTTTTCTCTGAGACTGTTGATTTAGGAATTGAGTAAGTTAATGGTTGAGTTTCATTGAGTAAACAACACAACAGCTCCTTTTTCTGAACAAGACTTTTGGGAAGAGAGCGATTCAATTTTTTAATATACTTTCCTTAAACTTGCACATTTACAAATGATGAGTGATTTGATTCGAGAGATAAAGATGCGTCTTTTTATCGCAGTCTGAATTTTTTTTCATTCTTTCTAAACTTTTTAATCTTTCAGCTGCAATCTTTTTTCCATCTTTGTCTTCGAAGTCTAGCATTTTCTTTAGCTTTGTATCTCTTTTCTTCTCATCATTTCTACTCATATAATTCTTTTGATTCAGTACTTTTCTATTTTTTATCTTGATGGCTGTAATAAAAAAAGTAAACATTCAAATAAATTTAAAAATTATTTAAAGGGACTACCAAATCCCGAGACATGTTGTGTTCATATTAAAGAGAATGTTAAAAAAAAACGTCTGAGCAAAATTTTTTTTGATTAAAACTAATTAATAAATGTATACCAAGAAAAACAAATCTTGTTGTTTTAGTCGAAGCTCGTCTTCTCCATTTTCTGCGGTATTTTGAGTATGTAAAATAAACACGATTTTCCAGGCGCATTATACAGACTTGACAATTTATTCAAGCGCATTTAATTCATAGGAGTTTTAGTGAATGATGTCATTGGAAACATTCTAGAAATTCTTTAAAAGTTTTACTATTAAATTTTACTAAAATAGCTAACTATAGCTACTTATTTTATTAAAAGTTTATTTTATTAATTGTTCATTAGTTTTTTACAAATCTAACAAACAATTAATTAAACCAAGCACTAATAAAAGATATAAAAATTAAGAATATAATAATAAAATATATAATTTGTAATTAACTTTCAAAATTTTGACAATTTAAAAAATATGTATAATAAAACATTTATTTTTGTAAACAAATGATAATAGTTTAAAAGATTTACGGCTTTACAAACGTGGCTCCGAGAATAAGCCATAATATTAAAGTAATAGTTCATTTGATAGTATATTCTTAAAAAAATTTATGCTAGATATCTCAAAATGCAACAAATCGTAAATAATACAATTCCTAAAACATTTCAACAGAATACTCAAGAACTTTATTTCGCTTAGGCAGCATATTTTTTGAACCAATAGAATTAGTTTGTTCGCATATTAAGCAGGTTTTTAGTGTTCGCAAATATTCTTTTTATTCTTCCGCAAAATGTTTTAAGAACATTCAAGTTAATTATGTTTCCATGTATGTCTGTATAATATAAGTTATATTAATAAAAATAAAATTATATTAATTAAAATAAAAAATTAATAAATATATTAATTTTTTAATTTTTAAGCCCCGCTATAATATATATATTGGATGTTATAATAATGGAAATATAAATAATGAAATAAGATCACAAATTAAATTAATTTTATTTCAGGATTTTGAAAAAAAAAATTATAAAAACTCATTAAAAGTTCTGATTTTTTAGAAAACACGAACCTCAAAGAAACCAACGCTTGCTGTGGATCTTTAACATGATCTATCAGTTTTTCAAGCGCAAACTCAGACAGCATTTTGTTTCCACTCTAAACAGTAAAAATTAATTACACACCCTTTTAGTGTGATTGGGGGACATTAATTTTGGTTTTAACTTATTGGTTTTAAACTATGTTAAATTTCATTTGAAAACAAAATATTTGAAGAATAAAAACTTATTGTTTTTATTTTTAATACTTTGTAATGCATCCTTGGTTTAAATAACTTAATAAACTTTTATTGCAACAACTCCAAGCAATTTTTTCAGAATTTCAATTTACATATATTTCTTACACTCAAAAGAAGCTAGTTCCAGTTAATAAGTAATAGGGGCTCCTACGCTGGACTAAGTATGTAGTTTTTAAAACCCCAGCCTCAGTTAAAGAACAATATTAGCAGGGATTGTTTGACAGAGTTAAAATAAATGTATAACACATAATATATATAATTGTGTATATATTTGTTATTGATACATATACTGATATATAATACGCTTATATACAAATATGAACTTTAACAAAAATTCACATAATATTTTATACCTACATATTAAAAATTTAAATATATACAGTGCTTTAAAAAAGTTATTAATTTTAGGCTTTAGCCACTATGATTTTTGCAAATGTCTAAATGATATCTTTAACAGTATGCGTGAAAATAATATAAATTAATAAAACATGTTTGGTATCATAATATTTATAATTAACAAAGTGGTATTTCAGCTCATATAGCAAAAGCCATTATCAAACTAAATTAAATATAAAACATTATTGACAACATAACAAAATGATGTCATTACAATGTATTATTTGCAACATTTTGTAATTTTACAAAAAATAGTTTTTAATGGTGAGCTATTGCGAAATTGTAATGATTAAAATGTTTTGACTAAAACTTTTTCTATTACCTCACAAAAAAAGTATTTAAAGATTTTTCTGATTTTGGAGGTAGTATTGACTTATTAAGGCATAGTATATTAAGTAAGAAATTACCATTTTAATGCTAACTTTACAAAACTTTTGTCTAAGTATAAGGCTCAATTTAAGTACCATGATCAGGGTTGGCATTAAAAAACCTGTCCAAAAAAACCCGCCCAATAAAACCCAAAAAAACCCGCCTAAAAAAACCCAATAAAACCCTCGAAAATCTGGGTTTTATTGGGTTTTTTCAAATATATTTAATAAGTTTATGAACTATTATAACCAAATTTAACATTATAATATTATTAACTAAAATAATTATTAACTATTATTATTAACTAAATTATTATTAACTATTATTATTAGCTATTATAACCAACAATAAAAGCTATCAGAGCAGGTTTACTGTTATTTGAATCATTATTTGGAAATACATTATTACAATTTTTATTCAAATATTTTTATCAATTGAGATTTTTATTACTTTATGTTATTCACCTCCCAAGTTGAATTTAAATGAGTAGTTGTGACCAGAGAAGCCAACACAACAGTCAAGGAGGCTACCTTGTTGTGGTTACAATCCTCTCTCAACTCTTTAACTCCTAAAAACGAATCATTCAAATCAAAGGCCGCTATGCAGAGGAACAAGTTTGTTCATTTGAATTTCAAGTTCAAAGTTTAATTGAAACCTCAGTTACTACCTCCCATTCTCTAGCCTTCTTTTTCCCATTTTCTCATTGACATTTTTAATTATATCAATACATATAGATTAACCGTGAAATTTTTTTTTTCTATTATATTTTTAAATTAGATTTAAAAATCTTTTTCAAAATAATTTGAAATATTCTTGTTATAAATAATTAAATAACAATATGTAAAATATATTTTAAATAAAGTTAAAGTAGAAAATGAAACTAATTTTTAATATCATTAAACAAAAACAAAAAAGTTTTTTACAGGGACAAAATAAAAATTAAACCCAAAAAAACCCAAATTTACCCAATCAAACCCAAAAAAACCCACTGGGCCGAGTTTTTTTTAAAAAAAAACCAGGTTTTTGCCAACCCTGACCATGATAAAATAACTAGATTTTTGGTGTCAATTACTTTAAATGATTTTTAAGAATACTTATAATTCTTTGCAATGTCTGAATGTCCATTTTCAGCAAAAATATTTATGAGAAAATTAACTTTTACTTTATATATTATGTTAAATATTAAATTTAAATATTATGGTTTTTAGCTAGAGCATATTTTATATGCTCTAGCTAAAAACCCTTTGAAAATACTAATTGTCGTAATCAGTGATATGGACAAATTTAAATATATATACATATACATATATGCATATATACATACATATACATACATATATATATATATATATATATATATATATATATATATATATATATATATATATATATATATATATATATATATATATATATATATATATATATATATATATATATATATATATATATATATATATATATATATATGTATATATATATAAAGTAAAAACACTTCTAATATTCTAATTGTAACTTGATAGAATTATACAAAAAATTAGAGTCTTTTTATGCACTCAAAGCATTTTAGAATTGTTATTAGATAGAGACTAACATGAATAGTTCATTACATTTCCACCAATTGAATTAAATCATGCAGAAGAATAACAAGTTGCTTCTCTTACAGATCAAGCTACCTGCAAAAAAACAGGAAATTTTTTTTGTCTTTTTCCAGTATTCTAGTGGGCAATTATCACTATTTATGGTTTGCAAACAACTATAGGTACCCATTTACTTAAAAATGCAGTTTTTCACAGAATTTTGTTGGGAAAGCCTATGTTTTTCAGATTCTTTTACTTTAACTTGATTAAACACATCATCAAGTAAATTTATTGTTTTTAATGCTGTTGTTATTTAAAAAATTTACTTAAGGAGCAGTTTCACATAGTTTAAAATTAACTGATATTTCAATTAGATGGTTTTTCACAACTAAAAGCTCTTTTTCAGGGTGCATAACAGCTTTGAACGTTGCATTTAATTATATTGAAATAAGTAGCCTAAAATTTTCTAAATTGGGCTGTGCATGTAGTGGTTAAAGTGAATTCTTTTTAAAGCTGCTCATAAGGCTACTAATGAATGATTCTAATTGAATGCAAGGTTTAAGCAAACTGATAACCACAGTTGTATCAGTGCTAACAGTTACAAAATTTACTTTTACTTACATCATATAGAATATATATATATATATATATATATATATATATATATATATATATATATATATATATATATATATATATATATATATATATATATATATATATTTTGCTAATTTGCTAAAAAGCTAATAAAAATATGAGTGAAACTTTTGAATTGATTTCTGTTTTACTTAACCCTACAGTCATTCATAATTATTTTATCAATTTAGGTTAGTTAGATATTTCCTTTATAGAAGTGGTTTAAAGAAAAGAATCAAGTGAAACAACAAAGTGGAAATTATTAGGTGATTGATTATTAGACATGAATGATTGATTACCATGCAGGTATGCAGGATGCTTCCACAACCACTAATAGTGAAATAGCAAGATTAAAAAATGCAGAGAATTGCATCAAAAAATACTCTGAAATTATTTTAAATAATAAGTGGCATTTAATATCATACAGCATCTGGAAAAAACTAACTTAAATATTCTATCATTAAAAATTGAAAACAACCAGCCATATGATAGAAAATGAAATAACAATGAGTAGCATGCACTATATAAGAGAGAAACTTTGCAGATGTTAATTATGCAATGGATTGGATATATATTTTCCGCAAAAGGTCAGTAGTGAAAATAATCTGAAAAGACATATAGTAGAAAACTTAGTTAACAGTTTATTTAAAGATGGGTTTTCCCATTTAATATGGAGTGGTTCTTTAATTTTCAACCTGCTTTTGTTAGCAGCAGGGATGCGAAGTCCGGAGTCGGAGTCCGGAGTCGGAGTCCATGGAGTCCCTATTTTAGCCCGGAGTCCGGAGTCTCGGGAGTCCATAAAAATTTTAGGACTCCTGGACTCTTTTTTTTTTTTTTATAGTTATTAATATGCATAAGAAATACCTGATAGTCTTGTCACAAAACACTGTAAAAGAGCATTTGACCGGAAAGCTCATCTCCTTCCTTACTAATTCGAACCAATACTCAGATTGAGTATCGGTTAGAATGTTACGCCTTGTTAAGAGGCGTTACCAAGCTCGCATTTTACGTGCGAAAAGGCCATATGCTTATGCGTTCAGCAGTTTAACGTTAAGAGAAAACTTTCTTCTTTTAGAATATTTAATTTTTATTTTGATATCGTTGATGTGACGTTTATTCAGAAAATATAATGTTGTAAATAAAAGTATTTAACCGCAATTGCGATCTAATAGTTTTTTTTGTTAAAGAAACTGTTTAAAAATTTTTTTTCTGTTAAATTTAATTAAAAAAAATAAAGTGTTTTAACTTTAAAAATTTCATGATATTTAATGTTAAGTTTTATATTAAGTTAATAAACTTTTATTCGCAAATTATTTTCATTTTATATGTAACAATTTTTGTTTATTTATTTATAGTTTTAAAACAATTAATTTTTTTATCCCGTTAAGAAAGTACTTATGATTAACTGTTTATTTAAGTATTTCCTCATCATCAAATTTCGAGACCCAGGGACAATTTTCCTAAAAAGAGAGGAAGTTAACATTCGACACTTAAATATTTTTTATAAGACATTAGTCACTTTTGAAGGATTCATCCTCCTCATTTTATTCACAAAATCGCCACTGGCTAGACCTGCAGATAAAGATATGTTTGAACGCTTAGTTGTTTTATAATTTTTTAATATTTATCAAATTTAGAGATAAATGATATTTTAGTGTTGAAGTTGCTTTTATGCATAAGTTTTTTCGTTATCTATAATTTTTTAGATTGATCATAGAAAGAAAGTCGATTAGAATAGATTAACTAGGTTATGAGCAGTAGACAAATATTTTACCAAAGTCAAGTTCTTTAAAAAAAAATTGTCGATATATTTTTTGCTTTGTTTAAGCACTGTTTAAAACTGTAAACTATAGTAGGAAACTATACTTATAAATAAATGAAGCTTGTAAATACTATTAGAAAAAAAAATATATCTTTTTATTTCTTTTAATTTCAACCCAAAATGGCATGACTCTGTCTAAGAAAATAAAAAGTCTACTCTGCTAATAAAATAAAAAATTTTATTTTAATAACGCCTAATGAAAAATTGTAATGAAAGCAATATGGTTTAGATACGAAAAGCAATCAAATTTCACTAGCAAATTAATTATACGCAATAAAAAAACAAATTTGTCTGTGAGTTTGCGCTATAAAATCAAGCTAACGATCTAGACAGTTGGCAAAAAACGTACCATCAAGGTCAGAAAGAAGCCAAAAAAAGCTTATAAAAATACCTCAACAAATAAATGCTTTTTTTACGAACAAACGAGTTTTTTATTTAAACGTTTTTTGATGATGTAAATATTATAATATTTTGTCCTTATAACTTTTTAATTTAGCGTGTAATTAATGCAAATAAGCATTTAAATCTTTTTATAATTTTATGATCATGTCGTTTCAAATAATCTGAGAAATTGAGTGCGACAATACAAATCAAATAAAAATCTTTGGAGTTGTATTGTTCTTATAAATTCTTACGATCCAGCAAAAGCGGGACAAATTAACTTTTGGGTTTAAGCAGCCGTGGCTCAGTGGTAGCGCACTTTCCTAAAAAAAATAAGGGATCCGTGGTTCAAACCCACCTTTGGTTTTGCGACATCGGTTAGGAAGTAGGAGTGAATTTCCTTTTAATTGCTTTTCTAAGGTGCGCTGTTATAAGACCGTAAGGACTTCTTAGGGTACATAAAATAAATATATATATAATTCATAAGAGAAAATATTATTGGTACCCTTTCATTTTTCCGGAACTTTCGCGTAAAAGTTCCAAATAATAAAAACCCCATATTTAAATGAAGAAAAAAAAAATTATTACGGAGTCCGGAGTCCGGAGTCGGAGTCCGTGGAGTCCATGATTTTTGAGCTCGGAGTCCGGAGTCCCGGAGTCCCAAAAAATCGATGGGACTTCGCATCCCTGGTTAGCAGTATCCAAAATTTTAAAACAATTATAGTTACTTAGATTTTTACAATTAACAGATGAAATTAAATGCTTATAAACATTAGATTGTTTGTCACTTGTAAGATGCTCATGAATCCTTGTTGTTAAGTGTCTGGGGGTTTCTCTAATATAACTGGCATTACATCCAGCACAAAAAAATTTGTAAACAACATTAAATTTGAAATAGGAAATGGATCTTTTATACATTAACTGTTTTGTAAACCTGTTGCTTAGTTATGGTAAATAAGGAAAATCTACTCTCCAAAAAAAAAGTGCCATTTTTTAAAAACCAAGTTTATTAATGTTTTGGAGTTTTAAGGTTTGGCCTCACAACTAAAATAAGACACTGCTGTAATATCACCCCCTCAGTATTATCTTGTTCTATTTACAAATGTGATAAATAAAATGTTATATCTAATATATAAAATAAATACAATATATATATATATATATATATATATATATATATATATATATATATATATATATATATATATATATATATATATATATATATATATATATATATATATATATATAAATACAATGTTCTACCTGATATAATATATTATATTATATTATATTACATAGAAGATTGTATTTATTTATATATAATTTTTTTTTGTATTTATTTTACATACTAGATTTTATTTATTACATTTGTAGATAGAACAAGATAATACTGAGGGGACAACATATTGCATAGTTATCGTTTTTAGGTTAACTAATTATATAAAACACTCACCTCAAATGCCAGTTGAGCAGCAAGATTGATTAACCCACACACAATTTCTAAAGAATTGCATTCTGCTCCAATAACAGACAACTTTTCGATTGCTAAAATTGCTGTAAAATAAATTACATAACTTTAGTTTAAATGTAATTATATTTTATGTATGTTTGAATATATGAGATATTCTTGCATGCACACATGTATGTATGTATGTATGTATGTATGTATGTATGTATGTATGTATGTATGTATGTATGTATGTATGTATGTATGTATGTATGTATGTATGTATATATGCACATACAAATACACACACACACACACACACACACACACACACACACACACACACACACATATATACATAAATAAAAAACTCTAATAACCTTTATCAAATTCATTCAGATTTAACTGTATTTTGAAAATAAGAAAGTGTATTTGTGGTGACAATGGTTCCAAAATGCAACATTTTTCTGCTGTTTCTAAAGCCTAAAAATTAAACAAATAATCTAAAAAAGAACAAATAAGAAACTACACTCCTAAAACTGTAAGTTATCTATGGTCTGACACAACATAAGTAACTTAAAAATTGTTTCTCTAATTTTCATGATTATTGGCAAATGCTGTTATTATTATTTTCATGATTACAAATTATTATTACTTATTATTTTCATGATTACTTATTATTTTCATGATTACAAATGCTGTTTCTGTAGTTTTCGAGACAAAATTTAATTTTTTAGTTTTCATGATCTTGATAAATGTTGTCATAAATAACATTAAAGAGCTAGATTGAAAAAAAAGACTCCCTTTAAAATGTACAATAAACTGTACATTGTTGAAAAAATAATGAAATGAATGTCAATTTTGTGCAATTGTGGAAACATGTTATAATAACAACCCTCTATGCATAAAATACCATATTGTAAGAAATAATAAGACTCATAAATCTTTCCAAAAGTTGTTGATGATAAAACTTTAATCACACATGACATAGCTTTGCAGATTGGATGAATTTATAGCTATTATAGAATTTATAATAAATGAATGAATTTATAGTTTGCTTTAAATAATAAAAGTGCAAATGTGAATGATAAAGTTTTTTATATATACATAAAATGAAGTTTTATGTATATATAAAAAACTTCATCATTCATGATGTAGTTTTTTATATATACACAAACAATAAACAGAAGTTAGATAAAAAAAGTACATTATTAAAGAAAATTAGCAAAAAAAAATCCATAATTTTACAAGTATTATTATAAATCTTATAACAGAGTTAAATTATTTTTAAATTATCAAGCTAACTTCACACATACCCAGACCAAACATGGTTTCATTATATTATTGTCATGGATTCATAAAAATGTGATTTAATAAAGAAATGATGTAGATTGCTTTGGTTACTTCACAAAAAATTTATTTTCGAAATTTTAAAAAATCAGATGTTAACGAAATAATTTAATTAAATAATAAGTTTTCTAGCTTTTCTATTAAAAAAATATTTTTAAAAATTTCACAAACCTTTTCATATAATTGAAGCTCTATTTCACAAGCACACAAGTTTCGCTAAAGTTTGGCAAATTAAATTTCAAAAGTTAAATTTGTAAATAAATTTTATAATTATTTATAAAGTTAAAAATTAGTAAATAGCTTTGTACATTTAAAATCAGTTATTTAATTACTGTTTAAAAATAAAATGATCATTTAACTGAATGCTATCTAGATTTAAAAATTCCTCAGTAGGAATTTTGTGTAAAAGTATGGTAGGTATTTTCATTTCATAGTAGTAAAACAAATTTTTTCATAGTTTTCCTAACTTTTTTTATTTTAGGAAAAAAGTTTTCATATATATCAAAAACACATAACAAGTGTGTTAAAAAAACTTAAGTCCATCATAAAAACCTAAGCCTGTCTTAAAAAAGTAGTCTTTTTTAAAAAACTTAGCTTTTAAAAAAATATCAAATATATATATAAATATATATAATATATATAATATATATATATATATATATATATATATATATATATATATATATATATATATATATATATATATATATATATATATATATATATAAATATATACAGGATTACTGATGACTTTTAACCACAACAAATAATCTTGCTAATAATTTGGGAACAAGGGACACAGCAAATTGTTTAATTAACATTTTTAATCAAATAAATTAAAAACAAGTAAGTTTTAAAAATGTATTAATATTTTTTAACTTCTTATTGATTAGTAAAAAATTATTTACTTGCAGTTTAGCTAAATTTACTTTGTCTTCTGAAGATTTTTGCATAAATTTTAAAGCAAATTCATACCACCATTGAGCCTCTTGAAAATTTGCTTCCTTGAAGTTAAAAACAAATAGAAAAATAAAGACATTGATTTAAAAACAACTTTTGAAAACAAATTTTATTTAAAAATAAGTTTACAAAAAAAGTAATGGAAACTTTGAAACATTTTTACAAATCACAAAGAACATTTATTTAAAAACAAATTAACAAGAAAAGTAAAAAAATTATATTTGAAAATTTTTTTACAACTGAGTAATTCCATGACAATTCATCCAGCTAATGTCACAATATATCTCAGATTTTGCTGTTTTTTTATACAGGCAAGAAGACTTGATAAAATTAGTGTTTCTAGAAAACTTCAGTCTCTAACTCCAAGCAGATCTTGAAATATGGCTATTTAACAGATAGCCAGGCCCCCCTTGTCTCCTCAAAATTGTGATGTAAATGTTTCATGATGGATAACTTTTTAAGTAAAAATTTTTAAGTAAAAAAAAACAGCATTTGTTTTTAAAAATTCCATACTATTTTTTGGGGCGCAGAATCCAATAAAATAATCTGAAACTGCATAAGTTTTCATTAAATAGCTCTTATTGTTTATTTAAATAATTATATCTTATTTTTTATAAAACTAATTTAGATGCTCAAAAGACCCATATGGCCTTGATGATATCAAAACAAATTTGACACTAATCTTTAACTAATAACCTTTCTCAAAAAATCAGGATTTTTATCTGTAAGTGTATAGATAAAACAATTTAAAATAATGATTTTAACAGAACTTTACAATGTTAATTAATTTTTTAAAACAAAATTTAAAAAATAATTTAATTAAACAAATTGGTTACAATTAAACCAACCATTTCAACTTTTGATTGTCACAATGTTTAAGCTGGTTTCGTTAAGTTAAGTATTACTGATTTTATATTTTGTATTTTGATCTTAAATGCAATTTAGTAGTTAGTTTAGAGATAGAGAATGGTGTAATGTAATTTTAGAAAGTGGTTAAATGATGACTTGTCATAAACTAATCTATTGTAGAAAGACAAAGAGACTCGTGTGTTATAAAGATGATTTCAGAGAAAAATTAAATTGAAGATCTGGAAAAACAGATGATGAAATTTTAACTGCCTTCACCATGAAAAGATTTTTGGTATAAACTATCAAAAGAAGCATACTAAATGTTATAATTTAAAAGATAGGCATAAATCAAAAAGAAAAACAATCAAAAGTAATTATTTTAAAAGGTAAAAATTAAATTTTATAAAAAGATACTGAAATAAGAACAAATAGTTTTCATCATTTTAGGTATTCACTAAAAACAAATAGTTTAATTCATTTCAGGTGGTTATGTAACAAAACTAGATATGGCAAAACAAAGAAATCAGTCTCTGAATGTTGTGCTTGGATATCAGCTGGTTGATATCCAAACACAACATTTGGATGACAGAGCTGTTTTGATGCTATAATTGATAAATTCAGTGAAGAAGACAATTTCAAATTTGAGGAACCTTTAACTAAAGAATCATTCTCAAGTGCAACTTCTGAAAAGAGTCAGCCATGGGAGGCATTAAATGTTAGTCTTGAAATAATAGCTTCATCCCCAATAAAACCTCATTGAATTGCAAAGCATCAATAGTTATGTGTTTCTATAGGTAAAAAAAAAAATTGTCAAAACATGAAGAGCATATTTTAAAAGTGAATGACATAAGTGATTCTTCTTTTCAGACTACAAGAATTGACAAAAGTAAATGCGATACTATCGCATTTACTTTTACGGTATAATGCAATATAATCTAGAAAAACTAAGAACAGAAATAAAAGAACGGTCTTGGTCAAAAAATTTATGCTGCAAAAGATTTCAATGCTTATGAAGTTCAGACACAAATAGTAAACCATTTAAAAGAACATTATCCTAACATTTCAAAGATTTTTTATTTTTTAGAGAGTTGTGCTGCACAGTTGTGCTCCAAAGATAATGATTCCAAAATTAAAAAAGAGTGCACATTATTTGCTTCAAGTAATGGTATGTCACCATTTGATGGTTTTGATGGCATACAATGGCTAAAAGGTTAAAACAGTAAAACTTTCAATTATTGAACAAATATTAAATTGTAATGATATGTTTGACAAATGCATAAAAAATATGGAAGATTTTTTTTTTTTTCAAGATGGAAAAAGAAGAGACTGTCAGAAGTGTACACTACTTTGAAAATTTGTTTACAGCAAATTAACACAACTCCTGGAAATAGGAGCTTTTCCTGACCAAGAATCTCTTCCTGGAAGGAAAAGATTCTGGGTCAAATCAATAATACTGTTTGTAGATTCTCGGTCAAATCACCATTTTTACCCAGAATCCACTAACACCATAAGCTATAAACTAACAAGTGAAGATGTTAATAAATATGTATTTTTTTTACTGATATTTAAATAACTCTTGGTATAATACATATTTGATTGTTATAATAAATAATTTTTATTCTTTCATGATTGAAATGATATATACACTTTTTTAACCAATGAACATTTGAGTTAAAAAAGGTAGTGTGTGGAAAATAATTTAGTTTTCATATGAAAATTTTTATTCTTTATGAAAAATAATTAAATAATGATAATAAATTTTTTTGATATCTCAAGGCCACAAAGATCAAAACTGAGGTATATTATTAATTACATAAAATGAGGTACATTAGTAATTACATAAAATCATTTAAATTGATAATAGTTTAATGATTAAGTTTCTAAACATTTAATTGGATTTAAAAATAAAAATAGCCAGTTTTAAAGTTATCACATTTAAAACTTCTAAAAAAAAACACCTAAAGGTACAAGAGGGGCTTGACATCTTCTAAAAATCAAATAGTCATGTATCTGGAACTTTTTGGAGTTAGAGGTTAAAATTTTATTTTATAAAGTGCTCTTAAGTAAAAGACAACAAAATTTCATAATTTATAAATTGACATGGAATTACTTGATTTTTAAATATTTTTTAAGCTTAAGCAAACATTAGGCAAAGCAAAGAAAATTTAAAAAAATTTAACAACTTAATATTAAAATATACTTTAAAAAATCTTTTTAGCTTATTTTTATTAACGTAATTTTTAATAGTTATTCAATTTAATTTTTAAAACACATTTAAATTAACATTTAATTTTTTAAATTAAAAAAATATATATATATACAAGCCATAAATAATTTATATTAAACTAACAGAAAATGAATTCTGAGCCTGCTCCCATAGCAAAAGCTGAAGACGCTTTAATGTAACTCTATCAATTGGAGGACCAACAATATAAAGCAATTCTTTAACATTTTCTTTTGCTTTTAAAATTTGATTAGTAGATAAAAAAACTTCCTAAGAAAAAAATAAAAAAAATAAAAAATATAAAGCAAGTATGTTACAACTTAATAAAATAATTTGCAAGCTACAAACTGCTAGCTACAACCTGCAAGAACCTGCAAGCAACAAAAAGAAAAATAGAAAAAGATGAAAATAACACCCACAAAAAACATACAAGCCTTTTTGTTAGAACTTTGATATTATCAGTTGGTCGTAATGACTGTTTAACCAAAATATCTAATGCTTTTTCAGACAAGCCTTCTCTAAAGAAAACATAAGTTTTACAAAATAAACTAAATATACATACATATAAAAATATATACATACATACATACATACATACATAATATGTAGCAAAATCTAAAGTTACAATTTTTTTATACAATTTATTTTGATAATAATTAGTAGACCCATTTAATGTTCAAGGGTTTTGGGGGCCTCTTAAAAACATTTTTTTTTCAAAAAATTTTTAAATCCAGATTTTAAAAATTTAATATTTTTTAAAAATATTTTAATTTTTAAAGTAATTATCAAATGGTTAAAATCTGAAAAGTACCTTTTAACATATTGTATATGAAGAATTCAGAAAGATAAAGAATTAACTTAAATCAGGGGATGTACTTCTTTTCATAGTGAAAGATATTATATACAAAAAATTAAGTATGGTATCAGCAGATATTTTTCAAAAATGTTTATTTTGAAGCCACCATAATATACAGTTTCTTCAAAAAAAAAGGGACAGCATGATTTTTTAAAAAAAAAAGCTAAAAAAATCTTTTACTTCAACTATATTAAATAATAACTTCAATTACACTACATCCTTTATTCGAAAAAAAAACTGTTTTGTAAATAAAAAACTATGTAAATAAAAAACTGTTATGTAAGTAAAAAACTGTTATGTAAGTAAAAAACTGTTATGGAAATTAAAACTATTGAACTTATGACAAAACTACAGTGTATAGAGTTGTTAAAAATTAATTAAAATGTAAAAATTCTATATTTCTAACAAGAAAGGTAAAAATGATTATGGTTTTATAGATTTTTGTTGTTAAATACTGAATATTTAATATAACTATTTTTCTCTCATTACAGTTACAGGGTGGCCACATAAAATTTTCATAAGAAAACGAGGGCATTAGAGGATTTTAGAGGAGATTTTGCATTAAATTTAGAGTATTTTTTTCGCAAAATTTCAAAATTTTGAATAAAATTTTGATTTTAGAAGATTTATTTTATAACTATAAGTATAATATCCATGTTTGTACATTTGTGGGGTTTGGAAAGGGGTCAATAATGTGAATTTTTATGTTAAATGGCATGGATTTGCTAAAGCAACTTTTTACAATCTGATTCACTTAACCAGTTTTGCTGATCGGGAATGGGTACCTAAAATACCCATTATACTACCATATAATGGGTATTTAAATTACCCATTATATGCTATACAATGGGTATTTTAAATACACAAATTAACCATCAAGAAATAAAAAAATTAAAAAGAGGAGTTAAAAGAAGACATTTGATCATATTTTCAACTTTTTAGAGGATAATAGAGGATTTTAGAGGAGATTTTTAAAAAAAGAGGACTTTAAAGGATTTTAGAGGAGCTGTGGCCACCCCGAGTTAAATAGAAATTCACGCACCACAGACAAGTCTCACAACACCATTTTTTTTGTTTATGAAAACCTTTCTTGTTTGCCACCCTGCACAGTGGGACAGAGTGTGCCAAAATACAAAAAAATCACTACCGGCATTGTATTCTAAAAATATGTCATAATGGTGAAAATATGTTTATTAGAGGAAATATATAGTTAAAAAAACATTAAATATTAATTTAAACGTTGTTTTATGCGGTTTTATACATGTGAATTTGACATGTGTTTCAAACGCTTTTTTGCATTTTTTAATTATCAACTTTCTTACGCTACTATTGTTTTAAATTAATTTTATTAAGTATGATTTTAAAATATATTTTTTGAATTAACTTTGTTTTTTCGCTCTGACTATTCAAAACAATTAAACGTAAGTGTAATCTTCAGTTTTTATGCATCAGTGACAGGCAGTTTTGGCTTTTTTTTTGCTACTAACCTTTGCTATTAGGTATCAGATAAACCGTCCTCCAATATCCTCAAAACATTTGATTATGTAAATCGGATGCTTAATGTATCTTAACTGCAATTTATCATAAATATTTTGCAACTTTTTGCAACTAATAAAGTTATAACAAATAACTCATACTCAATTCATAGTATTTATTGCAAAAACACGTTTTTCATAAGCTCTTGAAACCCAAATATTTTTCATGACTTTTTAACTGCAAATTAATTATGCAAGATTTTTTTTACCAAAGGTTTTAATAATTATTTTTTTTTTAGTTATATATATGATACTTGTTGATATGGCGTCTTTTTCCCTCCATCCCTCCTCTCCCCCTCCCTCCTTCCTTTTCCTCCTTAAAAAAATATTTTTATAACCTTTTCAGTATATCTAATGCTTTTACATATAGTGTATGCACTAATAATATTTTACAGACACTTGTCCGCAAGATGCAATAACTTCAATTTTGTTTTTAGATGAAATATTTTGATCTTTTCAACTCTTTAAAAGATAATAAAATTTCTATTCAAGATACTGAGAAATCATATATTCATTTGCTAACATTCTTTGAGTTATCCCTTGATCAGAACAATGAAATTGTTTGGAGATCAAAACTTATGAACATTTTAGCACATCTTAAATATCGCTGGAATGTCTGTAAACGCAGAGAATCTTTATTTATAGAACAATACTAAATGGCTTGATAATGAAATTAATTAAAATGATTTTGCTGCAGGCAAAATAACCATACCTACAAGTTCTCAACCTACTTCCAACGCTGGTCGACCAACAATTACTGACTTTCAAGAGTGTTCTTCAAGAACTAAGTATCGCCGTGTTAGTAAACTCCAAAAAAGTCACTCGTCAAATGAGCTAATATTTGTTCATTAAATAAAGAAGGAAAAATAGAAAAAGCTAAAGCAATCAACAAAATATATTTTGATAAGAATGTAGATTCTTCGATGCTTTCTGGAAATGAAGCATTGTCGTTGATGCTAGATTCAAATATGACCAAAGCTGCGTTTCAACTCCATAGAAATGCAGCAATTGAAAAAGAATGCAACCTGTATCCTGTATATAACAATATAAAATCATCAAAACTTTTATGCTACCCTAATAACATGATTTTTACTGACTATACTGCAAGTATACCACTGCAAAGTTTATGTGACCATACAGCTCAAAGACTTTGTCAAGTTCAAAATGAGGTTTTATGTATGCTAGAAACATTTGACCTGGTATCTCTTCATTATAAAGCAGGTTTTGATGGGTCTACTGGTCAAAGCATATATAAACAAAAAATGTCTGTTAAAAGAAATATAAACAAAAAATGTCTCTTTTTGCGACTTGAAAAGAGAAGAACCATTGTTTCTAACTTGCCTGGTTCCATTTCAGATTACAACTTATGTTAGAGAAACCCTGACTGTCATTTTGAGATATCCAAAACCTTATTCCACTTTATATTGCCGACCTTTAAGATTTAAATTTGAAAAAGAAACAACTGATTTACTACTTATTGAAGAAGCTACTTAGAAAGACGAGATCTTAAACCTTGTAGAAACTTTTGTTCACTTATCTAATGGCAAGTCTATTCCAGTCAAACATATCATTCAAGTTATAATGATAGATGGTAAAGCCATCCATACTGCTCTATCAAATGTAACAAGCTCTAGTCAATGTTGCTGTATATGCAAGTGTTCACCAAAAGACATGAACAATATTGACAAAGTTACAAAACTTCGATACTCACCAGATGAGCTTCAATATGGATTATCTACATGCATGGATAAGATTTTTTGAGTGTCTCATACATATTTCATATAAGATACCAATAAAAAAATGGCAAGCAGAGGAGACGTAGAGAATTCTCTTGTTAAAGAGCAAAAAATGAAGATACAAAAAGAATTTCAACACAAAATGGGACTTATTGTTGACTACCCAAAATATGGAGGATCTGGAAACAAATGACGGCAATACTGCTCGAAAAGCTTTTTCAAATGAAGACTTGTTTGCTGATATTACAGGAATAAAGAAGGAACTAATTGTAAAGTTGCATATAATCCTAATTTGTATATCAAGTGGATTTCAAATAGATACTAGTAAATTTCGCTTACTTTGTCTATAGACTGCAAAACTCTACTCATGCTTGTACCATTGGTATTACATGCCTCAGAGTCTTCGCACGATCTTAATTCATGGAGCAGAAGTAATAGAAAATCTACTCTTACCAATAGGTCTATTTAGTGAAGAAGCTCAAGAAGATAGAAATAAAGAACTTATAAAATATAGGGAACATCATTCCCATAAAAATTTAATTCAGGGTGTTGTTAGATTATAGATCTAAAATATAAATCTAGTTCGTAATTTTTAATGGTAATTAAACTAAAAAATAAACTTTTTTAGCAATATATATGAGCTTGATATTCATTTTATATGGTTTGTATAATTAGTTTATAACAGTTCTAATAAAAAAAATTAAAAATAATTTTGGCACAAAAAACGCGATTTTATCCCACTGTGCCCTGGAGTAAACTTTTTACAAATCTTGCAACAATTTTATTGTTACATAACTGTAAAAAGTTTAAATTTTGTTTTTTCTCATTCACTTAGATTCTTCACTACATCCCTGATAATCATAGTATCCGGTTATGATATCCTCATATATGGTTGTACAAAAATACCTAGATCTTTCTCTAATACACTGCTTGAGAGGTCATAAATAATTCCATTAACATTCATTGGGTATGTTTTAATGGTTCCTCCAAGAACATTTTGATTGCCGAATCTCATCACTTTCCATTTTTTGCAATTAAGTTCCATATGCTTTTCTATAAATCCTGGCAAATCATAGGACCCAAAACCCAACCCTGAGGAATGCCACTGGTAATAGATACCCTTTCTGAAACTATTATCAATAGCTTTTACGAAGTCAAGATATATTGCACATAACGGTGTACACTTCGCAGCTTTATATGAAATAGTGTCAATTGTCTCAATCAGATTTATTGTGCATGATTTGTTCCGACTGAAACCAGTTTGCTCCTTAGAAATATAACTACTTGAAACTAAATGTTTCTGAATTGTGTCTCGAATAAGCTTTTTAAACATTTTACAAATCACAAGGAAACTGGTCAATAGTTTTCTGGGTCAAGTTTTGATACTCCTTTATAGATTGGTAAAATATTTGCAACAGACCAATTGTACGGGACACATCTAATGTCAAAACTTAGTTTGAAAATATGGATAATTGGAATAACAAACCTTTCTGCAGCGTGTTTCAAAACAAATGAACTAATTTCATCAAAACCCATGGCTTTTGACTCATCTAAACTTTCTAACATTTTGAGTATTTTTTCATAAGTGATCATATAGACAATTTGCTGCAACCACACCGGTTTTTACACCATTGCAAGATGTTGGGTATTGTTTGGCCATTATTGTTAACAAAAACTGACTTAACTTATTTGATATATTTGAAATAAAATATTTGAAATTTAAAATATAAAGCATAAAATAACAGCTGCGTACAAACTAAATTTGTTCTTTGTAATATTTCAACCTTAATTGCCAGTACTGGCCAGTAATTTTCAATAACTCTCAATTCTAGCCAGTTTAGAGAATTTGCTATATATAACATAACTTTTATGTCATTTTGTTTATACCATTACATAGCCAGTTTATTATATTAGCTTAAAGCTAAATCAGTCCAGAACACAGGTTCACTACTATGTGATTTAATGAAAGGTAAAAGTTGTTTTTGTTAACACACTTTAATGTATATTTTACCAGAATGTGTAGATTCAGAAGTATTGGGTACTGACTTTTTGCCACAGCAGCTTGCGCAAATCAAGATTTTTTTACCAAACTTATCATGTTTTGTGTATTTAATTTTCTTATCTGCTTTTCCTCTATATTTGGCATTATAATAGACAGCACCAAGCTGTCTTTGCTGATGTTAAATTTCTGATGATCGTATTAGATATTAATTTCATCATCTTCATACAAAAATTTTTTTCAAATAAAATTGTCATACAACTTTCTACAGCAAGTTCAAAATTCCGCAAAAACTGTTTGTTGTAAACAAAAAACAAAAGTTTTTCTAAAAAATGGTGTTGGCAGACAGTAACACAGAAGTAACATGGAAGTAACATTGTATTGAAGTGTTCTTTGCAGATTATCTTTTCAATAATCGATTAACTGAATCATTTATCCAACTTAAATATGACGGAGTTATGTCAAAAGGATAGCCGCTAGGATTTTTTCTGGTTGTTAGTCCTTTACAGCATTCATAGTTGTTGTTGCCTGACTTCTTCTAACAAAATCAGAAATTCTAGACACAACAATTTTCTCTTAGGTGCCCGTGGTTTTCCTGTTATTACAAGTGAATCAAAGTGAATGGAAGAGAAAGTGAATGGAAGAGTGAGTGAATGAAAGAGTGAGTGAATGGAAGAGTGAGTGAATGGAAGAAAGAATTGTGTAGTTAATGTGGGTGAACTGAATGCTTTTCTAATGTCAAATAAAACTTTTTGTCAAATTTTTATTCCTGATCTGCTGGCTATGACTTTTAAGATATTTCATCCAAGTTGTGAATCCTTCAGCTGTAGCTGTAACTGTCAAACTATTTTCTTTCTGTGTTGGATTTAACTTATCTGCCATATAGGAAACTAAAGGGCATTCTAACAACAAACTTCTTGATTTCTAATTTTAAAGTACTTTTATTTTCTGTGCTTCTCTCCTTTTTCCTTCTCCTTTTTTTGTCTAAAGAACCAAAATTTGTTTCTTTAACTAATGGAAGATAATTGCTGAACAATGTGGTGAAACAATATAAGTTTAAACCAACCTGGTCTAGATATAAAAAAAGTGAAAGAAATTTAGAGCATAGCAATAAACTATTAGCAGCTGTTAAACATTTTGGAGGAAGTAAAATAACTTAATGTGTGTGTTTTTTTTTTAATAAAAGGAATCAAACCTTATATTTGTTTGACTATATTATTACTTTTAATGTTAAAAAATGAAATTTTAAAATAAAGAAGAAAAACCCATTAAAATCTTATCTTTTTAAATTGTGATTTCTGAGCCAAAAATGCTGATAGACTTATTATTTCTCCCACTTTTGAGGCAAAGGAAAAGAGGTAAACAACTACAAACTTTTTTTACCAGTCAATATATCTGACAGTTGGTTATCCATGCTCTATTTATGTTTTAGAATAATAATAACAAAATATTCAGGTTTTACAGCTTCTTACTAATGATTTTCTTTGTAAGTGCCTTGAATCACAACTTATGGCTTTCTGCCATAAAGGATAATAATTTTAAAGGATAATAATTTTTTAATATTTTTATTTAATATTTAAAAAAAGCTATGCGCAAAGGTCAATTTGATTTTAAAAACAATTAGAAACAATTTCTTGGATCTTAAGTGTTAAATTAAGCTATAACTTGTTTGAGTGACACAACTTTTATCCTGGCAGTCAAAATAGGGAACAGTATATCATTGTAACTATTTTTGTTAGAATTCTGGCTCTTTTTTAAAAAATATTTATTTTTTGAGTAACTATAGATGCAACTTCTTCTTTACCACTTTTTATAAATTTTGAGTTAAATTTATTCATTAATATTAATCTATTGATTAATATTCAAATAATAATAAAAAATCGTTTTAAGTTATTTTAGAGTTTACAAACTTTGATTATTTTTTTTATTAAAAAACAAACCTTTTTTTTTCAGAAAACAAACTCACACATTGAAGCACAAGATCAATGTCACACATTAACTCATTTGTCATCTCCATGAGTGCTGCAAGGTAAAAACAAAAAAAGAATTTTAAAAAATTAAAAACAATAATTTATATATATATATATATATATATATATATATATATATATATATATATATATATATATATATATATATACCCATATAGTGTAGCTTTAAGAGCATTTTAATGTAAAAAAAGTCTCTTACGACTACAATTTTAATTACCTCGTCTCTTAAGCTGTTTTTGATTGTCATCGAAATGTCAAAGCAATTAATTTATGCGGAAGTACATTAAATTTAATTGTTTTTTTAAAAAATTTTAAAAACCCGCAATTATAACGACTAGAAAGTTTTTTTTAATTAGTGGTGTTTTTGTTATTGATTTAATAAAAAACATTTTTTAAACATGCGTAAATGTTGCTACATCGACTATCTTATAGGCTGACTCGCAACGGAGTGCTGCTACATCGACTGACAAATAGCCTGACTCGCAACGGAGTGCTGCTACATCGACTGACAAATAGCCTGACTCGCAACGGAGTGCTGCTACATCGACTGACAAATCGCCTGACTCGCAAGGGAGTGCTGCTACATCGACTAACAAATAGCCTGACTCGCAACGGAGTGCTGCTACAACGACTGACAAATAGCCTGACTCGCAAGAGAGTGCTGCTACATCGACTGAGGGTTTGGTTTGGCCAGGCAGTCTATCAATTAAAAAAAAAAATTAATTTTAAAAACTTTTTCTGGTCTGGTTTATTAACGCGCTCTTTAAAACTACAGTTTATGGGAAATATTTTTTGATGTCACGCAAGAGACATGCAAGAGTATATATATATATATATATATATATATATATATATATATATATATATATATATATATATATATATATATATATATATATATATATATATACATATATATATATACACATGGAAATCCCGAAAATTTCTTTTTGATGATAATCCCGGATAATCCCGGAAAGTTATTTTATTAAAAATTGATCGCATTTATAAAAATCAAGACTTTTTTTTCAATTTTATTATATAATTGAAAATTTGAATAAAATATTTTACTTTTAATTAAAAAAGTGCCTGAACCTAAATCCTCAGTCAAAATACATTATGCTGCACTAAAGACTTTTAATCTAATCTGTTGAAATATATAAAAAAATTAAATAAAGTAAAATATAATAAAGAGTATAAAAACAATTTAAAAAAAAACATTAAAAAAGCACTTTTATAGTCAATAAAGAGTTGTTGTTAAAATTTCACTCTTTTAATAAAGAGTTTTTGTTGTTAAAATTTCTTTTAATGACTTTTGTTAAATCTACTTTCAAGTAAAATTTAACAAAAGATTGAAAAAAATTTAAATTTAATTAAGCACTTTAATATTCAAGAATATTAAGCTTATTTTCTGTATTAATAAGTAATACAAAAAATAAGGACTATAATATTCAAGTAAATTTTTTTACTATTTGCATACTTCAGTACAAAAGCAATTTTTCTTTTCATAAATAAAAAAATTCAAAAAATATCTTATTTTTATAGCATCTTTTCAAAAAATATGTTATTTTTATAGCAATAAAATTATTGATTTTAATCAATAACTTATAAATTAATTATTAATTTAAAAATGCTAAGAAAATAATTAGAAAACTTAAAACTAAAAATAAATATTTAAACAACAAACAACAAAAACATTAATTTTTTCAACGTACCTTCCAATATTATGTCATCTGATTCACTCAAGCTCAATAATAACTTAACTTTCAAAAAAATGGTTTTCACACATGGCCGACTCTATTATTAACAAAAAAAAATTTATAACTATTTAATATTATACATTGAAAAAAACAAAAACAAATGAATTTACAATTTTTTCTTTTACTTAAAAAAACAAATAATACCTTTAGTGATGACTCTAAAAAAAAAAGGCAAATTTTAAAAAACGATAGTAAATTAACAATAATAACCATAATACATAAAACAACCATAAATATATTCATTATTATGTAATTACTCATTTAACAAAAAAATATATTCATTATTATGTAAATATTCACGTAACAAAAAAAAAGCCTTAAAAATATTAACCACACAACATAAAATAATCATGTAAATATAAATCATGCAATACTATAAGTATTTATCAATAATCAATTCATCATTTTTACAAATCAGTTATTTTTTTTCCAGATTTCATAATTTTTTTTATTCATTATTGAGATTTCATAATTTTTTTTTTCAGATTTCATTATTCTGTAATTATGGAATTTTTGAAAACAAAACAATAGGTAACTATAACTTTTTAAAAAAAAAATTCAAAAAAAACGTTTATAGTTCTCTTACAAAATAAGATAACTACAATACGATATTTTTTAATTTATATAATTTACAGTTAACATAAACATGTATTACAAATTCTTTAAAAAAACAAGTTTGTAAAACAGTTGCACCAAATTATTTTAGTCAAAAATGAAAACTGTATTTGAAAACATCTTTAAGATTATTGAATTCTTCCTTTCCAATCGTAGTATAAAAGTTGTCCTTGATGGACAGCACTCTTCTTCTTATTCTGTAACCTCAGGAGTTCCTCAAGGTTCAATCCTTGGCCCTATACTCTTTTTAATTTACATTAACGATCTTCCAGATATTCTCACATCTAAGGCGACGTTGTTCGCTGATGATACTACCATTTATTCTTGTCACTTATAGAAGCCAACTCCCATTGATTGCTTGCAGGGGGTATCTGAGATTGAAAAGGACCTCACTTCTGCTACAGCATGGGGCTCACAGTGGCTGGTGAACTTTAATTCAGATAAAACTCAATTTTTTTTGGCCAACCGTTATTGCAATAGTTTAGACCTTCCTATATTTATGAACGGTAATGTACTCGATGAGTCTCCTACCCTTCATCTTCTAGGATTAACTCTTACTTCTGATCTTTCTTGGAAACCTTATATCAAATCCATTGCAAAATTAGCATCTGCTAAAGTTGCTTCTCTTTATCGAGCTTGACACTTTCTTACTCTGGATTCTATTCTCTATCTCTATCTAAATCTCAAATCCGGCCTTTTATGGAATACTGTTGCCATATCTGGGGCGGATCTTCTAATGATGCCCTTTCTCTTTTAGACAAGGTGCAAAAACGCATTGTAAACATAGTTGGACCTGCTCTTGCAGCCAACCTTCAACCTCTGTCACATTGTCGTAATGTTGCTTCTCTTTCTCTTTTCTACAAATACTATAATGGGCACTGCTCTAAAGAGCTAGCTTCTCTTGTGCCATCTACTAAAATTCATTCTCGTGTTACTCGTCATTCATTAAAGTCTCATCCTTTTTCTGTTACTGTTCCTAAGTGCTCCAAAAACTCTTATTCGTCTAGTTTTTTTCCTCGAACATCAGTTCTTTGGAATTCGCTTCCTTCATCTTGCTTTCCTGATTCATATAATTTGCAATCTTTTAAGTCGTCTGTCAATTGTTATCTTGCTCTACAATCTCCACCTTTTCTCTTACAGTAACTTCCAACACTAACTAGTGGTTGCTTGCAGCCTTGTAGGAAGCGAAGATAATTAAAAAAAAAAAAAACTTTAAAATTCTATACAAAAATTCTTTGTTTTTAAACAATATATTAATTAATAACAATAACATGCAGTAAATTCACAAAAATAACATGACAACAACATAATATCACAAAAATAACAACAACAACATATTATCACAAAAATAAGGTAAAAAAAAAATAACACAAAAACAATAATCATAAAAGTACCTATCACAACTAATCCTTTTTTCAAGTTTTCAATTCCACCCATTGCAAAATACACCATGACTAACAACTGCTCAGCAATCACCTAAAATTTACTTTTTTATTATTACTATTATCTACAATATAGTTATTACAATAGAGTATTAATAGAATTATTAGTAGGCATAAAGTTAGGATAATTTAGAAATGTAAACAGATAAGATTTTATGTAATACAAACATATGAGCTGAATATAGTACTGCGGATTTTACAAAGGTTGTTGTATCTCAACTTTTATTTCTACACACACAACATAAGCTTTTTTCACAACATTAAAAAGTAGGAATGTGCAGGTCTAAATCTCCTTCAAAAGCATAAATATAAACTTATGTTTCATTATCTGTGATTATATTTTATATTTGATTATCTGTGCTACAAAATTTTTTATGATATTATCATTATTTTTAACTTTTTACAACTTTGCAGTTTATTAACTGCAAAAAACTTGATGCAGCAATCCACCTCAATGCAAGAGTTATAGTTTTTTTTTACATAGTAAATACAAAATATGAAACAAAATATATATATAACAATATAAAATAAAATAAGGGTTATGTACAGTTTCCTACAGATACTAATACTATGAGAGCAATTATAAAAGTAAAAAATTTGCTATTTAATTAAGTACCACCATCTTGAAATATTAATCTAAAATAAGTTATAAAACTTAATGGTTTTTTATAATATAAACCCATGATCCATTTTGCATACCACGCATAATATGCATGGTATATCTATATTGCATAATATGCATGCATGGTATATCCATGCATAATATGCATGGTATATCCATATTGCATGGTATGCATTGCATACCATGCAATACCCATGATCATTTTGTATAAATAGGTTAGTATACTTTTTTAACATTGCACACATTTGAGTACATCAAAAATGGGCAGTTTTATGTACACCATAAAATTTTAAACAGTTTTCAATATTTTATGTTTCCTGGAATTTTATGCAGCTTGTTACAAAATAACAGAAACTATAAAAGTAGTTTATAGCATTTTATATAGTTCCTAGTACTTTGTGTTGCTTCTAAAAATTTGTATAATTACTGTTCTTTTATAGAGTTTCCAATGTTCTATGTAGTTTCTCATATACTTATAATTTTCTCGATGTTTTATATAGTTTCTGATATTTTATATAGTCCTTGGTATATCATATTTGATATTTTTTTGTACATATTATTTTATATTGTTCCTGATATTTTAAAAAGTTTCAAATATTCTATATACCTAAAAAACCAGAACCAATCCAGGTCCAAGCACATCTCTACTTTTGAATAACAATTTATAAATAGTAAGAGATTAGACCCTAGTCACAAAAATTTTTTTTAATAGTTTAATACCACTTAGGGTTGACTTATATACACACTTACTGTAGTTGCTACCAAGTTTAGTTGCAAAAGCTTACTATGACAAGTGTTGATTGTGAGGTGTGCAGTCCTGCTCAACATTTTACAACCAATGCTAACAGATCAGACTTTGTTTTAGTGAATTCAATGGGTAACCTATTGCTGGTAATGACTGTTAGCTCAGCAATTGTTCATCTCGCTGACAAACATTCAGTGTCAGCAGAGCAAGATCTAGCAGCGCTTCTAACAACATCTTTTTAAGTGTGCCATGCTTTAATTTCATTCTGAGAAACATTTGGCTGTTGCCTCCTAAACTAATGCAGAAAGCCAAGATCTATAGAGCATTATCATATTTGCATTGAAAGGTTCAGCATAAACTTCACAAGAGCTCTCAACGCTATGCTTATTCAGTAATTCATCAATCAGGTTGTTAATAAGAATTTTTTGGATAAGTATGTCTTCTAATACTCTGATGAAGGACATACCAGAAATACAATAATTTTTAAAAATACACTTTTTAAATACAATGATTTTTTAAATACAATCATTTTTATTTTTTTGCTGCGCAGTACAGTTTTTTAGTTTAGTGCAGTAAATCTCTGCCTTTCCAGATTTGGTGCCAACATGTATAAGATGATCTTCAATCAGATATAGTTTTTCATAACTGAATTAAAGAACTAAGCAACATTTTAAATGGACATAATTCTTCAAATCATTGGTAGGACAAAGCGCATGAACATCATCTCTTCAGACTTGCAATCAGCACTTAAAAAGCTATTAATGTTTGAAGGATTGAATGACCATTTGTATGCAAAAAAAGTAGCAGTCATCAGTGTAATTGTCATGTTAATCTATGGGTACAAGAAATTGTATCAATTTGCGTTCCCACTAAGCCATTGAGTTAGAGAAGTTTTACAGTGTTTACAAAACAGATGAGAAGAAAATGATAATGAGAGCCTAGAACCTAGAAAAGAACTTGACTCAAGTAATTTAAAAGTGGCTTAATGAACTTAGTTTATGTTTTGATCACCAACTTTGCAACTAAAATACAAATAGCATGCCACTTTCAACTTAATAGATATTGTCTAGCTCATTGAAGTAAATCTTAAATTGGTCATAAATGTATAGCAAAAATATAACTTTTCTTACTGCGTTATTTATAGACTGCATTATTAATTATATACATATATATATATATATATATATATATATATATATATATATATATATATATATATATATATATATATATATATATATATATATATATATATATATATATATATATATATATATATATATATATATATATATGCTAAAAACTAGTTAAAAATTATGTGGTACTACAGAAAATTTGTAGCAAACACAAATTGAACAATAAAAACATTTAAATTTAAAAAAATTCATTATTTCATTTTATTTATAAATATAAACAATTTGATAGATAAATAAATAATAATAAAAACTGTTTATATCATATTAACAAACTCTTAGGATTCGATAAATATGTAAATAATTATATTGTAAAAAAATGTTGACAACATATTTATAAACACAGGATTTATATTTTGTATGAATCCAGCACACCCTACAAATGAACAAGTTTTCTTCTTTACTGATGTGTTTGCTCAAAAATAAGGTTGTGATCAAATTTAGCGACCTCAAATTACTCTTAAAACAAACATTCTTTTATAGTAGCACAATTTTGTTGAGAAATGATTAATAATGTTTAATAATTTTTAATAATTAAATAGTTAAATAATAATAGAAGTTTAATAATTTTTTGTAAAATTTCCTGAACCACATTTTAAAAATTTTAACACACAAATTAGTACAAGTCAAGCCTAAGTAGCGTAAAAAACTAATAAAAATTTTGGGGTAATACTAGTCAAAAATTATTCATGTTAAACCCCTATGTTAAACATACAAAAATGATTCAAAATACCAATCAAATATCTTGGTACCAATATTTGAACTGACATTTATGTTGGTAAAAAACATGTTCAATGACTTGAAATTTATTGCCATTTAGCAATAATAAATTTGGAGTTTTATGTTTTAACCAAACATTTAATATTTTTTTGCCCTTTAAATCACTTTTAATTACAGTATTTAAAAAATAATACCTGTTTTTTCTCTCTGTCTTTGACTACTCCAATCAAAATGCTTTCTCTATGAAAAAAAGAATTAAATATTGTTGATAACAAAAATGCTTAACTTTATGCCAAATATCTAGTAAAATTAACAATAAGTTGATAATAAAATAAGTTAAAAATTGTGTAAAATTAAATACAATAAATATTTAATTTTATATAATTTTTATAATAATAAAATTATAACAAGTGATACAATAATGTTAAATAAATAAATGAGGATATATATATATATATATATATATATATATATATATATATATATATATATATATATATATATATATATATATATATATATATATATTAGGGGCGTTCAAATACTAAAATTTTCAAAACCTGAATACACAAGAAGCCAAAATTGGAGCAAATATTGAAAAAATGTTATTCCAAAAATATTGACATTTACCTTGTACTCAAACGGTAAAATACCCCAAAAAATGCCCCAAATTGTTCCTAAATTATTTGGCTTTGAGCGCAAGATAAATCTTAATATTTTGTAAATTTTTTTTTTCTAATGTGATAATAATGGTGAAAATTTTTTTTTAGAAAATATTTTACATAATTGTTGTTTAAATTAAAAAAAGATTTCGCATAATTTATGCAAAAAAACAATAACATTTTTTTGCATATTTGCACAAAATTCTTTTTTTGCATATTTGTGCAAAAATATTTTTTTTACAAAACCTTTTTTTAATTGAAACAACAATTATGAAAAAAACTAGGATACACAACAATGTGTAAACTGAAAGATTCTATTGTGAATTAGGCAGAGATGGCAAGGCAAGGACTATTGCTCTTAATATTTATCACATTTAACTTCATTATTATGGTCCTGCTTATTTATAACAATGATCTTCCTGACAACCTTACATCTAAAGTAGCTCTGTTTGATGACAACTTTATACTCCAGTCTTGAAAAAAGAAGTCTTCTCTTTTCGATCGTTTGGAACAGACAGCCGATCTTTAATCTGAACTCATTTCTGTAACAGATTTTTACTTGATGAATCTTCAGCTGAGGTCTTTGATAATTTACCAACACTAGAAAAAAGTATAACTGTTCAATCAAAGATGTCTCTTGTTTATATTGCCGGATATGTGTCTCGTAATGATGATTTGCTTAATGAAAATGAACTTTTAACCAGAACAATGTTTTATTTTGAAAAGTTTGGTCAATATCTAAAATCAGTCGATAGAGGTGGGTTAAAAGTTCCTTTTGATAATACTGTTCAATGGGTTTTCTTCTCATTTGTACTATTTAACTCTATTAAAGATAAAGTTTGTAGACATCCCTGTGCAACACTTTTATGCTTATATCGGATCATTACTTTTTTGACATGGAACAGATTTGATAACAGGGCTTGCAGTGGCTTGAGAATTTTTAATCTAACAAAACTCAGTTATTTACTGCAAACAACTACTGCAATACTGTCAACATTCCTGTATTGATGAATGACAAGTCTCTTGCTGAGTCCTCTTTTTTATTTTCTCTTAGATTATCATTCACTAATTACTTTTCATGGAAACCATATATATAAATAATTGCAAAGTTAATATCTGCTAAAGTTGCTTCTATTTATTTTGCTTGCCATTATCTTACTCCTGATTTCATTCACTATTTCTACAAATCTCTTATTTATTTTTGTATGTTGTATTGCTGTTGTAATACAACAGTATTGTTGTAATATTTGGGCTGGTTCTTTTATTGTTCTTTCTCTTTTAGACAAGGTTCAAAAATGCATTTTAAATCTAGTTGGACCAGCTTTGTCTGCTAAACTTGGGTATCTCTCTCATTCTCATACAAATACTATTGTGGTTGCTGCTTAAAGGACCATTTCTAGTTCTATCAACCAAATCTTATTTTTAAATGTTGCTTGACTCGCCAATCAGCAAAGTAACAGTTTTACTATATCTATCCCTGCATGCTCTATAAAGCATTATTCACCTAGTTTTTTCCTATTTCAACCCTTTAGAAACTTCTTCAATTAAAAAACTACTAATATCTCTTTTGAATGAAACAACTTACTACTTGACAATAAATATTTTGTTACTCTCATCCTATAGCTGACTTGTTAACTGTTAACAGAATAATTTTGCAGGTGGCTATTTCAGCATGAACATTTTATGCATGGCCAAGTACATTCAAGTACATTTGTATACTTAGCCTTGCTTGAGTCACATACATGCAACTCATTCCTAGTGCACTAGTTTAAACTATTTTTAAAAAGTTTGGCTTAGATTAAAGCAAAAATAAATTTAAAAATAAAACAGGTAAATAAATTTAAAAATATAACTTCATCTTTAATGTAAATATTTAAAAAAAAAATTTCTAAAATAAAACAGACAAATATGTTTAAAAATATAACTTCATCTTTAATATAAAAAATTAAATAAAAAAGGCACTTATATAAAAACATAAATTTCTAAAAATTAGTTTTCTGAATAAAATTATCAGGAATTAGAACTATATAAAAAATAAAAATAAATCAGTTGAAAATATTTCTTAAGATTACGATTGTATTACATATTAATTTAATTTCAATATATTCAACTTTACGATTTGCTCCGTTATAATTGAAAAATAAAATAATGATTTAGAATGATAATAAAATTATGATAAATTATTATCATAATTTATGATTGTTTGTATTAATTAATAATAAGTAATAATGATAATTTTAATTTAATATTATTTACCAATAAATCATCTTTACACAATGATTTAAATTGACAAATAATAACAAATTACTACTATGGTGATATGTTATCATAAGGGTATTCCATAAAGTATGTATCCAAATATAGGGAAATTCAAAATAAACAGTTGATTTAAGTACTGAAAAATCAATTTTTTGTTGTTGCTTAACTTTACTTTAAATTAAATAAAAATTGATTTTCTGTTTTTCATAAATATAAAATTAAAAAAAAGAATACAGCATTAAAACAAATTTAAAAAAAACAACAACAAGAAAACAAATTGGCAGCTGTTTTAATATATTAATAAAACTTTTGAACTAAAATCTTACTTATTATAAATTACTTATTCAAGTAACTAGTTTATATTTAATTAATGAAGTTAAATAACAACATTTTTTTTATACAATGTTTAACCAAAAAAACCATGATTTGTTTTCAAAATACCTGTAACTTATTATTCATTTATTTTTTCAAAAGTTTTTTTTAACCCTGAGTGTACATTAACAGATGACAACAACAACAAAATTACTGCAAAAATAATAAATGAACAGATTTTAATAATTTAAATATTGCCAATAAATTTAAACTAATAATCTTAACTCAACTTTTAAAGACTGTAACTCAATGTCTATACTTAAAATCTACCTAAGCCATCTTTCTGCTTCATTGTATAAATCCTTTTGATAACAATCCAAACCAAAGTTATAACATACACTACTTAAGAATGAAGCCTAAAAAAATTTATAAATATAATGCAAATACAAAAGTTTAAAAACTTTTAAAACATTTAACACATTTAAAAACTCACTTAGAAACAATGTCTAATTGAAATCAAGAAAACTAAAGCAAGCACAAAAATGTTCAATCATGTTCAATGTTCAATATTTAAAGGTTAAACTTAAAAAAATCAAAACAAATACAAAAAATTATAGTCACTATTAAAATTTTATTTATTTAAATTGTAAGACTTTTGTTAAGATTTTTTACATAATTGATCATTAACTTTCAATGAATTAATCTTCAGGTCAATTTTATGACCTGAAGATTTGTTAAAAGAATGAAATGACCTAAAGATTTTCTCTTACTTTGGAACTGACTCAATGACATCATATCTTTCTTGTTTATATCATTCTAGCTACTTCTACATAAAAAGTTGAAAAGTTTGCAATAAGCTCCTGTGTGAAAATTAGGCATGGGCTTTTGGCCATCCGTTAAAAACTGTTAACTTTTGTTGCATTAAAAAAAATTAACAGAACTTCCGTTAAAACCTTATGTTAAAATTAATTAACGATAATTTTCCATTAACTGCCATTAATTAAAAGACACAACAAAACAGATATATAAATTTCAGAATGCAAAAAAAGAAATATTGAAAAAAACAAAAACACCTAAACATAGTTGCAAATCAGATAATATGTATATTCTTGAAAAGAAACAAAATAATATTAAAACACCTAGACATAGTTGTTCATAGTGAAAAAATAAAAGCTATCACTTTTCTTCTTTTTCATTCACAGAATCATTTAATTTCCAGTTTTTCACCTGGATACTCACAAAGTTGTCATGGCTAAACACTAATTGTCTAACTGTGTTAGTGCAAAGGTTTTCCCTGTTACAAGTTACAATATTTCCTGACAAACTGTAAACCCATTCAGATGGAGAACTTGATGCAGGAATGCAAATTTGGAAATTTTAGCCAAGATGGGAAGAACCTTTGAACTGTCTTTCCACCAGATTAAAATGTTTATGTTTCTTTTAGTGACAACCTTTGACATGGAAAAAAAAAGAGAACATTTCTTCTTCAATTGAAGACATATTACCCATTGCAATATCTTTGTAATGTGACATACTAGCAACTCAAAAACCAATGGCTCCGTGAAATGAAAATCTTCTGTACTTGCTACAGAAATAACTTTTCCAGGGTTGGGGTTGTAGATGGACACTATTTTCCTTTTGGCTGATTCAAAACACTAAAAAATAGCACAATGTTGTGATTAGGTTTGACAACTTTTTTAAATTTTTATGAAATTTATAATTAAACTTACTTCAAATTTTTCTAAAACAGCTCATCTATATTATGGGTGTAGAAAATGTGCAACTTTCACATTTCACAATAATGCTGTGGCTGTTCCATTGCTTTTTGACAGGAGCAATTACTTAAAAGAAGCAAAGATCGTGTTATACTGCAATTAATTTAATATTATGAATAGAAACTTAGATAGTAAGTAATTTAAAAAAACAAATTATCAAGTTTTTCTTTTTTTAATTTCTTGACAGGTTAAGAACGATTGAAGAGCTTTAATAGTTTTTTGCAGCCATCTTGAATTTCATTAAACCCTTCAAATAAATTTTGTTTCGTTGTTTTTAATGCTCTATAAAAACAAGTATTAATTATATAATCGTAACACAAATTAGCATTAGTTACATGCTTTGAAAGCGTCATTGCTTTGATCATATTTGTCTATTCCATTAGGAATATGTTGAACAGTATGGCATTCTGAAAACTCTTTACAACTAATAACAAACTTTCTCAAAGTGTATTCATCAGCAAAAAGGCAGAGTTAAAATGATGAATGAATCTACTGCTCTAGAAGTCCAGCAGTCAGTGGTAAATTTTACACTATTTATATTTTTTAGCTCACTTGTCAACTTTTTTGTCTAATGCTGCCTTCATATTCCAATATATCATGGGTAACTTGTACTTAGAAAATGTTGTCCTGCTTTTTATATTAGCACAGAGATCAAAACTATGAATAAAATCTTTAAAACCTTGAGATTCAACTATACTGAAGGGTAGAGATTCATGAACCAAGAACTTGTTTGTATAAAATATACAAAATATAATTACAATATTATATTTTTGTATAAATACTATAAAATATAAATACTATAAAAAAATTTTTGCTTATATAAAATTTTTGCTTAAATTTTGAAACTTTTCAGTTCAATAACACTGGTCAACAAAGTTTTTTTTCAGCTGATATAAATGTCTCTCTAATTAATTCAAGCATGCTGAATCCAAAAATTGCATTAGTTTTTATCCTATATGTTCCGATTTCTAGGAATATTCAAAAAACACTTTGTGTAATGCTGCTTTTTTGTATAAAGAAATATAAAACATGACATGAATAAAATATGGTTACAAATGTTTATAAATAATGAGTGAGCTTATACTGTTGTTTATGAATCTCTTGAGTGTTTCTTTTTAAAAACCAACAATAATCAGTCATCATAGCTTTATTCCATTTGCTTTACCTTTTCTCCATGGTCCGAATCTCCTGATGAAACATTTTACCATGTTCGCCTGAAACTGCGCCTAAATTTTCTGGAAAAAAGTCAAGATGAGAATCCAAACAATGTAGCTTTAACGACATTTGACAACCCTGTTCATGGTAATGCTTCACAACACTTTCTACCAGATTCTTGAAATCATCTGCTCTGTTGTTTCCCATGAAGTTATGAACCAAGGCTTTGAATGACTGCCAAAGATTGTATTTAGCTGGTGTAAGAGTTTCCTCAAATTTCCTATATTTTCTCTTATTTGAGGCCCATCAAACACACCTTCTTTAATCTTTGCTTCAAAAATGATTCGAGAGAACTTTGTTTGGACATACTTAAAACCAGCACCGTTTTTGTTCATTGCTTTTACAAAATATTTCACCAAACCCAATTTGATATGCAAAGGAGAAAGCAGAATTTTCAGCGGTTCAACAAGTAGAATGTGTTTAACGTTGTGGTATCATAGGCTATATATTCTGTACGTTTGGGCCATACCTTCTTCACATAATGATTTTTAGCCTCTCAGCTATACCAAAGGCAGAGGAAACACATATACTTAGTGAAACCCAATCACAGTTCAAGCTACAGGGCAACTACTTTAAGGTCACTACAAATAATCCATTTGTGGTCGCCATAGCAAACACACTCAAGTACAGTTTTCATTGTATAGTAAGTTTCCTGCAGTTCAACTGCATGAGTTATTGGAATGAAAGGATATTTGTTTCCAATATGAATTAATATTGCTTTTAGAGAGTATTTTGACGAGTCGATAAAGAGATGCTATTGATTAGAGGAATAGGCACATCCAAGTTCAGTTAACAATCTTTCAACATTTGTACAAAAGGTGATACTATTTTGTTTGATGAAATATTTCAAGTATCTTTCATGTCTGTTTCGGTAAATGGTCACTCTGGCATCAGGCGTTAACATGTGCCACTCTTGTAGTCAAGAACCCAGAGCCTCAGCTTTCAATTTTGATAGATGTAATTCTCTGATTAAATCGTTCAGCTCCTGTTGGTTAATAAAATGTGGAGCTGATTCCGCTTCAGGATAAAGTCACCATTGTCATTTTCTTTGTTTGATTTGTCTGATGTATCTGGAGAGGCAAGAGGTTGAATACACTTGGTGCAGTTGGAATAGGCAGACTGTCACTGTGAGGTACTGGTAACTTTGCTGAATCACAAACTGGATACATTATTTTGTCATTTGTCTTTAGAAAATGTCCCTCAATTTTTGTTGAACAAAAATAGCAGTCGGTGGTATGATTTCGTGGCTCTTTCCATATCATATAAATGGCAAAGGGCATGCCACTTGGTCTTTTTCCATCCAGCCATTTAGTCAAACACATCTAGCAGTTGGTGCAACTATATGGAGGCACCAATTTTTGCCATGACTTCCAACCTTGAATCCAAAATAGAAATCTTGAGCAGTAAGAAATTTTGATTTAATTTTTCTCTTCTGCCTTTTAGTGACATAATGACTACAAGTGTAACAGGACATAATGACTACAAGTGTAACAGTAACTGTTTGAACTATTTATACAATATCGTCTGCAAATTGAAGACATCCTGCAATAAAATACAAATAGGATCCATTTTTTACCTTATTTTTTACTGTAAATTGAATAGAAATAAAAACTTACATTTATGCAATTTAAAAAAGGAATTTCAGAAGAATCTGGACATGTAGGATCAAAATGGATTCCATTTTCTTAATAAGCTCAAAAATCTGATCTAGAAAAACCTATTGCTGTTAATTAAATCTAAAAAAAAATTTTTTTGTTGCCCAATAGAACTTTTAAGCTTTTGATGGCTTTTCAAATTTCAATTAAATGAAACTTTTTTGAAATAATTAAAAAGACCTTTTTATATAAAACTAATGAAATTAACAGAATTAACAGGAATTTACAAAAAAGTGATCCATTAAAAATTTTTAACGGACAAATTTCCCATTATTTCCAGCCATTAAAATTTTTTCATATAACGGCCAATAACGCTAATTGGCGGTAACAGACAGATTTACTGGACAGAAAAATGAAATGCTTAGTAAAAATATATTAACGATTTTGAACAACATAAATTTAATTTCTCCATTAATAAAAATATTAAATCTATGCTGTTGTTTTCTTTTGAAGTTTACTCTTCATGCTCAAGTTTACTCTTCATGCTTTACATTTTTAAGATTTATTACTTTTGCGATTAAGGATTGACAGCATTTAAATTTTCTCACAAGATCTTTTTGTGACTGACAGATTTTTCTTAATAGAATGAACAATTTAGTTTTATATTGATTTTTAAATCCTTTGTCGTAACCTTCCTTGCCATACCCTGTTTTATTCTTTATTGATCAGCTGAAGAGCATCTTAAGTCAATTTTGTAACACCAATTTGTGACAATGATTTTAAATAAAATTTTTCAAAGCTTTTTTTGAATTTGTTTAAAGTATTGTTTTACTTATTTTTAAGTAATAACAATGATAAAAAATATTCAACAACAATATAATCAAACAAGATTGCTGCATTGTAATAAAGCATTTATAATATTTGTTAAGTAATTTTCTAAAAATTAGTGAATATAGGAGAAATTTATTGTCTACAACTAATACACTTATGCAGTTAATAAAAGAAAAAGTCACTGAATTGAAGTTTATAGATTCTTACTGAATCTAATTTACATGGGCTATCTAATTTCTATCTAATTTACAAAGGGAAAATTTGTGGATATTTATTAAATAGCGCCCTTTCTAAAAAACCAACATGTTTTAAAAATAACTGCTGGTAACCATTAAATGCACTCCATAAAATAAAATGACACTTCATCTGAAATTTTAAAAGTTAGCTGATAAAAACTATTAAAAGGGTTTTTTCTCAAGACCCTTCAACATTTAACAGGGCTCCAATAACAACTTTAACTATCTAAACTTTCCAGCTCGCTTTTTTGACAATTGTAGATACCAGGTCAAGTCTAACACTACCATACGATTTTCACTATGTGTACAAAACAAATTTCTATTTGCAATCATTTCTTTAACTATTTCAACAAAGCAAATCTCCCAAAAACAAACATCTTTCTATATTTGCAGTAACTTTGTGGTATCTTTGTAGTGTTTCTCATACACAAGACACTGTCATATACACAAGACACTGTCATATACACAAGACACTGTCATATACACAAGACACTGTCATATACACAAGACACTGTCATATACACAAGACACTGTCATATACACAAGACTATTTAACATACACAAAATACTCTCACATACACAAAACAATTTTATATTTAGATAAAAAGCAACAATAGTACAGAAACATATAAAGTAAAAGATGTATAAATTAATATATACACAGCAAATATCTGAGATAAATAAATAGGGAAAAGCGAGGCAACATGGCGAACATTTTGAAAGCCCTGAGTTATTGCAAACCTATCAGTTATGAAGCAATAATACTTTCCCAGTATGTTTATGTTATTAAAATGATTCATTGCCAACAAGAATTTTCAGTTTCCAAATATAACAATTTGAAATAAATATTAAAATAAAAAGTTCATAAATTGTCATCTGTTCATGTGACTGGGGCAAGATAACTTATTATGCAATTTTTACCTCCAATTTTATAAAATTTTTAAACTACCAATAGCTCTAACTAAAGTAACACAAAATAAACACAAATCGCAAAAAACTACTTCTAAAGAAGTTAAATTTAAAGGATACCATCCATAATAAGAAACTGAAACTGAGGAATTTTTTTTTAAGCAAAAAAAGTAAACTTATGCGCATAAAATTGCGTTAATAATATTTAAAAAAAACCATTTGATGTTTTAAAATACAAAATGCAAATACAATTTTGTTTTCACCCAACTTTAAGATTTTTTGTTAAGTTGTTATATGAAAACCCATCTTGCCCTATTCGCCATGTTGCCCCGCTTTCCCCTAAATATTTAAATTTACAATAAATAAGTGTTTACTTTTCCATTCTTTTTACTAATTTTTAAAAAGAAGTTAAAATTGTCTAAATATTATTTATGTTATATATAAATTATATTTATTTTAAAATAAATCTAATTAATCTTTTTAAATTTTAAAAAAATGTTTACTTTAACTTTTAAATAAATCTAACTTTTGCTGCTTAAAACGAATTTTTAAATCTTATTATCAAATCTCACTTGTTCACTTCCATAAATAATATACTATCAAATCTCACTTGTTCACTTCCATAAATAATATATTATCAAATCTTACTTGTTCACTTCCATAAATAAGCAACTCTTTGGCTTTGTAAAAAAATTCAAATGCAGTAACATATTGATGCTGATTTAATGCCTAAAATAAAATGCTTCTTGTTTTGTGTAAACTTATATATAAAACATAATAATAAAATAATATAAAAGCAATAATTGAAGACTTCATATATTATACTGTTTTAAATGATTAAAACAAAATGTATATAAAATGAAAATAAAAAAAAATGTAAACCTACTATTTCAGCTCGAAATGCAAAAACTTTGAGCATATTTTTGTGTGTTTCATCAATTTTATCTTCACTCAAACTGCTTTGTTTGACCTTTAAAAGTTGATGCAACTTCAAATAGCACTAAATTTATAAACAAAATTAATGCACAAAAATTATTAAAATTATATTTATAGATATCATACCAAGGGTAATTAAAAATACTTTTAGATTTTTTTATAACTTTGAATATTTAGAAAAATTCTGTAAATAAACAAGGTAAACGTATTTGAAAATTTTTATACACTACAGTTCATGGAAGTTAAATTTTTATATAAATTAGATGTTAACTGGATTGAAATTAGGACTTAATTAGATGTTAACTGGATTGAAATTAGGACTTAATTAGATGTTAACTGGATTGAAATTAGGACTTAATTAGATGTTAATTGGATTGAAATTAGGACTTAATTAGATGTTAACTGGATTGAAATTAGGACTTAATTAGATGTTAACTGGATTGAAATTAGGACTTAATTAGATTAATTAATTGAAATTAGTAAAAACAAACTTTTGATTTTCAAGAAATGCAATTTAAAAAAGTTAAAAAATTTAAATTTATCTACAGACAACTAATTAGATAGTTAGAGCAAAAATTAATAAAAGTTTTCAAAAATATTATTTACATAAAAATATTGTATGTTACATATTAAATAATGCCTGTCACGTAATAAACGGATCGGGAGAGAGTTATAACTGTTACCAAAAAAAATAATAATAATATACATGGTACATAAGTTTGTGTCACATGTAGCTTCACATAAAACATGTTACTTTACAAAAATGTTACTTGATCTAAAATATAAAAATAATACCTCTGTAGAGAGTTTAAAACAGGCATCTGCATCATTGAGATTGTTACAATCTAATAAAAAATTCAGGCAAATAAATAAATTGCAGCAAATATAATTTGATTTAGTTACAACTGTGAAATAACAAACCTCTGAATAAAATGTAAACCTTGCTGTTTAGATCAGTTTAGCAAAAGCAAAATGATTTGAATTTTCAAAAGCAGTAAAAAGTTTTTTACAGCAAATATGTTTTTTTCGCGCAAAAACTCTAATTTTCTGCTAATTACCTTAACCCAAATTTTTCAGAAACCCTTATACAACATCCTAGAATTTTAGGGTGATTAATTTTTCAATACACCATAGACACCATTGAGTGTTTAAAAAAAACGGTCAAAATATTAAAAGTAATTAAAGTTTTGTTTTGTTAATTTTCAGTTTATATTACTGATGTATTTGCACACATGGTTTAAAAAACCAATATTTTCAAAAATACAGAAAAAATAGCTTCTATTATTATTTTAAAATTTATTTTGTTATTGTTTAAGTATTTCTAAATGCACTAAAAAAAAACTTAAAAAACAAAATACTGCATAATCTTACCTAACCAATCTTTTCCAACTTTTAAAGCCATCTAAAACATACAATGAAATAATAAAATTTGTAAACAAACATTTAATTTTAAAATTTAATGATATAAAAGGGACTCATAAGTGAAATGAAGATATTTTCCCCCCAATCGGAAGAACATTACCAAAATAAGTTTTATGAATATTATTCTTATCACACGCAGTAGCGTAGCGACAAAAAATAGGCCTCCCCGCATAATTTTAATTTGGGCCCCTAAACTACTTCTCTCCCTCGCCCCCTACCCCTCAAAACAAAAAAAAATTATACATGAAAACAAAAGTCTTATTTTTAAAAACAATTTTGATTTAATTTAATGGAAACAAGTATGTTACATATTGTATAGCTAAGAATTTGTAATTCATATAATAATTCTGTAATTCATCAATAAATTCTATACAATAATAGCAAAAATGTGATTAAATATACTTGAAAAATTTGGCTTGGGCCCCTAATAAGTTTGGGCCCTCCCGCGGCTGCGGGCCCATTGCTACGCCTCTGATCACACTGTATATTTTTACTACACTGTAATAAAATAATTTATACTAACAACTAATAGTCACCAACACAATGCTATTTTAAAAATACCTTTTAAAGAAATTAAATTCTCAGAAAGTCAATTATCATTCTTTTTTTTTTTTTTTTTTAAACATCTTTGCTTCCAACAAGGCTGCAAGCACTACTAATTAGTGTTGGAAGTTACTGGAAGAGAAAAGATCAAGATTGTAGAGCAAGATAACGATTGACAGACGACTTAAAAGATTGCAAATTATATGAATCAGGAAAGCAAGATGAAGGAAGCGAATTCCAAAGAACTGATGTTCGAGGGAAAAAACTAGACGTGTAAGAGTTTTTAGAGCACTTAGGAACAGTTACAGAAAAAGGATGAGACTTAATTGAATGACGAGTAACAGGAGAATGAATTTTAGTAGATGGCACAAGAGACGCTAGCTCTTTAGAGCAGTGCATGTTATAGTATTTGTAGAAAAGAGAAGCAACATTACGACGATGTGACAGAGGTTGAAGGTTGGCTGCAAGAGCAGGTCCAAATATGTTTACAATGCATTTTTGCACCATGTCTAAAAGAGAAAGGGCATCATTAGAAGATCCCCCCCAGATATGGCAACAGTATTCCATACAAAGCCGGATTTGAGATTTGTAAAGATAGAGAACAGAATCCAGAGTAAGAAAGTGTCAAGCTTGATAAAGAGAAGCAACTTTAGCAGATGCTAATTTTGCAACGGATTTGATATAAGGTTACCAAGAAAGATCAGAAGTAAAAGTTAATCCTAGAAGATGAAGGGTAGGAGATTCATTGAGTACATTACCGTTCATAAATATAGGAAGGTCTAAACTATTGCAATAACGATTGGCCGAAAAAGATTGAGTTTTATCTGAATTAAAGTTCACCAGCCACTGTAAGCCCTTATGCTGTAGCAGAAGTGAAATCTTTTTCAAGCTAAGATGCCCCCTGCAAGCAATCAGCGGGAGTTGGCTTCTTATTGTGACAAGAATAATTGGTAGTACCATCAGCGAACAATGCCACCTTAGATGTGAGAATATCTGGAAGATTGTTAATGTAAATTAAAAAGAGTATAGGGCCAAGGATTGAACCTTGAGGAAGTCCTGAGGTTACAGAATAAGAAGAAGAGTGCTGTCCTATAAGAGTGCTATGCTAATTTTAAAGATCTGTCTTTTTGTCGATAAACTAGCCTCTGAGGTTTGCTTTGCTGCACTTACAACAGATTGAGTAACAATTGATATTTATGTCAATTAAACAGAGTTTTAAGTTTAATTGAAAAACTTATATGGGTTCTTTGAAGATGTGCAAAGAGTTAATAATTATATTTAAGTTTTTATGAAGTCATGCGAAGATTTATTGGGAGCTCAACCTGAATACTATCAACAAAAGCATAATATTATCAGAAAAAAAATTACAGGAATCAAAATTTAAGACATTATGCTTAAAGCAAAGCTTTAGTTAAAATCACAGATTTTAACTTAAACTTTGCTTAGAACATGTCTTTTTACTTTATAGATTTGGTTAAGCACATAGTTTTCTATAATGATTTTTATTCTCCAGCATGCAGTATATATACAAATGATTTTTTAATATACAAATGATTTTTTAATATACAAATAATTTTTTTGGGAAACAACAGAATGAATTTTCTTGCAAAAAACATGACTTTTTTTTGAAAACAACAGTATAAATTTTCTGCAAACAACAGTATGACTTTTCTTGCAAACAGAATGAATTTTCATTGAAATCATCAGTATTATAATGTACTAATGTAAACCTGTCGATTTCTATCTAATTCAATAAACTCCAAAAGTTTGTTTGGGGAATATGATACTCCTGATTCTTTTTTTTCCTCCAAAAAAATGTTTTGTAATTTTTATTTATAATTTTTTACATTTTTTAACAAACCCGTGTTTACTAATGTAGCAATGCTGCAACTTATTTTTAATTTTTTTCCAAGTTTCTTAAATGAGTATAATTTTAATTTTTTGATCTTTTAAATATTCATTGTCCTAAGGTGATTCTTAAAATATTTTAAAACTTTTCTAATAAGATGTATTAGATATTCTAAATAAAAGATAAAATAGAATATAAAATAAGAATAAAGACATTCTTGTTAACCTATTATTGATTTTTATAAAAATCTCTTGGGTTCCTCAGGCCTAAAATCTTTGATTAAATATTTACATAAACTTAAATACCTAAATGACTATCATCTTTTTTTCTATTTATATTTGTTCGAATTTTTTCATGAGAATTATAGCATGAGAACATTTTCTAGGGTGACTCCTATCCAATCTTACTCCTGGATGTGGCCAATTCAGCAATGAATTAGAAGAACTGTCTGTAAATAGACTTCTTAACTTGATTAACTTGATTAACCGAAAGATCAGAATTGTTATTTCCCAAAAATAAAAAATTGTAAAATGAATTCTTGTTTACAAACTACAAAGTGAAGTTTTCTAATGAAAAGTTATATACTTTTTAATTTTTAATGTGTTTTAATTTGCAACTTTTGAATTTATGAAAGTAAAAGTATATACTTTTATCTTTATATATAAATATAAATTCTTATATAATTATAAATTTATAAGTCTTAATACATTTCATCACAGTCGAACTAATGCCTGTTGTTTTATCAACTTGTTGTTTTATTTTCTTTGTTTATTATGGTGTACCATCTTAGATATTTTAAAATAAATGACTGAATGAACTTCTCAATAAGGTGCATTTTATTATGGTGTACCATCTAAGATAATTTGAGATAAATGACTGAATGAACTTCTCAATAAGGTGCATTTTATCTTGTAAACTTTTATGTTAGAATAATATACTTTTTTTTTCTTTTTAATAAAAAAATGTTTATCACACTTAAAATCCCATTAATTATACTATACCAATAAAATAAATTCATAATAATAAAAAATTAAATTTATTCAAGTTGATATTTATATATTTGAAAATAATAGTTTTTCTTACTGCTTGATGCTTACGCAGTGTTGATTGTGATTCGTCTTCAACATTTGCTAAGAATGTTAAATGTAGAGCCATGTGACGAACTATAACAATTATATACAAAATAACATAACAAACTATAACATTTATTTACAAAATAACATAACAAACTATAAAAATTATATACAAAATAACATAACAAGCTATAAAAATTATATACACAAAATAACATAACAAACTATAAGAATTATATACAAAATAACATAACAAGCTATAAGAATTATATACACAAAATAACATAACCAACTATAAGAATTATATACAAAATAACATAACAAGCTATAAGAATTATATACAATATAACATAACAAGCTATAAGAATTATATACAATATAACATAATAAGCTATAACAATTATATACAAAAATAAGCTCAATAACACAAGTTTTTTTGCAAGCAGATATAGATTTTTTCTAGCAGGCGGATATAAATTTTTATCAAAATAATTTAATTTTTCTGTTCTTAACTATCTAATTAAACTATTTAATAATTTAATAACTTTAATTATCTAATTATTGATTAAAAGTTAAATTTACAATTTTTAAATAAGAAGATTTTAGTTTTATTTCAAAACTTAAAAAAATAAATGTTTAAAACATAAACCATTGAAAAATGAATGTTTGAAGCACTTTAAAAAATAAACATTTAAGTGTCATTAAATAAAAATCCCTTTTAAAATGTTCTAAAAATATTTTTATAAAAAAAAATTGTTTGAAGGGTTCCATTATCGATTCATGGTATTAGTAGCTGATAAATTTCCAACTACTAAAACAACATACTGATCTGATATAAGAGAAAAAAACCCACCTCAATTGGTGCTGGGTCATCCATAGCCCCCTCATATGACTAAAACCATCATGCACCCACACCTTATCCCACACTACATTTATTTATTCTTACACAATTGTTTATTTATTTTTCTGCTATAAATTTTTAATTTCTGTAATAAATATTCATTTTATATTTATTTAATTTTTTTGTTGTTGTTGTTGTTTTTTTATAAATAAGTCTATAATTCATGTAAAATTTTTTAAACATAATAAGAATAAGTTTGATAAAAAATTTCAAACTAATAAAGTAAAGCAATTTTTTATTATAATCATAAAATAACAAGAATTTTTGTTTAGAAAAATATTTGCTAATATTAGAACAAGTCAACCATACATACCATGATTTTTAACAACTTTTAACCAGATATTAATTTAATTAGGAAAGAATTTTCTCCTATCAAAGAAACTTTACTTGGCGGTTTTTGCTTAATTAAAGTTTAACTTTTTTATTAAGTTTTTTCTTTGCTTTTGTTTTCAAGTGGAAAAATTCAAGTGGAATAGATTTATACAGCAACACTCTGGCAATGGACCTCTGTACAAACTAATACATTAAAAGTCAGCAGAACCAGGATTTCTTTCATTCCACAAGTATTTTCCCATGGACTTGGAACATATATGAGTTATTTATGAGATAAAATATTTATGCATTTTTATATACTCTTGGTACACAATATTGAAATCCTAATGTAGCAAGCTAGGATGCCATGTTAAAGAAAAAAAAATTAGAATAATTTTTCTTGGTACAGCTTTGCAAAAAATAACAAAGAACCCATAAAAGAGTCTATTCAACACAGATTGTGATACATAAAAGTGCAATCAAGAAGATTATTCAGAGGATGAAGCTGTTGAATCTAAAACTGGTTATTTCTCCCCTAAAGAAAATTGTAACAAAAAATTGGGTTATTTCCAAAGGCTCATATCAAGCTTAATTCCAACATAACCCATAACCTCAGATTTTGATGAAACTTAGTGGGTTGATGAGAAATACAAATCCTTTTTTTAAACATCTTTGCTTGCAGCCTTGTTGGAAGGCTTCCAACTAGTTTCCAATTAGTTTCCAACAAGGCTGCAATCCTTGTTGGAAACTAATTAGTGTTGGAAGTTACTGGAAGAGAAAAGATCAAGATTGTAGAGCAAGATAACGATTGACAGACGACTTAAAAGATTGCAAATTATATGAATCATGAAAGCAAGATGGAAGCGAATTCTAAAGAACTGATGTTCGAGGAAAAAATCTAGACAAATAAGAGTTTTTGGAGCACTTAGGAACAGTAACAGAAAAAGGATGAGCCTTAATTGAATGACGAGTAACACAAGAATGAATTTTAGTAGATGGCACAAGAGACGCTAGCTCTTTTGAGCAGTGCCTATTATAGTATTTGTAGAAAAGAGAAAAAGAAGCAACAACGATGTGATAATGGTTGAAGGTTGGCTGCAAGAACAGATCCAACTATGTTTACAATGCGTTTTTGCACCTTGTCTAAAAAAGAAAGGGCATCATTAGAAGATCCGCCCCAGATATGGCAACAGTATTCCATACAATCCTGGATTTGAGATTTATAGAGATAGAGAATAAAATCCAGTTAGCAGAGTAGAGTAAGAAAGTGTCAAGCTCGATAAAGAGATGCAACTTTAGCAGATGTTAATTTTGCAAAGGATTTTATATATGGTTTATGTATATGTATGATAAGTCATTTGAAATTTCTGATTTTTTCAACAAGAAAAAAAATTCACTAGGGAAAACTTTTTTCAAAAAAACTTCACTAGGAAAAACAAAAACTTCACTTGGGAAAACAAAAACTTAACAAGGGAAAACAAAAACTTCACTAGGGAAAACAAAAAGTTCACTATGTTTATTTTCAATAAAATGAATTCTTTTATTTTCAAGTAAATTTGTATCAATTTTGATAATTTTTGTTACTATAAGGGCTTTTTCTTCAAGTAACCTGTTTTACCCCAGTTTTCCATAAAACAAAAGTTTAAAATGAGAAACTTTGTAAACACAATTTTTGCATACCAATTCTTGATGCATTTTAAATATCTAAGGACTTTTAGAGGACATGGTCTTGTTATCTAAAGAATTCCATGACAAGATGTGAAGATATGAAGTAAAACGTGTTCCTATAGTAGAAGCCAGCAAGGAAAAATCTTTTTTTTTTTTTGTTATGACCAAGTTTAAAGAGATTTATTTTATTAAATAAATTCTTCATAAATTGTGGGCTTAGAAATAATTGATTTTAAATCTTCCATCATAAGAAAATACAAATTTCTTAAGTTTTAGATCCTTGGACTATTATTAAAAATTAACAACTCATCCATAGGTAAATCGAATGTTTGCAGACAATGCGAAGAGTTTTTTTTATGAATTCTAATTATCATAGCATTTAGATTAAAAATCCAAATGCTTAGACAAAAAGGAAAAAGACATTTAATGACAGGGTAGCTTTGTCAAGGGATAAAAAATTTCTTATGAATGACTGAGCAAAACAATAACTATTTGCTTCACTGCATAAATATTAAATGTGTTCCCCAAACTTTAGGTCTTTCTCAATTGTAAGTCCAAGTAGCTTAACCTTATCAGAGGCAAAAAAACTCTAAATGAACTCTAAATATGCAAGTCATGCAGAATGAAGTCGTATGCTTTAGTCATTAACAATGTTCCAACTATTCCTCCATTGCTAATATATTCATACCACTTATTGAATAAAACAAAAAGTACTTGCTGATTACCAGGCTTGTGTAGGAATGCTTTTTTTACGGCCCAGCTCCGGCTCCTAAGAAATGTCCTGGCCCTGCACTTTATGAACAAAAATTGCAAGTTTTGAAACATTTTTTTTGATCACATTTCCTAGCCCAAATTTAAACCAAATACAGCAATTAATTTTTAATCAACTTTCATGATTACAAGTATACAGAGTTGTTAGTTCTCGGCCATGGCCTTGTCTTAAGGCCAAAAATTAATACCTTTTTCTTGAAATTTTTAACCTTAACCTTGATTGTTTTGGCCTTGGCCTTCATAAAAAAATACATAAAATGCAAGAACTAAAAGTTTTAATTCTTTATTTTTATGTATTTTTGTTTTCGGCTTATTTTTTCAAATATATCTACAAATATATTTTCTTATTAACATCGTTGAACTCTGCGCATAACCTTGATTTAATTTTACAACATGTGGTTTTATTGTCACAGCACTTGCTACCAACATTTTGTTAATAATTGGTCTTAACATAAGACAAAAATTAAAGTCTTTGGTCTTGAACATGTTTGCGTAGGCCTTGGCCTTGAAACTCTTATTCTTGGCCTTGGCTTTGTATCATGTGGCTTTGGCCTTGTTCTTGGCCGTGTAACTTTTGGCCTTAGTCTTGGACTTGGCCTTGTGATATGTGGTCTTGGCCTAGGCTTTGCCTTTTTAACAACTCTGCAAGTATATTGTATTACTATCACTACTCTACTACCGGTCATTACATTTGAAAAGAAAAAATGTTTTGGGTAAATATACATTTTTTTCGATATATTATTTACCCAAAAGTAGAGTTTTTAATTCTAATATTAGTTTTAATTCTACTCAGTGGGCACGGGACCTAAAAAAGACATCTTTTAAATGTTTAAAAAAAGTCAAAAATGTTCAAAAGACATTTAAAACACTCAAAAGACGTTTAAAAGACATCTTTTGTACGACGCGTGTCCAATGTGAAAAGCATGCAATCTTTAAATTCGAAATGATGAAAAATTCAAAATAAATATTTATTTTCAATATTTATTTTAATCTAACGATCTTGAAGATTGTAAAAATTCTTTTTATTTTAATATTTTTAATTAATTCAAATAAACATTTACTCTAATTGACGACATCAACTTCACAGTGTATTTGTCAATTTTTTTTCTTACTAATGTTCACTCTCTGATGTATAGCTGTACTTAATGTTTTGCCACTCTTACGCAAATATTCTTTGCTAACTCCCCAAAATTTCTTAATGGGAGGGAACTTTGGGCAGATCAATGGAATCAAGCTTTTTGATATTATTTTGGTATGTCTCTCAAATTGTACCATTCTGCAGTCTTCTTAGAATAAGAAGCACAAGATAAGAAGCGAGAACTAACAGGGGACATCATGACTTTAATAAAATGGCAAAAGTCCGTCTTGCAAACATGTAAAATGCAAAATTGATGAAAAATTTTAACTCGTTTGTTGATGTTTTTAATCATTACTTAGT